CTTCTGACCAAGGAAAGCACTGCCCGGGACGTGCAGTCCTTGGGAGGGGGCAGTGTTACGAATTGTCAAAGCGCGGTGTGATGGCTTCCCCGCAAAGCAGTTTTAGGGTTGCCATAAAATGGCAAGGGAAGGCAGGGCTGCCACATTTGCCGAGAAATCGCCTACTTGGCGACAAAATTGGCGATATGCCATGGATTGATGAAGAACCTTCTGGAACGAATTCTTACCGGTTTAGCCCAGAATGTTTTCGAACACAAGCCGAAAGCTATATAAACCCTGCTGGTCCGCAGTCAGTCAGTGAGTATCGAGTGTGCCTCGTCGAGAAGGCGAGTCAGAGTGCCTCGTCTAGAGTGCGAGATAGTTAGCAACGAGTGTGCCTTGGCTAGCGAGCCGTGCGGAGTCGATCAAGTTGACAGCCGGGGAGCAAGTGCCGAGTGGATCGTCGAGTGCACCGAAGGAGTCTCTTAGTGTATCGCGGTTAGTGCATCGTCGAGAGAGCGTATTGAGTTCCGGGAACGACTGAACCGAAGAGTCGGGAGCCGTGCTCTGTGTGTCGTCGAGTGCATCGCGAGTTGTAGCGTAGAGAGTCTCGAGAGTACGTGGAGTTCCGAGAACGACCGAGCAGAGTCGGGAGCTGTACTCTGATGCTTTGCAGTGAAGCTGTCTCCACCGTGGTAGCTTGATAACCTGAAAGCTGTCGCTGATCGTGTCAGCGTGTTTATAACAGTTCGACGACTATAAACGAGACTTTGAAGCTGTCCTGATTAATACCGGCCAATAAACTGTGTTTCGATATTTCATCAAATAGTATTGTCATTATTCACTCCAAATCCTCACAAACCCCGTACGAACTGGTGTCAGAAGAGAAAAACGCAACAATATATATATATATATATGTATGTAATGATAGCACACCAGTATTTGAAGAATCGATATCTTTTAGAATGATGAATTGCAGATACTAGTTTACAGAAATCCAACTGTAGAATAAATGTTCTCCATTAGGTTAGTAGCATAATTCAATCCTGTACGACTAATAAATGAAATAATAGTACCATTTTGGATGAATTGATATAAGAACACTGAGATGTAAATGCGCAAAAATACTGATGGCTTAGAACGTCCATCCACTTTGAAGAAGAAGCAGTCGAGCTGGTTTAATTTTTTTTTTTTAATTTAAATTCACATTTTGTGGCCACAATTACTTGGCACTGTACTCGTGCTTATTAAAACACATTTACAATTTTAGATATTATTGCCATATTAGCGAATATAGCGGCTGATACATGATTGCAGAAAAGCATCTGGCGACGAGAAAAGCACAAGCAAAAGTGGCGCATCAGTTCATAGAAAGAAGAGAGAGAGTCAAAAGTTTCAATTTTCTAGTTTTTGTTTACAATTCAGTGATTGATCAAGAGACGTCTGCATTAAGGGTTACGTAAGATCGCATGATTAATTTGAATGACGTAGTTTAGATTTACAGCGCTATTTTTAAGACAGAGAGATGAAATTTCCAAATGGAATAAAAAATAAAAGATGTTATTGTGAATTAAATTTTGCAGTTTGCTTTTCATATTTTTTATTTTACATATATGTATATAAGTATGTAAGATATAAGAAATTACGACAGCTGGTTTAAAAATAATTGGCGACCTCAAAATTAACTGTTCTAGATTTGATGCTCTCCCCCTAAATTAATCTGTTCTCCCAAATACGAGATCTTTCTATGTTATTTAACAACCTCAAATTAACCAATCATAGCTTGTCTCTACAATTACATCAGACTTAGTATAAATACTCTTAGCACAATAAACTATGTCATTCCATTTCCTCTCTTGGTTTCTGCTACGCCATCATCCACGATGCTTTACTTCCCTATCCCAAATGCTTACGTCATTTCTTTAAAATAACCAATGAACAAAGCAATTAATCCTCTTTAATTATGATTCAGTAAGTATCTCCGAAATTAATTGGATATGTGTGAAAATAAAGACTGGTGATTTATCGAAATCCATTTCGTTTTCTTCATCTGTATGCCTTAACCATACGCCATGGCTGCTACTGAAAGCTGTTAAAGAGTTCCAGTGTTTCCTTCTATGCATTAAATCATTACACACATACATATAATATATATATATATCCACTTTGTTACCCGGATCGGTGAGTTCGTTTTTTTTTTTTTTTTATATATATATATATATATGTTGTTATATTGTGCATTTTTTGCTTTAAAAATGATTGAATTATCACATCTGTTACACATTCTTATGTAACAGATTGTCTTATGTTCCAGTTAAGGTTTTTAAAAGCCTTTAGTTAATCGGCATGCAATAGTTGTGGAATTATCAACAATTTAAAAGTTAAAGTAGCGCTAAGCCTAACGATGCCAGCATTTGTTTACACTTGAAACCAAAAGTTAACTTTCAATTTTGTGCACCGTAAATTTTCTCTTCCTATCCGTTGGCCGAATTACTTCTTTTTACATACAAACTCACATTTTAATTGCAATAATTACTTTTTTAACTGTATTTTATTTTTAATTTTTTAAAATTTTATTTTTCAATTTTTAATGAAGATTTTGAGTTTTTATGCATTTTTTGCCTCTCCGTGAATTAAGGAAGTAAATTTAAATGAAATGCGGCAAAAAATGTGTATTATTTAATAGGCCGTACAACGAAGTCATGTGGTGTCCACATCAGATATTTTATACAAACTTTCTATCGGTGTTATCTGTAGTCGTATTTCATATTCTACATTTAATTCGTTTCTCTATTTTTTTGCCCTTTGGCTGCATATGTTTAGAAAATATTTTCATTTAAATCTGTTGTTCTGGCATTAAAATGTTTATAGCTCTGTAAGAAACTTCTGTGTATTCTGCGTGAATCTGCAACTGAGAATTTAGGAGCTGCTCTTGCTTAAATTTATATCTTAACATAGAAACTGGTGATATGTCGTTAAGATATTCTCGTTCCTTTAGCAAGCCTTCTGAATTATCGTAGCGGTAGAATGGATTTTTTATCCAATCATACTTAGTTTTGTCTTTTGGGAAATATTGTCATATAAGTTTCTGCAGGTGAAAAAGATGCTGTATTACAATTCTTTTCCAATTAGAAAGCTGTTTAGTTTTGCAAAGCATTTCACGTCATTCTCTTTGACACTTGTCATATGTCGAATCCTCCGGGGGTTGACTCAGGCGAACGCCTGGGAAGTACTGGTTATGGTTAGGATCTGTACCTAGGCAGTCTCAATCACGGGGGCATAATAACAGACTTCACAGAAGGCCTGAAGGCTCTCGAGACAGAGTAAGGCTAGGGACCGTACTGGTACTGTTTTGTCAGCCCTTGCTCTGTGGGATCGCAACATTCTGGATTCATCAAAGGGCGGGGCGGCATTAATTCCGATAGGCGCCTATTAGGTCGTATTAGGACGGAAGCTGTCCCATTCCATCAGCGTTGTCATATGTCGAATTTTTATTTTAACGTTTGGAACCTGGGTTTGACTTGCCCTCCCCCCCAGGGTTCTGCGGAACACAATTTGAAGTTCGCTGCTTTAAAGCAATAAGTGAAAATAATGTGTATAAATTACCTTCTTTCCATTATGCAAATTACGAAATAAGATTAACATTTCATAATATGCAGCCCAACCAGGATAATGGTTAGTGACTCAGACTGCCCTACCGAAGGGTCCGGTTTCGAATCCCGGAGAAGGCATGGATGTTTGTAAATGTACAATGTCTGTGCGGCATGTGGGCACTCAAAATACGCAGCGATCCGAAAGTCCTCTCGAGAGATTGGTGGTAGGAGAAAAGGTTGAGAGACACTCAGATCCGTTCCACCAGGGTGCTCTCCTTCAAAACTGGGGCAGTCACTTATAATGGTGCTCAAGGCTTTCACCAATGCCAGGCGCATTTGACTCCTTGCAACGATGAATGTCGTGGACTTGTTCTGACCAGGGCCGGCGCTAGACTTTTTGGCGTCCACTGCAAACGCCGCGAATCCAAAATTCTGCTGCCCGATTGCATATTTCACAAGTGCACATCTGTGTAGCCACCGAGGGTGTGGCTTCTCGGATGGGCCAATGGGCATCCAGTAATATTTCTCTCATGTCACATGACCTTTCGCGTGCTTTAAAATTTAAGCAAAAATGATTTAAAATATTTTGCCACGCAATTTTCTGTACAAAATACATAATTAAAGGACCGTCGATTTCTTCTGAAAATTTTCATTGCGAAGTTAGATCAAATATAAACAAATGTGAAGATTTCACTACCTGGTTGAAAGAATTTAAAATAAATACAAACACATTTTTGGATACTCCTCAAAAATATCCATGTGAAATGTTACTTAATAAATGGTAAATAAGGTGAAGAAAGAAATATGTGATAAACATTTGAGCCCAAATGCTATCTTTACATAAAACTATGCATATGAGAAAAATATTTACGCCAATTATACATGTAACTAGAAGTCAGCACTTTTTATTGCAGTCTATATGAAAAATTATTTAAAAAAAAAAGTACACTCAATTTTCTTAATCCACAGGTGTTAAATAAATGCATAATATTCGAAGCGAATTATAGCTTGAGTCATTTTCTGGATGTAAAGAAGGATAATATGTCGTGAACATCAATCCAAATATTGTGATAAAAATCGCGAAAGTGAAATGTCAGCGATTAATTAAACTCATGAAACGAATGCACTACGAGATTTTCTTCTAATACGCCATACATTTTTTACCGCGAAACAAATGCAAATTTAAACATAAACGACATACGCTCACATGCATGAAGATTGAGCGTCACAAGAGCATTAGACGCTCATTGGTCCATTTTCGAAACCCCTCCCTCAGTGGTTACGCTGATGTGCATTTGTGAAATATGCTGCCCGATTCTTTCCTAAATTGTAACTATTTTGCCGCACCGGTTGCACTCATGCTCTGGCGCCGGCCCTGGTCCTGATCATTATCAGAAAAGTGAGATTGGTAACAACAACAACAATACATTTAATTAACATCAAAATCTTTATTTTAACAAAAAAAGGTCGCTTGTAACGTATTTAAATATAGTCCCTTTTTTGAATAAATAGAACGATGACATGCACGAGTTACTTAAAAATAAACAGTTTCCATAATGAGAAACTAATTGTTCTTTTACTTGATTCGCAGTCAACACGAATCATTTTGTAAAAACGAAAAACTGATGTCCGTTAAACATTGAATACATTACTCACAAACAACTATTTACATAAAGGATGCAAACAAGGTTACAGTAGTTCTGTAATGAGAACAGGCTCTCCATCTTTATCTATAGTCAATGTAGATGCTTGCATGTCATTCTCTTGAGGAGGTTCGGAAGACGTTGGGTTTGACGAAAAATATCCCGAAGGCTGCCGAGAATTAAGTTCGTGATATTCATGATTCTGTTTTTAGGAAAAGAGATAAGTATTAGACATTTAAAGAACTAATTAAAATAATAAAAGACTTCAAAAGTAAATTTTATTATCAGACTGAAATTTTTATACTGAAAAGTTTAAAAGTATAGTGAAAGTTTAAAACGTTATTAAAATTTTGCTTAAATATATCATTGGAGTGACAGCAGTATTTCAGTTACTTCAAAATTTATATAACCCACTGCTGTAGGTCACTTTAAGACTAAATCAATTTTTATAGAATTTTTTCCTGCCTATTTACCTCCAGCTGAATGTCAGGATTTTGACCAGTGGAGCAGCCATCCAGTGTCGCGTACTCATTCGCCGGCTGTTGGTGGAAAGTTGCAAGTCTGTTACCTTTCCTCAGAGTAGCATACACCGCATCTGCCTCCACCTCTGCTGCAGTCACTTGTCGTGGATTCTCGCTGTGGTCGGGTACCACACTCATACTCAATTCCTGTAGGTGAAAAGGGATAGAATCACTTATCTTTTGTGAAAGAAATAGGATCCTTCTGTCGACAGAGTCGTAGCTAGGGTTTTCAGCGCCCAGGGACAATTGAAGATTTCGCGCCCCCTACTGCTTGCCAAGGATGGAAAACATTTAATTCTAAAATGTCGTAACATCAGTTTGGCGCCCCTTGGATTCTGCGCCCGGGGACAGATGCCCCCCTCTAGCTACGCCCCTGTCTGTCGGCATTTTAACTGATGTCATTACTTAAATTCAATTTAGTAACTTAATTTGCTTACATATGAACCTTTTAAACAAGTCCATGAAACCTCCATCCCTTTTATTGCTCATCATGCAATAGAAAAATTTTGAAAAATATCGTTATTATTCTAAACACTTATTTTCGTTAACTCGATTTCTGTGTAACTAAAAAGTATTCTCGAAAAGCAAAGAGCAAAAGATTTAAGTTTTCAGTACTATGAAGAATTCACTTTTTCTGAGTATTAAGGATGTAGGGATTTATATTTTATTTTAAATAATCAATTTTATTTAGTTTGTTATTCTTTCCTATAAGCCTTCATTCTCTTAATTGTCAGTGCCAGAATATTTAAATTTGGTAGCGCGCGTGAAGGAAAGCAAATTCTACCTTGACGAAAGAGTTTAAAAACCGAGGTTCAGTAAGAAACAGAGTTAGAACTATTGCCGTCGCCTCTGTTGCTTTTAAGTGTCTGCTCCCCAGAGTTATTGCTGGTTCGCAATAACTCTGACTTAAATGCATTTGCTTGCTGCCACTAGTTTTCGACGGAGGTTTAAGAAACAGGAATTATTCTGAGACCTGTGGTTTAGTTCAACTACTTATACATATCTGAAATCTTTAGTTAATTCTTTGATTTCACTTACCGCCCAAGCAGTGGCGTAGTTTGTTAGCTTCGAGCTGATGCATTATAAAGTTTAAAGAGTTAATAAAGGATACTTTTAACCCTTCTTCTGTGCAGTTACTACTCTTACAGTTCTCAAACAGGATTTATCCAAGTAGACTCTACAAGGTATTTAATTCTTTTTTAAAAATTTTATGTTCCGAATAAACAACTTGCTAAATTAAGTACTTTAAGCTCCTCGTAACGGAAATTCCGTTTTAGTGGACTGAAGATGGCAAAAGTAACTTAAGGAGGGATATTCCAGCATACAGCAGGGTTCGGTAGCCATTTTTACTATGCGGACTTATTTAAAAAATGCAGGAATTCGGCGAGCACCATAATAGTAATAAAAATAAATATCAGGTTAAAATAAGCATACACTAAAAATAAAAATAAATATTACACCACATATATGTTACCGTGAAAGACCGAAATTGGAGAATGTCGACTTTCACCGGAGAATGTCAACATTCACCAAATACGTCGGTGAAAGATCGAATATTGTATCACATTCTTGTACATTCGGACCCTCACTGGTGTATGTGGGCAATCACAGATATGCTCTGATGTGGATCGAAAAGAGAGTATATATACACGCTGTCATTGCAAAAGGAAGTGTTCCACAAATAAATGCAGTTGTAAAAGTAAGGGCCTCTTGTGCAATTCAAAGTGTCATAATAGTTTAAGTTGTTGCAATAAATAAGATTTGAATTACACAGTTTAGTAATTTTTTAACTCTTATTATTTTCCTTTCTCATTTTGAATGTACTGTATGTTAAGTTCTTATTTTAAGTCTCAAGTGCGTTTTTATTACTGATTACGGATTATTATTGATTTATTACTGATTACGGATTATTATTGATTTATTACTGATTACTGAATTACGGAGAAGAAAATATAATATTCTTATATGTTCAACATTCACCATTAGTACATGGTGAATGTCGACATTTACCATCGGTGTTAAGTCAGAAATAAGAGTATTTGGAAAATATTTCGGACATACACCAAGCGACTGTGTGAATGTTGACATTCACCAGGCAAAGTCGACATTCTCCAGATTTCGGTGTTTCACCGTAAGATATACAATATTAATATAATTATATCAAAACGGAGTTAATTTTGCGTTAACGCTAAAACGTTTATGAAAAAATCTGATGTGTACACTACGACTTCCTTGTAAGGAATATTAAATTATACGCATTTTTTCACCTGCATTTCATTTCATTTCCTGCACTCTCGTGCTAGGTTCACTTAACAGCGTTATTCGCCAAATGAATTACATTGTCGCAAAAAAAAAAAAAAAAAAAAAAAAAAAAAAAAAAAAAAAAGTGCGCCAAGATAAAGTTTTAAGTTTCTCGCCAAATTTTACAAAATGTAATATTTAAGTATAATTTGAATCGTAAAATCCGAATATGGCAAAAAGGAAATCGGTATGTCATTTCAGAAAAAGTCCGATTTTATGTCAAATACCTACGCCAGAACAAAGCTATATGTAAATCTAATATATATTCTACGTCGCACTTTCGAGATATGAAAAGTGAAAATTAAATTTCATCAATCAACCCAGTAGAATGGGAGATACAGATTTTTATTTATTTATTTATTTTTTTGGTGCAGAGTGTACAGTGGTGTTCAAAATTGTGGACACTTTCGGAAATTTTTATGTTTTTGAACTTTGTATGCTTATAGAGAATGTTATGTTTCGCAAAATGCAGACTTGTATATATCATTTTAAAGAGAATTTATTACTAATTCAATACAAAACACAACATTCAATTATTTGCAATACAAAAAAGTTATATGTACTTTAATATAAATAAAAACACAGTTATGAAGTGGTTTGTAATGTCTAGCTTTCCTGGCCAATCACTGTTCTTGTTCTGAGAACCAATCAAATGTTAGTAACAGCCAATAGAAGCTGACATTATGTTTACACTTGAAACAATTCATTATTTTGCTTTGTTCTGTAGAAGGAGGATCTGTTTCTTATACACTGCAATTACAAGTAGGAATTTTTATAAAAATTTTTAACGTTTAGTCAAGAAGCAATGACATCCAATAAAAGAGTAGATTGGACACCTAGAAAGAGATGTAATATTATTGTGTTACGAGAAAGTGGTCTTTCCTATGCTGAAATTGCAAGACAGGTGGGTGGTTCAGTGACTACATCTGGAGTCCGAAAGTTTTGTTTACGATATCAGGAGACAAATTCAATAAAAAACAAAGAAGGAAAAGGCCGAAAAAGGTGCACCACATCTATTGATGACAGAAGAATAAAAAGACTATGTCTCCAAGATAGAAAATGTCATCAGCGGCCATCAGAAGTGATCTGAATGATGCTGGTGTTTCTGTCAGTTCAAGAACAATCAGGAGAAGATTAACGGATGTGGACTGAGAGGTAAAATTCCACGAAAAAAGCCTTATCTTAATTTTCAGCAACGAAAAAAAAAAAAAAAAAAAAAAAAAAAAAAAAAAAAAAAAAAAAAAAAAAAAAAAAAAAAAAAAAAAAAAAAAAGACTGCAGTGGGAAAAGGAACACATTAATTGGACAGATGATTCAGTGGTCACAAGTTATATGTAGTGATGAAACTAAGATATCGTTATTCGGTAGTGATGGGCGAAAATATGTAAGACGTAGAATAGGAGAAGAGCTACATCCCGACTGCATTCAAGCAATTGTGAAGAACCCAGTTAGTGTTATGATTTGGTCATGCATGTCAGCAGATGGTATTGGTCGCCTTCATGTCATCGATGGGACACTCAATGCCACAAAATACATTGACACTATTCTAGAACCAAAACTTCTACCTTCCATCAGAGATCTCTTTCCCAACAATGCTTCGTTTATTTTTCAGCAGGATTCTGCTCCTTGCCACACGGCCGAAATATCGAAAGAGTGGTTTCGTACAAAGAGCATTAAATTGTTGTCATGGCCAGGAAACAGTCCTGACCTCAATCCTATCGAAAATTTGTGGCACCGTTTGAAAACTCTTGTCCGAATGAGGCGCCCATCAAATAAAAGGGAACTAATTGAGGCTATAATTGTTTCCTGGCATCATGTAATAACGAAAGAAGAGCTTAAAACTCTTGTCAGCTCAATGAAACGTCGATGTGAAACTGTAATAAAAAATAAAGGGTACCCTACTAAGTACTGATAACTCACTGGAATCCTCACTATCTAATGTATATCGATAACTATTATCGTTTAACTTTTTTGTATTGCAAATAATTGAATTTTGTGTTTTGTATTGAATTCAGTAATAAATTCTCTTTAAAATGTTATATCAAGTTTGCATTTTGTGAAACATAACGTTTTCTATAAGCATACAAAGTTCAAAAACATAAAAATTTCCAAGTGTCCACAGTTTTGGCCACCACTGTACAGTTCGCTTGATTTTTAAAATGGCTACAATAAAATAAGAATTTTTACTAAAATTATTCATCATAATTACGAGCATTTGTTGTCCAAATATCTAAAACTAGAATTTAGACATTTGAACGGCGGATACTTTAAAAGTGCTTCGCAGGCACAGCACAAAATTTACGGAAAATATGCTTAGCAGAATTGATTTATAACCTTTCGCAAATGATCTGCAAGCTGATTTAAAAAAGTGTACCGCGTTATAATAAGGGGTAATTTCTACTAAATTAACTATATTTAAATCCAACTTTCACACCTTAATTTTACCTTTAAGTTATGATGTGATTATCACTATAATTTATATTTCGGTTGATTGTCTATTTGACGCAGTTATTCAAAGAATACAAAAATTAAATTAAATGCTGTGGAAGTAAATAGAAAACTTAATTTTTTTTAATAAATATTTACTTAATATAACAAGAGTAACAAAAGTGCTGTACAACTTACTTGTTCTTCATACAACTTTAGTTTCCTGCAAAATAAAGAGAAAAAAAATTAACAAAAATTGCTGTGCTGTAAAACGTTTGACCCTTTTTTATAAATTAAATAAACTAAGGAAAGAGTAAAAGTTTTATGCAAATTTTCTTGATTAAAGTTCTGAAAAATAGTGATTGAGTAGTGTTCGTGAAACCGCATCGTCGATTATGGCAAAGTTTAACGCTTAAAACAATTTACTTCCGAAATCAATTAAATTGTGTAGCATATTTTATGACTCTTACTGATGAATGGAATAAATTCATGTTGCGCACACACAAATAAATAAATGAAATAAAAAATTAATTAATTAAATTTTAGATCAAAATGCTGATAACATATTAAAGCACTTATGCTGTAAATTTCATACAGATGCATTATTAAAGCCATATCAGCAATCCTTTCTGAGTTTCTTTCTGAGTAAAGTTTTATTTCAATTAATCCATCATCTTATTATTTCATTATTTATACTGTCACTTCTGCTTTCCTCGGCTCCCATCAGAAAACGAATTAGTTAATGAGTATATAAAAATAGAGTTCTTGAAGCTAGAGAGTGAGTTTTTAATGTTAAGAGAAAATCCGGCAAATCAAAGGACAGTTGCAAAATCATCAACAACAGACAAATGCAATCAAAACGATAATGCGGATTTAAATCTTAAAAAGGATAAAAAAACAATGTGCATCGTCTTTCTCAACGACATAGCCCTGAACGTAGAACGCGCTGTGGATTTCTTTATGAGAAATAAATCCGTACAAAATGGAAAAAATGTTGTCACAAGAGATGAATCTTGAGATTGTCGTCAAAATGGAGAAAAAAGTCAAAACATAAAGGAAGTTTTTCAAAGCTGTTGCTAGTTTTTCATATAAAGGCAAATTAAAAATAAAGAGAGTGGAGAAAAATGTTAACATCAACTCCGCATGTTATCAGAAACATATTTTATACCCAATTTTCAAACATGAAATATTTTCTCTTCACCCACGGTGCCATCAATCAGTAGAACTGCAAGACAAAGAAAGCAGCCGCACTTTGTTAGTTTCTTGATAAAAAAATCTGATTTGTGCACCACATGACTTCCTTGTATCGAACATTAAATTATACGCATTTTTCTTGCATTTTATTTAAACTTATTAAACTGAATTAAGTCTACTTCGTCGACATAAACCATAGTAGAATAAATGCACTCTTTAAAATTCACTATATTTGTTTACCATTAAATCTACTTCGTCGATAGTACATAAACCACAATAGAATAAATGCACTCTTTAAAATTCTCTATATTTGTTTACCATAGCGACACTCTGGCCCTAGGTCCACTTAACAGCTCTACATTTCAATCATTCGTTAACTATGTCTATGTCTTATAACTTAGTAAGAGGCAATCCACCATTAACGGCCTTTACCAATATATTATACTTGACTTTTAAATTCATTTTTTAACTCAGAATGCACAAAATTTATATCATCTTAAGAACTATCTAATCGTTGCCACATGTTCTATTCGAATACTATAATAAATCTAAAACGATGCATAAAAGAAATTAAGCAAAAAACAACCATAACAACAAAAAAAGTAACAAGTTTTCACAGACGATTTCAGTATTTCTCATTCAATTAATTCAGTTCTCACATCGCGACAAGGCAAAAATACATAAAAACTCAAACTGTCTGTATTGAAGTAAACCTTAAACACTTATTTCTTCCAATAAATCCCAGAATGGATTAAGCATGATTTAATTCGCAATAATAAAAGAAGGTGTTATCTTTGTTACTGCAAAGCTTACTTTCTCTAGATTGGCAACAAATCTACTATTCTGTGGTTTCAAATGTAAACAAGCAATGGCCGACATGGCAAAAATTATTAGGCTTAGTGGCATTTAAACAACTTTTAAATTGTTGATAATTCTAAAAATATTGCATACAGATTTTCTAAAGGCATAAAAACTTTAACCGTAAGATAAGAACAACATAAGTCAGTTATATTTAAAGCAAAAAATGCACAATTTACAAACATATAAGAATAAAGGAACCTGAAATCACTGAGCCGAGTAACAGAGTGGATATATATATATATACATATATTTATATACTTTTGGTGCGGCCGATTGCAACCAAACTACGAGGTGCACATCTACATGTTATAGCAGTCCCTATATACAAAATTTCAACGTTCTGAGGCTACTCGTTTTTGAGTTATGCGAGATATATACGTACGTACGCACTGATGCCACGAAAAATTCTCTTCAGAATTTATTTTAAATTAGTTTTACAATATTTTTGGGGAAAAAGAGTCCTTTATTCTGTCCTTACGTACAGATGTCAAGCAAAAACATCGTTAAATTGCATTCCATAACAGTGAAAATGGATATTTGCGTTGAAATATGATGCTTGAAACTTTTCACGATTGGAATACTTCCTTTTTACTTCGTACAAGGAAGTAAAAAAGGAACAAGAAACGGGTATCAAGGCTTCACTCATATCCCTACTAAATCTCCTGATATATCAGCCAAGGATTTTTGCTATTTTGAACTTTTAAAAAGCGGATTGTCCAAACGTCGACCTCCTTGGAGTTCAAGAGAATGGGATAAAATACCTCTTCCGGTTTTTGGAAATTAGGGTGTAGAAAGATAGTCAAGAATGAGAGTTATCAAACTGAACATTTAAAACGCAAAAATTTTCGGCACAATATTTATGTAAATACAATGAAAGTCGTCTAAAAAATGAGCGAACACCCTCTGTATAAAGCAAATATTTGTGAACTTAATCGTGATGCATCTCTTTTATTTCCGGTACTTGTTGTTGAGCACTACCTTTAGAAACTAATACGAAATTCATGTAACGTGTATAAAAAGTCTGTATAGTATGAAGTACTTACTGTTCAGTCCACAAAGGATTTTCCCTGAAAAACAAAAAGAATCATAAATAAATGATAAAAAATGAATGAAAAATTTTAAAACTTCAACTTCAGAAAATAGAAAATTTACTTCGTTACTGCACTTGAAAAAAGGTTATAAATAATATTGTTACGAATTTTGTAAATAATTGTAGTTAAATTATATGCGAAACTGAAGTATCTTTTGTGTAATGTAACATAATGTGCTTGAAAAATTGAAACTCTTCCGGAAAAAAAGGTTACGGGGATAAGTCTAGAGGTAAAAATGGTTAGTTAAACTGCAGCTCGCTAAACTGTTGAAATATCGCCCAGCTGGCGGATGTTTTGGCGACTAATTTTTCTCACCAAACGTCGCCAAACTTGGCGACATTTTGGTCCGATCCCTTATAACTGTGATTTATATTGTAATTGAATAATTACAATTGATCGTTATATATAATTGTAACCATATCCGTCCCTTATATGGGGCTTTAACGTATACGGCTTCGAGCAATTTGGAGAAACGGGTACTAGAGATTTGTTAGCGTCCGGGAGAAAACTATATAAGAGCGGAAAGATCATCAGTTCTCAGTTTTAAGCAGCTCTGCAGTTGCATGCCATGAAAGATGAAGATTTCCTCCACTCAAGATTAATTATTTTATTTAATTATTCATGAACTGTTTTGTCTTCCATCTAATTTAATGGATAAGGACACAGCCAATTCGATGACACCACCTGCTCACGTGACCATGGTCACTTCCCCTTTTACACTTTCGACAGTTCGTCTTGGACTCATTCTTAAGGTGTCAGTACTTTTTTTTTAGTACCTCCAGGCCCACAGTGGAAAGTCACTTCAAGAGAGCCGGAACACGTCGTGCACTACTTGCACGACAATCGCGGCACATAAACGGTAGTTGGAGCAGTTCACAATTCTTACTTCAGTGTTGAGTTTGGAATATTGATAGATCTCCGTGCGATCTTCCCCTTTTAAATGCGTTTTGCATGGCGTTGTGTTTATTGTTCTTAATAGTTTGAAGTGTAATTACTGATTGTACTCTGATACTGGGAAGAGCTGAGTATTTTTGTAGGAAGTTCCAGAACTGTAAAGTTGTTTCTTTGGCGAAAATAATTTTTTTCAAGCTGTCATCGGTTCTGTGCGCATTCAATCCATTACGAACCCTTACGCACGTAACAATAAGACATGCAGAATTAAGCTTGCAATAACGTTTAAAGAGGATGTTAATAATGTTTAAAAGCAATAATGTTGTTGACGCTATGGAATTCGGTCGCTAGAACGTAGCTGACCTACAATTGTTAAAATATTTATCTTTAAGCGGTGGTAATGGATTGTGCTATTAGGTGTCTTTTATACAGATACATTAACTATTGGCAATTATCATGTACGACATTGGCGCATGGGGTTCCAGGGCAGGGGAGTTGGTAAGGCTCAGAATGAAATTAGGTTCATTCAATCCAGAGGGCTTGGGGTTTGGCTATCGCTCGATGTTTTAGGATAGTCCCCACGGAGGTGGTGTGTATCTTGGCCGGTTTGCCGCCCTTCTCAGTCTTGTATAAATTATATTATCAGAAATATTTATTACGATCCGGTAATATGGACGTTATTCAATATGAGTCAAATATTTTGTTACTAAACATTCTTTTGAAAAATTTAATTACCATCTGGTTTATCCGACAAAACGTATTGCTTATAGTTTTGATAAAATTTTACCTAAAATTGATATGTAAAATGTCCATACGGATGGTTCGGGGATCGGGGGACGCTTTGGAGCAGCTTTCGTTATTTACTTTTATGGAACAGAAATTCATAATTGTCAGTATAGACTGAATTCTTATAATTCCGTTTTTCAAGCAGAGTGTGTAGCGGTCTTACAAGCTCTAAAATGGATTAAGATGAATGTTTACAATAATGTTAATGTTAATTTATATACTGATTGCCACTCGTTGCTTCAATTGCTCTGCCCCGACAATACAAATTTGCTTATTGTGGATATAAAATTGTTGCTTGAAAATATGTACCCTAAAATTGTGTTGCACTGGGTCAAAGCCCATGTGGGTATGCCGGAAATTAGAGGGCCGACATTCTGACCAAGGAGGCTGTTACTAAAGAGAACATACCATTTATGGAAATATCTGGCTCCAAACGAGTAGCTTTAACTCTCATGAAAGAATATTTTAATAATGGGTGGGAAGAAATGTGGGAAAACTCTACTAGGAGGAAAAACCTACTCATAGATATTAATATTTCAAATAAAATGTTTATTTACAATGATATAGATATGAATCAATTGATTACGGGACATGGGAGGTTCCCATATTACTTGAATAGGTTTAATATACAAGATAATGAATTATGTTTGAATTGTGGTGTTCCAAGAAATACTAGACACTTCGTGGTGGACTGTCCGCTAATAGATACTATTAGGAAAAGTTTTAATAATGTATCAATTGATTTTAAGAATTAGAATTTTAAACATTTTAAGCATTTTTCAAAGAATTCTAATGCACTTTGTTAATAATAATAGGCAAGTTGTTGGCATTTTGGTTTGATGGATTTACTTTTGTGGGCATTATTGGTGGTGCAGTAATTTTTAGGAGTTTTAATTTAAATTTTTAATTACACTTGGGATTTAAAGGGTTTTAATTCTTAGTTTTTATGTGTGCCTGTCAATTCCAATGTGTTGTTTGTTTGGTAGTATTTTGTGTTTGTGTTGTTCTTATATATGTACCTTTCCTTATTTTTGTTTTCTTATACTAACACATATTTTTCTTGGTTAGTTTTTTTTTGGTTTTATGGGTGACGCTTTAAGATCATAAGATTACTTCATGATCAGGTGGGTGGGGAGCACTCCAGCAATCTAACATTAACTATTGTATATTTATGATTTGTGTAAAGTGGAAACAGTTTGGATTCTGAAAAATGAAACAGTGTTCTTTCAACTTCCGTTTTCCATAAAATTTTCTGTTGTTTGGAATAAAATTATTATAACTGTGCATTGTATAAAACATAAATATTATTACAGCTGTAAAGGAAAGCTTTATTATAAACTGCTGTATAAATCATTTAAATAAAATTAATTTAATGTTTAATGTAGAAGTTTATTAAACATTTAAAAGCAGAAAAAATTCGACCTTAGTCTGAAGTTGATGTAAAAAAGCTCGGTTGGAGAGACAGTCTGACAACACTTCTTGATATGCGTATTCACTTATGGCTGATTTGAAATTAGCCATAAGTGAAAAGCGAACTTATTAGAAGCCTATATTTAAAATTAGCGAGTTTTCCTTTCTTTAACACTTAAAACTAATTTTGAACTAACTACCTAAAATAGTTATTATAAAAAAGAAAATATATATAATGATTTTCATAAGTCGTATCAGTGCAATTTCATAGTTCCAGCTTGTTATTCATAACAGAGATGAAGAAGTCCGATAATTTGCTTAGTTTGTTTGAAAGATTTAGCTTGAAAATTAACTTCAGTTTTTTGCTAATCAGTAACATACAGATTTAATTTGAAATAAAAATTAAACATCTTACGTTTTGCAGAAAGGGAATACACTGGCGCGTGAAAGATAAAAATACTTTGTTTCGGTCAGTGGCAACATATTTCTTTTAAATCGTTGAGTTTTTGATTAAATTTTAAAAAACAAATATTTTACACTTTGCTGAATGTCAACGCATTTCCTTTAAATCGTTGAGTTTTTCCAACTTTGTGTGAAACGTAAATATCTTACCCTTTGTTGAATGGCAACACATTGTCTGAATTTTTTAATCAAAATTTCATTTATAGATGTTGTCATTTGTTCACGATAATAGAAACAAACATACGTATACACATACATACTACGTGTATACATACACACATACATACGTATATTCATTCACACGTATACATTTTTCATTATTTAATGATGATTTCAAGAACTTATGCATAATTTTGGATAAAAGTATTAATTTTATCTAAATGTTAAGACTAAAGCAAGTTTTCTTACAGTTGTAAAAAAAAAAAAAAAAAAAAAAAAAAAAAAAAAAAAAAAAATTAAGCTAATATAAACAGAATTATTAAGCTTCATATGAATGAAGCAAACAGCATTGTTAACCAAAATTCTTTTTAACGTGGACAAACAGACACAAACTTTTGAACAAATAGTTTGCAGTTTATTGTATTTACTCGCGTAATAGTCGCACCCCCGTTTTCAAGTACAAAAAATCCTCAGAAGTGTACCATATTGTATAGTAGATTTCTCCCGCATAATAGTAGTCGTACCTAGGCTTTCCCAATGAAAAATTGTTAAAAAAAAAGTGCGACTATGTTGCGAGTAAATACGGTAATATTAAAGACATACTGAATAAAAAAATACATTACCATATTTTTACAATATTATAAAAAACTTACGTTGTGTTTCCATTGTCCGCTTCATCTCGTGGAACTAAGAAAAGTGAAAAAGTAATAAATTAAACAGTAAACAACAATTTTTTTTTTTCGTAAACACGCATAAAAAAAGCGCAGCAAATGCAATACGAATAACATTTGTAAAGTTTCTCGTCAAGTGACAGTTTTTTTTTAAAAATTAAATTAGCTGGTAACAAGAAGAATGGTTCAGAATTTGACACTTCCCTGCTTGACCAGAATGAAATATCACTGCGTATTATTACTACTCAGCGAAAACTAATTTATTGATTGACAATTTTCAGGCCCAATGAACTGAATTCTTTTCAGAAGTTTGTTTATTAGGTCTTTATAAAATATGGCTGATCATTAGAATATGAATTTAAAAGTTGGAGCTACATAAAAATTTACTCCAAAACTGAAACGAGAGGTGTCATTTGAGATACAGGCAAGATCTTATGCAAACAAGTTTTAAAATGAAGGAATTTGTAGATTCTCATTGGTGCTAATAGATGGCAGAACGGGCAAGCAATTACATACCAAGCATTACAACGTATAGAAAACTTAGTAAAAATTTTTTTAGGATTAATAATATAAATGCATTTCACCCGAAAAATTATTAAAACTTGTAATATCTGCAAAGGTTCAACAATATAAAATATTTCAATTGTTTTCTTGAATACTATTGCCAGATATTTTATCAAATGGAATTTTTTGAGAAAGCTTATTAAATCTTCTTTACAGAAAGAGTTTTTTTTTATTCCGTAAAATGCTGTTAATTTTTATTAGTTATAAATGAAGTTGATTTATTCCAACTGATGTTATTTTTAGTGTTAAATAATTTACTGTTATTGTACAACACTGATTTGTGATATTAGCTTATCTGTACATAAATTGACAGGTTTTTACCACAACAATTTCTTAACTGAAAATACTTACTCAGAGCTTCGTGAATTTTGACTGTGTACCTAAAAGATAAAAATAAAAATTTTATTAAGCATATTGTTGCAAAGATTTAGAGGCGCTGCGCAATATGTATAAAATGTTTTCGTACACTATTTTAAAAAAACTTTTATAAAAATATTCTTACACTCTATGTTAAAAGATTGCGTAAACAACAACGTTTTTACTTTGATATTAAGGGAAAAGAATGTCATTTTGGCAAACCTTACCATTTTTTCAAGCAGAGACAGCACACAATCATAGTAATTATGCCAACAAATATAACGACGAGCAGAGCGATGAGAGCTGCAAGGGCAAGATCGAATTCTTCATCCAGAAGATCTACATAAGCTGGCTGTTAGAATAAAAAATAAGGAATAATAACATGTAAAGTTTGATGCTTTATGCAATAGTGCAATATTCATATAATGAGACAGCATATCAAGCAATAACATCTAAAATTTAATTGTTTTATTTTAGAGAATTAAACTGATGCTTTTAACATTATAAGAAAGCTTATTGATATGGTATTTGAACTAATATTCTTGATCAGGACCGAGGAGAATTTTCACAGAACACATGAATGTTCCGTTAAAAAATCTGCGAAAACAACTTTAACTTTCACTTGAAGGCCTTTGACATAACCTAAATAATACTAGTATTTTGACATAAACAAGTTATTATAATAGCAAATAATAAAATTTTATAATTAAAAAAATTGTGTTTGTATTTCCAGTTTAATTGTGACGTAAATACCTCCCAATAAGAGAATGCCACCGCACCAGACATTTTGTTCCTTAAATTATCCATTTTTCAGAGGATACACATTAAAAAGCATTTCTAATAAAAATTCAGATTATATTACGCTTTAAATAAATGACATATAAATAAGTAGCTTAGTCACAGGTATGTTTTGAATTTGAAATTAATGAAAATGAAAATTCTTAATTAAAAAAAGTTTAATTATTATGATATGAACAAGTTTTGAAAATAATCCGTTATACGGTTTTGTTTGAAGTCTGACCACTGCAAGCATTTTATTCCACGTGTATGTTCATGTCACTGATAATCTTAAGTCCTTCACCGTGATCTACAATTATCATGAAATTCTTCACTGGGAAGTGTGTTTTGAGGCATCTGTATAGTTTTTCGTGCCACACTTTTAGTCTGGCTGTTCTTCATCTTCACTGCTTTCCGAGTTATTTTTGTTAAAGATCATCAACTATAGTTGAAATAAAAGATTTTATGCCATTATTGGTGTCTTCAGTGCACAAATCGATACCGATTTCTAAATATTCTTGCATGAGCACTGTCACTGATTTTGACAAGTTCAAACAATTAATTTTCATCAGTGTTTTTATTGACAGCACCTGAAAGTGGAATTTCAAAGCCTGCTTTCTTAAAACAGTGCTGAACACAATTTTGTGATACGGATTTAACAGCCTTAATTAATCACTGAAAGACATTCAATACATTGATACATTTCCCAAGCCGATGGCTGTTTTCGCAGGCAGCCTGACAAAGAACATGCTGTAAAACAGTTTTCTGTAAAGAACCTTCAAGTCTGTAATTCTACTTTAGTACAAAGGCTATAATACTGATGTTGTATAGGGGGATGGGAAATACACTAATTTAATTGATTTTAATTTTATATTTGGTGAGTAAGGTGGAATGTGAATTAAGTAAGTATTGAGCAAGTTGGAGTTTAGTTTTACATTTGGTGAGTAAGCTTGTCAAGAAATAGCAGATTTCTATTTTTTCTAGATGATTTTGTATCAAAAGCAATCAACAATTCTGAAGTTTTTTCATCATCTGTGACTTTTTAATGTGATGCCAATGGACTGATAAAGCTTTTGGATTGATGTGTTTGAAGCATCTTGTTTTTTTTCGCCTGTCCAATTACAAGTGGTTGCTCCAACTCTCCTTCCGTACTACAACAAAGTAGCATAAGTGAGACATTCCTTGGAGCTTCTTAACACCAGAGCACTTTTCTCCTATGAAGCAAAGAGTTTTATTAGGCAATATTCGACAAAATAATCCAGTTTCATTTGCAATGTAGATATTTTTGGCCTCATATCCTTCACTGGTTTCATTTAGCTTTTTTATCCACTTTCTTACGTGTTGCATATCTTCTGATTTTTCATCATCATAAATAGTTTTAAAAGTAATGTTATGTCTAAGTTTTCTAACCAACCATTTCATACTTTAAAGTTTCAGAAATATATTTTGCCTTTTCTTGCAATAATACTCCACTTACAGGAATTCTATTTGCTCTTACAGAACAAACCAGTTGAACTCTACTGCATCAATTTCTTGCTTCAGTTTTTCTAAATTTGAGAGTCCCAGAATGTTCATTTGAATTAATAATGCATAATATATTTATTTCTTCTCTATCCTTTAGCACATAACTAACTTGGTTTTTATTAAATCTTTTCCTCTAAGTTTCTCAAACTTAAATTCCTGCTACATAAATTATATCAACATGTTAATTTTTCATCTCTTTGGAGCCATGCAAAAATAACACACAAATGCAAAACTAAACTTCTTTTGCTCTCCAGAAGTTTCACTCTGTCCACATCGTGGGAAGGTGGTTCAGTTATCTCACCAGCATTTTTTTCCTATCTTATTTTTATCAGTGTATATCTTATGTAATAATTTTTATATCATTACTATGGATTCAGACTACTGTGACCTTGTCACTTACCATGCTTTCTCTCCAAGTCACGGCTCGACTGCTTTCTGTGCCTTCGTTTTCGCCTCGTTACCCAGAATTCTAACAACTCATTAATTAATGCATTAAATCAAAGAGTTTAGATTCAAAATCTAATCCTAATTAATAAATAAAAAAAAACTATGAAAATCTAACTGAAATCTATATGCTGATTGAACAAGTTAGCTACTGATACATAATTCTAAGATACTAATTGTTCCACAAGGGGTAAGGCCTTTGGCCTAGGCACCCTGGTGTCTCATACACCGTTCCACTGGAGGCCATTTTTTCCTCATCGGCCCTTGTCTTCGATTGCCTTAGAAACTGCTAACACTGTAACCTTTCTGAGAACTTTAGGAAGATCAACTGGATTTTGAATTATGCCAATGTGAAATATCCTTTTGATTGTATCACAACTTGCTTTTTACCAATGTATATTGTTCCCCTTTTATTCCTCCCTCCCTACTGAAAAGCACTTTTCAAAAGAGCATTTTATTGTTCTTTTATCACAAAATTATCTTTCACCGAGCAGAAACTTGCCTCCGAAATCTCAAAAGATTGCTAAAAAAGAGTATTTCTATTTTTATTTATTTCTCCACCTCGATCTTATTTTGGAAGCTTTTTTTCAGTGTCCCTCACATAGAGTGTTCCTTAATAAGCATTAAGATCATAATACATTCAGATCCCAATTCAAAGTGACAGGAACCAACAGAATGGTTCCTTAAATAGAGGTATCCCTTACAGGAGGTACTACTGTATGTACTACTGTAACATTGAATGAACAAAGTCCTTCTTTTCCAAAAGCAAGAAAGTCTAGCAAACATTTTGTCTACATTAATTAAGTATGCAAAAGTATTATTTACAAAAAATTTGTTACTTTACCACTATTTTGTGGATTTTAATTTCTTGGCGGTCACTGAGTACTTTCGAATTCGAATCCACGGCTTCCAGCACTTGCGGTATGAGCATCATTTCATCTTGGTTGTTTACTACATGGATGTAGAGATCCGTCCTAGCAATGAAACAAAGTGGTGAGTTAAAAAATTTAATTTTGAAAACCGTCAGATTTTATGAAGATTTCAATTAGGATTCACTCTGCAAAATCATTGAGTTCATTTTTATAGTATATTGAGTCCAATAACCAAATTTTAGCATTCACTCTAGCATGGCACCATGAATTTCACAGTAATTTTTTTATAATGTTGTTGCCATATATTCCGGCGTATAACATGTACCCGTATATCCTTTGCGTACCACCTTTTTCTCTTGCGTACCATCAGCGTACCATCGCTTGAGAACCCCTGTTCTAGAAGAAACCGAAAAATTTTCATGCTTCCTTTAAAACTCATAAATAGTCCACTCTAATACACATTAATTATATTATTTAAAAGGAAATTTATAGCTAAAATAGAAATGATTTGAATAAACTATGCCAAAAATGAAAAAATAATAAGATGCGAAAAAATAAAAATAAAAGTTTTTATAAAATAAGCTTTCATTTAAAACTCGTAAAATAATGGGCGAACTTAAAAGAAAAATAATTTATCATACAGCTTAACTGACACAAGCGCTTAAATAATTCTCTTTACTAAATTTATCTACAGTTTTATATTGAAAATAATAAAAGCACGTGGTTCCTTTTATAAATTTATAAAGACAATGGCTTATACTTTTGGTAGTCCAATTTACTTGTGACATTAAATTGAGGAGGAGTTTTGTAAAAAGATGTATTTAATAATCTGCTTCAAAAGCTTGCCAAAAAATTACGTTAAAAATTGTCGCACAAAGTTTTTGAAAACGATTTTTTCCACTCTGTCCGGCAGTGCAAACATTAAAATTCTGTGACTTTTAGTTTCCTCGTTAAATGTGCAAAATTTCTTCTCAATATTGAATTAAAAAGGTCTAAATCGAATTTTGAAAAATGTCGCTTAGCCACATTACTTTTTCATACACAAACAATGTATGTGCAAAGTTTCAGCTCGATATAAATTATCAGGAATTAGTTCAAAACTCGATGACAAACTTTTGACCATGGTGACAAACATTATGAGTGAACTAAAAAGTTTTTATCACAAACTCACTCTAAAATCACTCACACAAAATTAACTAGGTTACTTAACTTACTCTAAATTTTATTAACAGCAAAACTATGATGTTTTGAATTTGCTTCAATCAAACATTCTTTGTACAATTAAAGTCCAGATTTTGAGCTTACAAGCTTGATTACTTCACTGTATAAGAAGGTTTGGTTAAGAGCATAATATATTCAAATAAATGCATTTATTTAACAAAAATGTTTTTGAGGAATATATTAAAATAATTTACAGTTATCAAAATAATTATTTATAGCCGCCCACCCTAGGCGTAAAGGCTATTTTGAAACGAAAAAATAAATAATTAACTTACCATTTTCTAACTAATTTTTTCTTTTCATTCACGTGGTATCTGATGTCATCAATTACCACTACACCTCTCGTGGCATTAGAAAGGATTCTGTGAGATAAATAGACTTTATTAAATCACTTAACAATTATCTGTAAAATTACGACACATCTACATAGTCAATAACGATTTGTAAAGCTAATGTACGTTTTTATATATATGTATATATTTCTTTCGTAAAATGAGAAAGCAGTTTTTTTTACATAATTATTATTATTAAAAAAAAATGAAACTGCGTACTGTATAAGGCATTTTCTCCCTGCCTTCCGCATGCCTTTATAATGTGATTGGAAGCCCATGCGACGCGTTTTCGAGAGATCCGAGGCTAAGAATATGTAATGTTAAGAATGAAAGCTTCGCCAAATATGGAGTGGCTCCCTCAGACCACAGAGGGAAACAGAGGCTATCATTCCGGCTTTATATCATTTTGCTCATGCGCCAAATAGCTGTTGAAACTGTTCCGAAAGAGAGCTAGCTTTATACCTTTTTGCGTATGCCAGTAATACACTCATGTCCATAAATTAAGGATAAAGCAAAATCAGGCAAAGGAAGAGTTAGAAGCAAAACAAATTTGACTTATTTGTAAAGCTTATTTATTAAACAAAAGGTAAAGAGCAAAAAAAAAAAAAAGATGCTATATATTTGAAATTATTAAAAAAATTAGCGATTTTTTCTCCCTGGAGCAAATTACGAAAAAAAAAAAAAAAAAAAAAAAAAACTATTTACAAAAAAACCAATATTACATGGTTGGTATGATTGTTAATACGTTGTATGTCTCACAGACGATGCAATACAGACCGTACAACGCCTAGGCATGCTGAGTATCAAATTATCGATCACTCAAAAAGCAATGCTCTCCGAAGTTCCGGTAGACCTGTAGGAGGAGGTTGACGGGCTGCAACTCGTCGGCCAAGCATGTCCCACACGTGCTCTAGTGGATTCAAGTCCGGTGAGAATGCTGGCCAGTCCATACGGGTGATATCCTCCGATTGAAGGCATTCGCTTACGATGTTTGCACGGTGAGGACGGGCGTTGTCATCCATAAACACAAATTGTGCGCCCATGGCGCCCAGAAACAAACGTACATGTTGTTCCAGAATGACGTCCCGATAGATTTGGATTGTCATGGTTCCAATTTGAACATGCAGGTCAGTTCTGGAACCCAGAATAATTCCACCCCAAACGAGCACTCCTGCACCACCGTAACGGTATCGTTCAATGATGTTTTCTTGGTGGTAACGGGTACCTGGAGCTCTCCATATGAAAGTCCGGCGAGAATCAGACTGCAAGCTAAACCTGGACTCGTCGGAAAACATCACACAAGCCCACTGTTGCGGTGTCCACAATGCATGCTCTCTACTCCAGGCTAACCTCAGGCGACAGTGAGTTGCAGTAAGTGGAACGCATCTGACAGGTCTACGAGCATATAGACCAATCTGCTCTAAGAGCCTGTACACGGTCTGCCTTGAAATTGTCGTACCAGTAGCTGAAGAGAGCTGACGAGACAGGTCTGAGGCTGTGCTCCGCCTATTTCTTTTGGGAGTGACTGCCAAATACCGGTCGTCATTCGGCGTTGTAACTCTGAGGCGACCTGTGCTGTAACGTCTACTCACATTACCATCATCTTGGAATCGTTGCCAAAGCTTAGAGTTGACACTCTGGGCAATTCCAAGTTCGTCTGATACTTCCAGTTGGGTACGCCCACATTCCAGACGGCCGATAATTCTACCATGTAAAAAATCCTCCAAATGCGTCCTTTGTGTCATAACTATTCGGTTATTGCACTGAAATGCTTATAAAGCGCCTGTGACAAGTTTACTTCTTTGCCTGTATTCCTTATATATCACTCTCTTACACTCTCGTCATTGTGACGTACCATCGGTGTCATCTGGTTACTTCCTGAAATTTGCATATGATTCTTGAAGATGTGTGTAGTCATTTTACAGGTGATATATTTATTTTAAAGTTCGATTTCCGCGTGACTCCGAATTATCCTTAATTTATGGACATGAGTGTAGTTGTCGAGGCCGGTGTCGAAGGTCGCATTCGTAAAGATTTCAGAGTTCTGTGATGCCATCTTTTTAATCGCCTTATCGATGTAAATCGAATCAGTGATTTGCGCGAGTAGATTAATAATAGATTATTCATTTTGACTAACAAGATTTAGGAAAATCCGAGTTAAATTGTAGCGAAAACCTTTATCAAGGAACAAATTCTATAAGTTCTTTAAATTTGTACGGTAATTCTTAATTTCCCGTGCAAATGCCGATTTGGTGACGAGAATTTGTCCTTTCTCGATCTAGCAGCTCAGAAGTGATACATTACGTCTATGGAAGCTTTCATTTATATATAGATATATATATATATATATATATATATATATTCTTTGTCCGAAGTTCGAAGTTCGGAGAGGGCATTGCGGTTTTCTTCAGTTTCCTGACTTCCAAAAGCATTTTAAGCTAATTTTCTCCTATCCAGCTCGCCTTCGTATCCGTAACTGTTTTTTCTCCTCACTTCATTCTGGTATAGCGTATTTCGCTTCGTGAAAGGTGCACGAATTACGATTTACTTGAAATTATAGCTTTGGGTTCTCAAATAAGTTGGAAAAAATAAGTGCTGTAAGGTGAGGACGGAACGTACTATGATCACAATAGGAGGGGGTCGAAAGGTCTTGAAGTGCCTATAGTATATTACAAAAGAACAATGCCTTAATTCTTTACAGCATGAATTTAGTGACTATTATTCTATGGGGCGGTCCAAGATAAACTAAACCCAAGGCAAATGATGTCTCTCAGGTTCGGTACGCTTTATCTTGGACCACTCTGTACATAAATTAAAATTCTGTAAAATGTAAACAGTAAGCATTTTTAAAGCTTGGATATATAAAATGGTGTTTTCACCCAAAAAAATCATTTCAGTAAAATTATTAACAGTAAAATAAAGGAACTTACTCATGGATTAAAGTTTCACGTTTATGCACTTCTTCAGGTGGTTGAGGTACTATAACTCTTACTAACTGATTTTGCTCATAAATCCACACCTGCAAAATTGCGAAAGATTTTAATAGTATTTTCATCATATCACTAACAAATTACGAGTTTAATTAGAAGATGTCCTAATGCATGAAAAGTAACATTTTATCACATTTAATATATGTATATCACTCTGAAAATATCGCAAAATCGAATGCATTATACATTGCTCCTTTGCTTTAACAATATTAACAAAATAATATTTGTTTTGATTTACAGTATTTATTTGTAATACACTGGTGTGCAAAATTAAGGACGAAGTCGAAAAATTAGCATATCAGCTGAACGAAGAGGCAGAGCGGACAGAAAGACCAATCAGTAGATTAAGTAAGATGATGTACGGTAGCACATGCGCAGATATGCAGGTAGACGTAATGAGGGAGTGTCTGAGTAGTATAAAGCATGTTGTCGGTGTAAGATCAGTATTTCTGGCAAAGAGATTGCACGCCGTATAGCAGTTAAAATCACACCGAGTAGCAGCCTCAGCGAGAAATGGCGAATAATCAATCTGTTAGACGACATCTGGATGATTTTACTCGAGGTCAAATCATTGGGAAGTTGGAGGAAGGCCGCAGTGTGACAAGTGTGGCTGCAGTGTTCGGAATGGCTCACAGCATCGTTTCACGACTTTGGAGACAATTTCAAACTACAGGAACAGCTATCCGGGGGTTTAGTAGTGGTCGTCCACGTGTAACCACACCCGCAGATGACCGGTATATTGCCTTACAGGCCAGAAGAAACAGGCGGCAGACAGCGGGGAAAACCGCTAGACACACGACACCGGCGACTGGACGACCGATATCGCGTTTTACCGTGGCCAGAAGACTGCACGGTGGTAGTCTGTTTGCACGACGCCCTGTACGGTGTGTCCTCTAACGCCTGCCCATCGGAGAAGGCGTGGTGCCGGGAACACCGGAATTGGAGAGACAATGAATGGGGACGAGTACTCTTTACAGATGAGAGCAGATTCAGTCTGAGTAGCGATTCTCATCGCATACTCATCTTGAGAGAGCGGGGAAGCCGCGATCATCCTTCGAACATCATTGAAAGGGACAGGTATGGAGGTGACGGTGTTCTCGTTTGGGGAAGCATCATGTTTGGTAGTCGTAGAGACCTTCACATCTTCGACGCAGGTTCAGTCATCGGGACCCGTTATTGTAACGAGATTCTTCTTCCATATGTGCGTCTTTTTAGAGGCGCTATGGGTCCGCAGTTCCTTTTCATGGACGACAATGTACCATGTCATCGCACAGTAGCTGTCGAACAGCTCTTAGAGAGTGAGGATATTGAACGTATGGATTGGCCGGCACGATCTCCGGATCTCAATCCCATCGAGCATGTATAGGATTTTCTAGGTAGACGCTTGGCAGCTCGTACCTTACCACCAGTAACGATTCCGGAGCTTCGATTGGCGCTGCAAGACGAATGGGCAGCAATGCCTCAACAACTCATTGACACCCTCATTCTCAGCATGGGCAGACGTTGTGAAACCTGTCTAGCAGTCAGGGGAGATCATATTCCCTATTAAAGACCGGATGTTTCTTGCTGGACACCCAGCACAGGAATGTTTCGGCCTTCAGTCGCATTGCGCTCCATGCTACTTTTTCAATAAAGCTTCTTTTTTATCCCTCTGATTTCTCTTTTAGTAAGTGTTGCTTACATTACTCATGTCCTTACGTATTGGGGATCTTACGGTATTAAATGTGTTGATTTGGAAAGCTTTTGTACAAAGTTATATTGAAAAAAAAAAAGTCTCGTCCTTAATTTTTGCACATCATTGTATATAGCTGTATGTGATATCAGATGAAGAAAAATACTTATTATTAAGTTTAAATTAACATCTCGTACGCTGTCGATGAGACCTAGATAGGATGTTCTAAGGATATAATGGGATGCGTTTAGGAGATTAATGGGATATTCCGCTGTTGGAAACTCAACCGATATGGGGCTATAGTGAGCCCTTGAATTTAAAACTGATTATTTACTTTTATCTTTAGAATGTAGTTAAATGTATAAGATGTGTCAAGTGAATTGTCTCTCGTTATAATGTGTCAATAAAGGATTAAAAAAAACTAAGTAATTTTCAGTTACTCTCTTTAGAAGCTCAGAAGATCAAGAACCAGGTAAGAACTATTATTTATATCCCATTTGTTTTATCCGCGAAGTCGTGAGAATGCAGTTAAGTCCTGATAATACCCCGTACGTTGTGGATGGGACTTAGTTAGGATGTCCTGAAGATATACTTTCTTCCTTCTTGAGCACACTTTGTAAGAGGATATTCGCATTTATAACCTTTTCAGAAATTTAATAAAAGAAAATAACATGTTACGTATATATTCTACTTACTTAGAAAGCACAGATAAAGATTTTATTTCTTGTTTCGCGTCTCATTTCAGAAATATTGAGAAAAAATTCTTAATTAAACATACAGTTACTGCTCGTATGAAGTAAAGGAAGTACTGTAATCGCGAAAAATTTCAAGTATGATATTTCAACGAAAATATTCATTTTGAATGCTCTGGAATCCATTTGAATAATGTTTTTGCATGACATTTGTATGTACGGACAAAATAAAGGATTCCTTTTTTCCAGACGCATTGTAAAATGGATTTAAAAGTGAATTTTTCGTGACGTCTATACGTATGAACGTACAGACATGCGTTACAGACATTATTTTACATTATGCGAGATACATACCTACATACTGCAAATGTATCTCGCATAACTCAAAAACGAACTTGGATATTTAGTTTTGTTCTTGACTTATACTTTGAATGAATTTGGCCAACCTTCTATATAGCTATATATCTTGTTAGGGTTTATTCTTTACTTGTACTTTGAATCAGTTTCGGCTCAATATGCTCCTGGTTTGAGCTGTTCAATTGGTGCTCGCATATTAAGACGACGGAACACATTCACTTCTATTAATTATTGTTAAATAATCGGAAATTGGTTTGTTCTCCTTGAAAAACCAATTAATTTTCGCTTAATAGCAACAGTTTAATTTTTCTTCACATGCTTGTTCTGTACTATTTTCGTAATTTTTTTTACTTACTATAAACAATACTAATTTTTTACTACACTAGCATTAATTCAATTTTATTCATTTTCCTAATTCCTTTTTTTTTTCCTTAGGAGATAATTCCAAAAGTGATTTAATGAATATATATATATTCAAAATTTCTATAACTCTAAAGAAAACTCGTATTAACTATATTTTTTAAATTTCTCAACTATAGTGATATGATAATTATTACTTAAACCTTAATCGGAGGTAATAGTTGGATGACTACGATAAGAAATTTAATGTAAATATAGATTATCCCTGATGGATTCTGAATTGGAATTTCAGTAAAAGAAGATTAATTTATATATTTTTTCTCCTTGTATATTTCCCCCCTTTTGCAGTTTCTGTTTTCGAGTTTGTACAATGTAGAGACATTAGGTATTTTTTGGAAGCAGGCAAGATGAAAAATTAGCAACCGCCTTCCCCGGGAATCGAATCACGGGCCTCTGGAATACCAGCCCAGCGTGCAGAACCACTACACAACGAAGGCACGCCAAGACGGTAGGAGAAATACCTTATACCTACTATAATCCTTTTTAAAATTTTGAATTGTTTAAATATTGTGTTAAACCTCTTATACAAGGATGCAATTATTAATATTGTTGATGAATTGCATTGCTTTGCACAATGTACTTTTAACTGTATATGCTATAAGTTTATATATATATATACTGCCACTTTGTTACCCGGCTCGGTGATTTAGATTGGCAATTTGCCAGATTTTTTTAAATATTTATTTCGATAATTTTTCAGATATTTAGCCTGTGGCCTTCAAGCAGTTGCAAAGTCTAGTTTTACAGTCTTTTCGTCGTATGAGGAATGCCCAAACATGAACTATCACAAAATTTAAATTTTAAAATTTGTAATAACACAAACGAAAGGATTTTGATGTGGGAAGGGAGAGAAAGAAAAGGGGGAACAGAACACTTACTTTCACAGTTGCTTTTGCTACTCTGAAAGGTGAAGCAACTTCTTTGGCAGCCACTCTCAGTTCAAAACGAGCATGATCATATTGAGCCATTAGCTGTGCCGCTGTGATATGGCCATCCGATGAGATATTGAAAGGAGATGGCACGGGTCGGACACTGCCGCTGACACCCGGACGAAATAACCGGATTGCGTCGAGCCTGTATTCAAACTTCCCGTTTTCACCTACATCCGGATCAACAGCGGAAACCGCAGCAACAAGATCTCCCACTTGCATCGACGTACGGATACCTTAGTAAAATAAATTAAAATCAATGAATTTTCAAAATTAAGAAAGTCAAATGCTAACACTCTAAATCTGGAAAATTCAGTCAAACTTAGTTCTGAGGCATTTGAGCAGAATTCCTAACAATATTTCGTGCCATGTCCCTTACGAAACATTTTCGTAGAAACTGATAGAGCTCTTTAAAAATTTTCATAGAACTTTATAGGTAATTCTCTATAGAAACGCTACTTAATAAAATTCTAAAAAATTTTTGCTACATAAAATAAAATAAAATAAAAAATAATAAAAAAAAAAAACTGGAAGATTTTAGATTTTATTTTACACCTAAACGAGTTTCCCCCCCCCCTCATTTACAGACACATGCACGTTTCGACAGCATTTGGGCTAATACCATATTGTGCTAAAAATATTTAAAAACAGCATATCTTTAGAATTTCCTATAGACAGTCTCGCGTGCCGGAGATAAAAATGCTTTATTCCTTACAGTGTTGCCACTGCTCGCTTTGAAATTGTTAGTTTTTTAATGAAAAATGTTATAAAGTATTTAATTATTAAAGTTATTAGTATTATTTATTATTAGTTAAAGTATTTATTATTTTTTAATCAAAAATGTAAAAGTTTTATAAAATATGAAATAAATAATGAAACAAATTTCAAATTCGGCCTTCCAAGTGCCCATGTTCGGGTTAGGGCTATGTTATTCAAAATTTGATTACGCTAGGTACCGTTGCTTTTTCACAGTGCGAGAAACATACATACATTCATGTAGCTTTTCCATTATTTAGTCTCTTTAAATGTAATGCAGGGCGATAAAATTTGGCGTCAACAATTTAAAAAGTGATTTGAAGCAAAATGCCGTTTTGATGCTAATAGCCCTTCTGGGCTAATAAGAAAGAATTTTATAGAAATGTAACTTCAAAAAACCATATAGAAATTTTATACATTTCGAGAGAAACTCCTGTGGACTGACAAGGTACACCTTTCATTTAATAGATATGCAAATGCACAAAGATGTCACAAATCAAAAGATGTCACAAGATGTCACATCTGTGCTAGAAAGAACCCACATCCCTTTGCATCCGCCAGATATGACAGAATTCATTATAGGCCCTTTCTTCTTTGATGAGGTTCACAGCGGTACATTTAAACTTATTTTAATTACTATCGGGCGTTTATGCATTGCTTTAAGAAACAACATCGCTTTCTTTTTCGACCATAGTGTAACATTTATGCAGGATGGAGCGCATTAGCAAATGTTTTGTCCAGCACCTATACTGTGATCAACATTTCACAATGACTGTGTCCTCTATCGCATATTTTCTGTACGAATACTCACTAGGCTCTCCAGATTTTGTGGCTTTTGGTTATGGACCGCTTGAAGGCGCAGGTGTGCAGAGAGATCGGAGAACGTTACTGACCATATTTTACAGAAATTACTTGCTATTATGTAATTATTATTGCTGGAATCCCAGATGAGCAACCTTCGATGCTATGTAGAGCGTCGTGCTACTCGTATGACGGCCATTCTCGTGAATGACATTCAACATTTGTAATCCTACCTGCGTTGCGAATTATGCTGCGCTACTATACGGCAGGGACCATATGGTACTGTCTTGTCTGCCCCTTCGCTGTGGGGTTGTTACATGGTTTGATTTCGTAGGTTGTACTTGGGGGTTTGGCTCCCCTTGTTCAGCTCATGGAGATAATAAGGTTACATCTTACTTCCATCGTTCAGCTCTGGGGGAAGGTCGATGTCTAGCATGTTCTTCATTTTTTTTTTAGGTGGATGCATCCACCTTAGACTTTGTAACTTTTACTCTGACTGTATGAAACAGAAATTATCCCCGCCGATTGATCGGGGAAGGTTATGCCTCCGTGGATCGCTTCTAGGGGTTGGGGCGTTTTCCTGTGTAAAGACAGCCTCGATCTTGCCAGATCTGGATGCATCTTCCTCCTAGTGTTCTGTACGAACGTTCTGACACAATATCGGTAAAAAATGTACTATTACCACAATAAATTTGTTCATTATTAGGAGAAAAGATCCCATGTATCGGTATGCATTTCAGTGAAAAACGCATCATGCTACTGCTTGTACTTTCCGAATTATTGAAATTTTACCTTATTACTTTGAAGCCTCTCAAATTTTTCTCGAACTTTTTTAATACAAGAAAGTAAGAAAATTATGCTCTGTCACTATTTAATTTAAAGCACAAACTATCAATCTTTGAACATCATTTAAGATTATATTTTGCATTAGTGTAGTGGTAAATTGTTTTAAAGGTTACAAGGTTGTAAGGATTATGTTAATTTTATGAACAGTTAAATTTTGAGTTAAACTTCCTTTCCTATCGACTCTTAATTTCAACTTACCACTTACGGCCAGAACATAGTTTTAGAATCACGTCTGAATGCTAATGAGGAAGAGCGGTATTTAACCGCGAAGTTGTACAGTCTTAGTAAGAGAGATACCACATATTCTGGCTGCCTACGTCTGCCTTTTTAGGCCACTCTCTCGTAAGCTATTATTACGCTCGGCCGTACTTTAGACCCTTGATAGCTTCGCAGTCAATCAGCGTTAAGGGACCAACTCAGTTAGAAGTTTGATAACTTCGACTACATCTCTTTAGTTAAGATTTAGTTTAATTCTTAGTCTCTTAAGTTAAAGCCCAAGTGTCGGCTTTATTGTACAACTCCGAGACGGAGGTTTGTTAAACTTTAGTCGGAATAATAAAGGGTTATTTCACCCTTCTTGTCTATTTCTATCTCACGAACTCAAGTGATTATTCGCTTACTAGTTCTTAAGGTTCTTCACTTTCAACTGTAACTTAGAAATACGCAGTGGAGAATCCTACAAGGGTATTATTTAAATGAATCCGTTACTTCTAATTTCAGCCTTTACTATAACTTCTAATTTTCCTTTCCTCACTAGAATGCAAATCAATTACGCTTGAACTGTTACCTAGTGAGTGAATGTGTTTGCTTACAATTCATTTACTCACAACTCTAACGACTGCATCTAGTTTATTTAGTTACAACACAGCCGTGAGTGTACTGTTATATAATGATAATTTTTACAAGACTTTACTTAAGAAAAAGTCATTTTCAAAAATAATCTCACCTGCAAGATAAGGATCATTGAGAAACTTGGGGGCATTGTCATTCACATCAGATATGGTAATTCGAACTAAAGCCAACGATAGATCTTCTTCCCTGTAACTGCGAGAAGCGGCTGAAAATCCTTGCTCCTCTTCTCGCTGGAAAGAAAGAGTTTCATATAGACTAAAATAAATAAATAAATAAATCTGAAAAAGTTTCACATTTTAACGGTCGCTCAAAAGGGTTTGTTAAGGTTTTTTACTTCCTTGTACGAAGTAAAAAGGAAGTATTGTAATCGCGAAAAATTTCAGGCAGCATATTTCAACGAAAATATCCATTTTGACCGTTATAGAATGCAATTTAACGATGTTTTTGCATGATATCTGTACGTAAGGACAGAATAAAAGACTCGTTTCCTCCAAAAAAATTATAAAACTGCTTTAAAATGAATTCTGAAGAGAATTTTTCGTGGCTTCTGTACGAACGTATGTACGTACGTACGTATCTCGCATAACTCGAAAACGAGTAGCCCCAGAACGTTGAAATTTTGTGTATAGGACTGCTATAAGATGTAGATGTGCACCTCGTATTTTGGTTGCAATCGGCATCGCCAAACGTATATAAATATATTTATATATATATCCACTCTGTTACCCGGCTCAGTGATCTCAGTTTCTTTACTCTTATATGTTCGTAAATTGTACATTTTTTGCTTTAAAAATGATTGAATTATGTTGTTTTTATCTTCCGGTTAAAGTTTTTATGCCTTTCGTAATTCTGTGTGCAATATTTTTAGAATTATCAACAATTTTAAAGTTGTTTAACTGCCGCTAAGCCTTTTTTTATGATGGCGGCCATTGATTGTTTACATTTGAAACAGCAGACTACAGGATTTCTTGCCAATCTAGAGAAACTTAGCTTAGCAAGAACAAAGATAATGCCTTCATTTATTATTGCCAATTAAATCATACTTAATCCTTTCTGGAATTTTTTCGAGGAAATAAGTGTTTAAGATTTACTTCGTAATTTTTAATATAGATATTTTGAGTTTTTATGTATTTTTGCCTTTTCACGAAGTGAGAACTGAATTAATTGAATGAGAAATACTCAATCGTCTGTGAAAAAACTGTTTCTTTTTTGTTTTGTTTGCTTAATTTCTTTTATACATCTTTTTAGCTTTATTATAGTATTTGAATAGAACATGTGGCAACGATTAGATAATTCTATTCTTTAAATGATATAAATTTTGTGCATTCTGAGTTATATATATGAACGAAATATAATACTGTTAAGTGAATCTAGCGCCAGAGTGTCGCTATGGTAAACAAATACTAGAGTAAATTTTAAAGAATGCATTTATTATATTGTGGTTTATGCGCTGTCGGCGAAGTAGATTTAATTCAATCCAATAAGTTTAAATGAAATGCAAGAAAAAAAGCTTATAATTTAATATTCCGTACAAGGAAGTCATGTGGTATACACATCAGAATTATATTCACCATTTACTTCATTTAAACTAACTAGTGCAGTTGACGGAAGAAGTAGAGGACAGATTTAACATAAAAAATAACATGCTAATTAAAATACTTGCAATTTATACTGTTCGTTAGTGACAAGCATCATAATGTGACTGCTTTAAAAACGTTTTAATGTGAAATATTATGAATACAGAATGCTAACACATATTTGATAGATCTATACCTTTGGCAAAAAGATAATGCTATTAAAATTCTCAACAGCAAAACGATGTTATAATTATTTCATATAACATAGAATATTAAAACATTTGGCATTAAAATAATGACAATTTATAGTAATTTACCTCATACACGATATAATCTGGATTGCTCGTAGCTTTGACGACAATTTCGTAATACTCTCGTTCTTCACGATCAAACGATGAATTTGACCTCAACACACCGGTAGTTCTTTCGACTCTAAAATTTCCACCAAAATTTCCATCTGCAAGGTAATGCAATTTTCTTTTAATTATTTGTTTCGATGGGAATATAACTGCATTCAAATCGAAATGTAGGCAAAAAGTTCCATTTCAAAAATCTCTACCCTCCAACAAAGTGCTGAATAAATTTTTAATATGATATTAAGATACAAGAAATTAAGGCTTTTAATCTTTTTATGAGTAGATACTGATAACAAAATGGCTCTAGACTAACATGTGATATTTAAGAAAATCATTTCATGAAATTAATGCATACCGATCATTAAATAAATTGAAATAAACAAAAAGGAGAAATTCAAGATAAACATCGACTTAAGTTTGGGAATGAACTGAGAAGCGATTATGCATTGATTTCTACCTTGAAAAAATTAACATATATTAAATTGAATGGTATGTTTTTGACTGCTAGAAGTAATAATGAAATAAATAAACTACATAAGATTTAAATATGAATAATATTTTTACTTTGTTACCTGCTTAAACCACGATTTCGATAAAGGGGAAAAGAATATTTTGGAATAAAAATTTCTGGCAGCAGCTTATTTTTCTGAAATGAGAAATATCGTCTGCTACGCTTAAATTTATTCTTTTTTCAAAATGTCGCATGTAAACGAGCTGTGGACTGAAGGATAGTTTCTACGCCTTCCGAAGAGAAATATTCCTATTCCGTAATTAAAAGACTTTGTGAAATGCATGGTATAAAAAGTTCTAAGTGCAGAATAAGCAGCTTTTTTAATTGGAAAGGGAAAACCGCCAATCCTTACTTCTACATAGAAAGAAGACTTCAAACGAATACCCGGAAAAGGTAAATACTGTTCCTAATCTTTCTAAAATTAAAACTTTGGCAACAAGAGAAAATCCGCCGAAGCAGAAATCAATTGCAGCGTCTTTAAATACATCTGCAGCGACAACAAATAAAATAATAAACCAAGATTTATAACTTGAAAAGGCTGGAATACATAATGCTCACCAGATTTTGCAGAAGTATCTGGCTCAACGGCAGAACAATTCGTAGAACCCTGTATATAAATGGAAATATATTTTGACTCTTAACGAAGCATGGGTTTACATATATGGCTGCAGCAACAGCAACAACAAGGGTGTATTTTTTTTTTATCGAAAACGAAGAGATAAAGATGTACAAACCTAGTTTCGTTAATGCAAAGAAAGTTTCAGTAAGGTGTTTATGATTGTCGCAAGATCCTCTCACAGAGGGAAATTAAGAATAAGAAAAGTGGGAGAAAATGTTAAAATCAGCTCAATATACTATCAAGAGAAAGTTTTCCGTCCAATATTTTCAGTAAAAAATTCTGTTTCTTTAACCCAATGACTTCAAAAAGTGAAACTTCGAAAAGTACTACTGCATTCTTTGAAAACATGAAGACTGATACAGATATTGCACATATACCTTTTCAAAGCATTCTTGCAAGTCCCCTGATGTTTCACGAATGGACTATTGTGATTTTGATCTCTTGAAAAGAGCTCTTTCTAAGCTCAAATCCGCTACGATTGAGGGACTCTGGAAATTAGTGGAAGAGAAATGGAAATTAATACATCTGGGAAATTTTACGAAAAGCCCTTCTATCATGAAAATGATGATTCAAAATTATAGTTCAGAAAAAAAAAAAAAGCTATCATTAAGGAGCGCTTCAGAAAATATTTTTGCATTTTAAAAATTAACTAAATGACCGCGAAATCGTTCTAAAAATGTGCAAACACATTTTTTTATTTTTACTAGATTAGATTTTATTGTTATCAGAACTCATTTTCAACATTATCTTGTACAGTCGTCATGCTTATCCACGTAGGGGACGTGAAAGATGTGCAATACGTTCTCTGAGATTTGAATAGTGGGCCTCCAAATTGCCAGGCGGACGTGTTCTCCAATTACACCACGAAGGCACGCGGAAAGGAGGGAGAAATACCTTATAAACTTACTGATTTTTTTTTTTTAATGAACAGGATGTTCAAGGTGAAGTAATCGACAGGTGCGTATTTACTCTGTTATATCTTTCAAATTATTGTGGTAATGATTAACTAAAATTATAATCAAAACTTTTTTACTAAATAACTTCCTTTCTCAAAATTTCAGAGAATAAAAAGTACTAGGTTAGATAATAGCAGAAATCTACATACTTACTATGAGCAATGCAAATTAATGTTAATAGGTAATAAAAATTACGATGGCGAATAAAATTTACTTCTTTTACACTTCTGTAAAATAATCTACTTCGAATATAAACTGCCACTAGTTAATCCCACCAGGAACCACAGAGTAAATGAAGTTAAGACCACTGAATACCGGGAGTGCGCCCCGGATTCAATGTTGGGCAAGATGCATGATTGATTTTTGAGATTTTCTGTATGTGCAACGTGAATACGAGTCTTTTCCCTTAAAAAGTCCTCAACAAAGGCACGTCTTTCTTAGGCATATATTTCTCGTGTGCTTTGCCATATTCAAATGACTTACAATTATCAAAGACTACACAATTGATTACCGTACTAGAAGCTGGCACACTGCTCTACTGGTGCGTCGGAATATTAAGTGTCGGCAGCGATAAGAACGCAAGGCTGAATTTTAACAACTATCAGATCTGGCAGAAAACGAACATGTACATGGAACTGTGCACGTGATGTGACGTCACCACTGGTGTAAAAGAAAAGTCAGAAGTGTCATGAAAGAAATAAATTGAGTATAAAGTGTGGCAAAAGACCCAAAGAAGAGATTTTAAAAGTGATCTGTTTACAGTCTTTTTAAGCCAACGCTAGTTGCCACAGTCGAAATGAAATTCGAAGTGGAAATGTGAGAGCTTGCCTTCATAGTACGGAAAAGGAGTGGAAAATCTATGGTTCATTGCTCGAGGTGCTCTCCATCAAAATTGAGGCGGGGCTACACAGTTCGGTGAGACAATACTGTAAGACCAACATAATGAAATTCTGGTGCTCCGTCCACTTTACTCTGCATCTATACCTGATTATTCTTTTAAATGTATCTCTGTATTTTCGCGTAGTGTAAAATGTATCAGAAACCAGTTTAGAAAATTCATGTAAATGGGGAAAATAACAAAATATGTAAATTCCTGATTTTGGCATTTCTATTAAAGATACAAAATAATTTATCTGTAGGCTATTAATATAACTCGTATTCGGAAATTTTACTTTAGCCAGGATATGCATAAAATAGCTTACCTACGATGTAGTAATAGATTAAAGCATTTTCTCCAACATCTTTATCTTGAGCTATTACTTGGCCAATAGGAAAGTTAACTGGCAAGTTTTCTTCCAAAGTGAAAACGTAGGGATTGGTTGTCTGAAAAAGAAATGAGGTTAAGAAACATAACTTTTGTTTTTTATTGCAGCCAAAAGCAAAAACACTAGAAATCCAATTACCTCAAATAATTCAGATTTTTTCCCCCAGTAGAGCAAAATAAGACGCTTTTACTTTTTTCTCATCTTTTCTCCCGTCGTTGATGTAAGTTATCTAAAAAGCTTGTGTCGTTTGAGTTCTTTAACCAGCTATTTCATATTAAACAGCTTTCCTATCCTCCTCATTTCAATTTTCCTGCCAGAATCTAAATTTCTAGCTCGCGTGGTATTCAAACGAGGCAGGCAGTATTTAAAGAAAGGTTTTAGAGGGTAAAATCAGAGCGTTTTCTGCCTGTTGAAGGCCACATTGATAAATTGATCTTCTTGCTAATAGCATTCTACGGCGTTGTGTTATTCCCGCTATTAGGCTTGTTATGCCAACATAGGTCAGAGCCAGCTTGTGCATTATTCTAATTGTGCAACCGTTAGAATAACTTGCTTTGCTTAGTTTTAGTTAATCTATTATCTTTGATTTAAAATATATTATTGGCTTTTAAGCATGACTGGTGCCGTCTGTTAACTCGAGGAGTCAAATCAAAGGCTCCTTTACACCCATTTCCTGTCTCTGTGCTACTTACAAGATAAACTTATTTTATTCAACTGAAACTAAATAATGTTAATTTTTTATTGATATAAAATAATAAAATGAACAAAGCGATCCACTTTTTCTAAAAAATTAATGGCTCTACTCTTATATGCGCCCTAATGTCACCAAATGTGGCGATATGTGTTCTGCGCTGGTTTTTGGCGCGATTGCGTGTTGTATGGCAACCCTGTCGACGTTGAAAAATCTTTTGCTGGAGTGGTTTAATTGCTCGTTGGCTCGTGTCGTGCGTGTTTTGAAATGGCCTATGTTGCAATGATAGACGGGATGGGAAGATTTCAGTCGCGTATTTTAGATTGTGTGGAAAGTAAATTTAGTATTAAAAGGTAAGATGTTGGAGTTGTTAACGAGTCTTTTGTTCACGGATGTGTTATGAGGATCGAAGTGTATTTTTGGAATTTCTGTGGGACGACTTTTAAAACGGAGTCCGAAATGCGGAGTTGGTGTGAGAACTCGGACGAAGGAGGACGTTTCTGATAGTTCTTGTGTGGATTTGCAGTCAAGTGTTTGTTGGTAAAGTATGTGGCTGTCAGCGGATTTTAAGATTTGGATCGTGGTTGAAGTTATTATCGTTACTTTCGAAATTTTGAATGTCAGAAAGACATGCGATATAGCAAAATCGTGGCACTTTTATTCACAGACGTTGTGTGACTGGAGAAATTTTATTAACGAATGTATTATGTTAAGTGCATTTTATTTTACTATTTTTATTTTGTAGAATGTTACGTTCATTGTTTTTTTACTATGAATTTATGTTGCTATTGTTGTTTTTGAATTGTTCGTAATTTTAGTTATTTTAGTTTATTTGGTTGATTTGTGCGCAATGCAATATATTGCATTGCATTCGTATTTCAATTCATTCGTATTTCAATTTTCAATTCGTATATATATTTTAAAGATTTAAACAGAATGCTGTGTACGTGGTATTCTTTGAAATTTATTGTTGTTATGTAAATTTATTGAAGCGAGGTGTGTGTAACTCGTAGATTCCTTCGCTGCCTGGAATGTACAATTCATAGATGTTTTTTGAAGTTAGAACGTATCGTTGTGTACATGGATTCTTGTCAATTATTTTTTGGTTAGAAACTTTACGTTTTTGCTATTTAAATTTTTTTGTTTTTGTTTCGGATTTTTAAACTGTGTCTTCGAAACGTGGTTTTTGCATGTGCGAAAACCGCGTTTTTGAAGACATTTTAAGCTTAAAATTCGAAATGTAAACAAAAAAATTAGGTAGTAATATGGGGGCGTGGAGTTTCTCGCCAAAAATGTTTGGCCAGAAATTTGGCGACAAGAGGGCGCATATAAGAGTAGTTCCAAGTTAATATTGATAGTAATTACAATGACAGCCGGAGACAAATATTAAAGATAATATAGCAACAAGAATCGGGGTAAGCTGCGTAAATTTGCAAAACTCGTTTCGAATGTTAAATGGAACCTTCTTCTTCAGTTGCAATAGGGAAAATGACGCCACAAATCATTAAAAGAATAGTGATATAATTCAAATTATAGGGATAATTCACTAATAGTCCCTACAGCGTTTTCTACATTGTATTACGAAATGATGTATTAGAAACGATGCAAGCTAAAATAGTAAGCATTTGTTAGAGATATTGCAGCAGCAAGAATTAGCTTAAATTTACAGAACTAGTTTCGGAGGTTAAGCAGAACCTTCTTGTTCAGACGCAAAACTGAAAACGACGCATGTACTCAAGCGATAACAGGAGACAAAAATTTCGAGAACGTTGAAGCTAAGGAAGGAAGCAAAACCACTGGCGCCCTGCAATGAAATAATTTAAATTATATTATTGTTCTTTTAACGCTTTGTGGCGTCATTTTCCCTCATGCAACTGAAGAAGAAGGTTCCATTTAACCTTCGAAACGAGTTTTGCAAATTTATGCAGCTTACCCTGATTCTTGTTGCTATATTATCTTTAGTATTTGTCTTCGGATGTAATTTTAGTTAATATCAATATTCATTTTTCAGAAAGAGTGGATTACTTTGTTCATTTTATTACTTTATATCAATGAAAAATAAACATTGCTTAGTTTCAGTTGAAAAAAATAAGTTGATCTATAGGATAACAGAATTAGACCAATTTAATAACAGGAAAAGGCTGTATCTAATTCCCTGTAATAGTTTCTAATTAAAATGCTTCAATTATGCAGTGATTTAATAATTTTTGATGGTTTAAAATATTCAGCGTCTCTCTAAGAGCGAATATTTGAGTGATAATAATTATATATATATTTTTTTGCCTCTCCTTGTTTAGAAACTGTTGATTTATCCAAACGTGTTGATAAAATGAAAGATTCAGCAGTATTTTTTCTAATTTTTTAAAAATTATTAACGTTACTGGAATTAAATTATACATTTTGTTTTACGAATGTTCCGAAAACTCTTCGCCCATTGCATTAACCAATTTAAGTCAAAGAAAAGACTTCAGTCTGCTTGTGCTGATGGAGAAACAATTAATTTGAATTTTTATCCTCACTCACAAGAAAAAAGATACTAAATTTTAAATAGATTACATATACTGATTCCTGACTTTTATAATATTCCTGATATCAGTCAAAATATTAATTCATACAAACTGAATAGCACTGATTTCAGATGATTATTAAAAGAGAACTTAAAAAAGATTAATCTTAATCTTAATTTTAACCTTAATCTTAATTTTTTTATTTATCTTTACACTGAATAGATAGCACTGGCCTTAGATTATTATTAAAGGAGATGAGCTGTATTACAGATTACTTATATCTATCATTTTAATTTTATCTTAATTGTCTTAATTTTCTGTCACCTGAGTTCGAGGAAATTCTGGGCTGTTGTCGTCCACGTCTAATAAAATGACAGTCAGGAAGCGAAGTGATTCGAAAGCGACTGGAGAACCGTTGTCACGAGCAGCCAGAACTAACTGAAGAAAAAGAAGAAATAATAATGCATATTATATTACTAATAAGAAAATAACTAGTTTTAAAGATATGTGAGAAAGTATAAAACAAAAACAAAAGCCCCATAATTTAATAAAAATGTGCATGAAGCTTATCAATAAATCTCATTTTCACGTAATGTATTGAAACGTTTCTGAAAACATCAGACTAAAAACAAAGACCTGTCATTTTTTTTTATTTTACAATAATTCTGCGTTAATTTGTAATAATGATTAATCTTTGCATTTACACCCCATACAATTCAACAGCAAAATTACAAAAAATTTAAAAACACCATAGTAGCATGTATTTAGAATTCCCGATGCAGTGTTAAGTGTTGGCATAACATTTTTATATTTTTTTAAATCTTTTCTCAGTTTATCGTATCAATGTTCATGTGTATTAGTAAAATAGCTTGCAAAACCTTTTTTGGGGGGTCTTTTTATTATTAACGTTTTGTGTGTTAACTTTATTTATTAAATATCAAGAGCAAAATCACAAAATATTTAAAAACAGCATTAGTTTAGAATTTTCGATAGACAGTCTGGAGATGAAATAAAAATGGATACATATTGAGATAAAAATGTTTCATTCCACACAGTGTTGACATTTTTCGCTCCTAAATCACTGAGTTTGTTAATCAAACATTTTTTAAAGTTTTACGAAATAAATAATAAAAAATGTATAACGTCATTCTATGAAAGTGCTGAATATTTTTAATTAGACGGACTATGAATTAAACGCATTTTTATTACTTAAATGAATCCGATTCAAAAGTAAGAAACGGATATTTTTAAGAACTGTATTTTAAGAATTAAGCATTTTAGGAACTGCATTTCTAAGAACTTTCAAATTGCTCAGTTTATTAATCCACAACAGACGATTCACTCTGAAAAATAAATATCTTACATTCAGTCGAATGGCAACAGACTCGAATGAAAAGTGAAACGACGAGTTTCGAGACTAATAGCCGCTTTGAGCTAATAATAAAATTAAAAAAAAATTGGTTACTGTAGAGTTTCGACTTTGAAACGACAATTTACTATAACTAATTAATAGCAATTACTATAATTATTAATAGCAACAAAAAAAAATTGAAAGGTTTCAGATTTTAAATTACGTCCAAAGGCGTTTTTTTTTTTTCACATTTTGTATGTTACTTTTATTTATTAAATATCACGTTCTTCGCACTTAAACCAAACTTTGCTTAAACTTTGCTCGCTTTGAAATCTTTGAGTTTGTTAATCAAAAATTCATTAAAGTTTACAAAATGTAAAATCGATTAAAAAAAAAAAAAAAAAAAAAAAAATTATAAATTTCAAATTTAGTCTTCCAGATGCCCATATTTGCAGGAGGATTACGTTATTCAAAATTTGATGGTTCGTCGTTTTATCACAATGCGAGAAACATATACACATTCATGCAGATTCTTCATTATTTAATTTCTTTAAATATAATACAGGGCGATAATAATTGGTGGCAACAATTTGAAAAGTGTAACAACGCTTGTAGTGAATCGACGCAAAATGCAAAAACTGCCCCATTAATAGTCCTTCTGGGCAAATTGCCTCTTTGGGCTAAAAAAATGCTCCTTTGGACTAAAGAAATCTGCTGTACAATAGAAATATCAAATTGGCTTCGAGTTTTACAATTAAGTATAGAAATTTAATCCATTTGTTAATCGTTGCGTTTTTAGAAAATCAACTTATAGAATCATTAGACTTTGTTTCGAAGTTGAAGACACACAAAATCAATTATGACTTTGAAGTGACGTGGATATCTTAACTGCTAGTGGGACATGCTTCCAATTACACCACGAAAAGGGACGAAGCTGCCAAATCCAGGTAGTAACGAAATATCGAACATTATATATTTTTGTTCGAACACCACTGTGGAGTCATTAGCTTATTAGAAAACATGAAAAATTACCGATTCGCTTTCCGGGATTTAAATTCCAGACCTTCCGATCGCAAGGCAGCCGGACGTGCTTTCCATTGCATTACGAAGGCATGTGGGGACGAAAGTGAAAATTTTTAATTACATGTGAATACTAATTATTGCTTTTAATATGAGCAGAAAAAAATAAAAGCGAGATATCTGTGTTAATATACTTCACACTAAGTTCAAATTACGATTTTAAAGGTATGAAACTTGTAGCACATGTGCAAAAATAAAATAATTTTTTGGTTTTAAAGTATCGCGTAAGACTTTAAATCTTGGTGCATACTTCAAGTTCGAAATGTAGAATGCATAAAAAATAAACAGCTACTAAAAATAGTCTAGATTAATGGTCTTTAAACTTTATAACAGTGCTACTGTGTAAAAATGTAATGACCCCAAATAACAAAATTCCCTATTCCAGGCAAAGAGTCGACCCTTAGTTATATTTCAGTTATATAATATCCATCTTGCTTCCCCACTGAGCGATGATGGCAAGCTCCAAGAAATCCAGAGGTGCTGTTACAGGCTGCTGTCTGTATGTGGTCAGTAATTTATTCCAGGTTCAGGTTGTAGTGCAGCGGACACCCAATGTTTAACCATAGGTAATTTGGGTATTGTCCAACTGCACTATCTTTTTATTTGAATATTGTATATTCAAGATTGGCGCTACAGGATTTTAGCCCTATCGACGCTTCAAGATACACGTCTTTACACGTTGAGTTACAAGGCCTAACTAACTCTTGTGGCGCGTCAGCGCCACCTATAGTATCTCATACTTCATAACACCCAACTTTAAATTTTAGCGATCCCATTCGGGGTCGCGATCCACAGCTCAACTTCCACGGCTGAAAGTGGACATCACCAGCTTGAATACCACTGGTTTAGATCAATAAAATATAAAATATGACATACCTGGTATTTGGGGTTTTCTTCTCTGTCTAAAATCACTTTGGTTCTAATCTCGCCTGTAACCGTATTGATGCGGAAATGCTCTGTCTCCTCTACATTAGTGTCTCCCACTTTTAAGTAGTAGGAAACACGACCATTCTCACCACGATCTTTATCTTCGGCAGACACCATCAGTACCAGGAAATCTGGTACACTCTGATTCTGCAAAAGAAGCGTAGAAATGTACGAAGTATGAAATCAAAATGCCTTCTCAGCAGAGAAATACAATATTTCTATTAAACAGAATTATTTATATGCTTTTAAACACTCCTCACAAATAAGGAGAAAGATTTATTGTACCTTTAATTCTAAATGTTGGATAAATCTGTTTGGTTTTCATACGTGTTAAGTACAATAAAAGCAAAAAACAACATAATGGTTTCATGAAATCTCTCTAGGAAAATCAATCTCTTTAGGAAATGCTACGATGAGATCGAATTGTAAATAAGGCCACTAACGTAATTTTGCCTGTAATTAACAAGAGCATTTCGAAAGGGAAATTCAAAACCAATTTAGCATAATGGTTTTCTGTTTGTGAAGGAAACTTTGCAGTCAAGCAGTGTTGTCTGAAGTTAAGAAAACAACAAGCTCAAAAACTCAATCATTGTAGATATATACTTTAGATTGCAAAACGGCGCAATGGTGCCCTTTTGTGATGGGTTTGTAATGGTTTTTGTAATGGGTTTGTTGTAACTGCTTTTGAAATGGCACAGTTCTGTAAAGATTCTGTGAATAAGATTTATATCTAGAAAATAACGTATCTTGATTAATGTCTTTCTGTGGAGCAATTCATAACGACAGCGATGAGGCTGTACAACTCCCCCCTCACCCCCGTTAACTGTGATTGGACTTGATCCAAAAAACAAGGAGAAACATTCTCTCCTTGTATGACTCACTTCTCGCGTTATGCAATGGACAGTAAACAACGCTTGTAATCATCGCTATATTTTTTTCTTCATATACCTAAAATATGTTATTTTGTGTTTGCTAATACAATTATCGTGTTCCTTACCTCCGCAGCTTGGATTACACTTTATTAAGGTAAGAACTTTAATTCTGTTTTATTCATCTGCTCGTCTCGATTTAGCGAAGTTGTAACAGTAAACAAAAATGAACCACGAATACCTTCAACACTTTCATGATAATCTTCCACTTATTTTATTAACCCTTTGCCTTCGAGAGGTGATTCTCGGTCACCACTTGATTGAATGCGTTAATTGAAGACGTGATTCTAGATCGCCATTCGGCGTGACGCGTTAATTCGAGCGGTAACGATGTTTACTTAGGTTTGGTTTGGGCAATACCACTTCATGAGCGTATTCAACAATATATGCTTCCGACATATATGCTTCCAACAACTTACATAAGTCCGTATTACAGACACTTTTCAAATAATGTACAACGAAATGTATTTAACATTTCCTCTTCTGTATATGCATAATACTTAATTTTTAATTTTTATTTATTTATTTTTTTTAACCTATGAGCCTGTATATTTATCCTATTATTTTGTAACTGGATTTTATGTATCTGTATATTTAATTTGTATTTTTATTTGAATTTTTATTGTGAATATGCAAAATTACCATAGCAAATTGCAACAACAAATGTCAAAACGTTAAAACGAATGCAATCTGCCCTTGTTAACATCCTAAAAAGCTCCCGAGGCGCCTCTTGAGGCCCCAGGGAATTGTTCCTGGTTAGTGGAGGGCGCAGGACACATGCCTGTTTACCTCTGTTAGACAACAGGCGTCCCCGTCATCCGTTACCAACCAACCAATATATGCTTACGACTATAAAAAAACTGCCAATCTTTCACCTCAAATATATTTTTACATTTATCTTATATATATGCGGCTTAAGTGTTTGTCGCCGATAGTTTATTGGTTGCTTGCATAACTGTACTAGCCAATGGGCTTAAGTTGCCACGGCACAGGGTTGCCGTTTCAATTGAGACGTAGACAATTTCCTGTAAAACTTGCCTTTGCTATGGCCACCCATAAGTCTCAGGGCCAAACGCTTAAGTGTGTTGGCATTTTTTTACCTGAGCCTGCATTTGGACACGGTCAACTTTATGTTGCCTGTTCAAGAGTTCGTGAAAGAACGGATGCGAAATTAAAAATAATGGATGGCCCTCTGCAAGGCGAGCTTAAACATGATCTACACAAGAAATCGTGTGTACAAAGAGATCTTTGACATGTGAATTAACATTTTATTATTTAAATCACCTTTATTGATTGAGCTAGCGGTGGCTCTTAAGAAATATACCGCCAGTGGTTTCCTTCATGGCTCTCTACTTTAAGCAATTAAGCAAGTAGAAGGGGAAAATCCCGTGGGGCAGTAAGCAAAGGGCCGCCTGCCCTGGGTAATTCAGTTTGAATTAGCAGACACCTTTGCACAAAGCTTCTTAATTACAATGTATAATATCTAGAACAACGGTCATTTCGTATGACCACCGGGCTTTCTAGTTGTTATATATGCGTCTTCGACGTTACGAACTAGACAGTCGAACTAGACTAGTTCGAACTAGACAGTCGAACTAGACTAGTTCGAACTAGACAGTCGTGGCAATAGGAATTTTATTTTCAAAGTTAAGAGTGAGAGTATGGGATATGATGAAGGAATCAGTTTAAGTGAAGATGAACTGGAATACCACTTGACGATAGGAAAGCAGTGATGAAGATAGCGACGAAGTAAGAAGTGTATGGAGGCAAAAATACAGGGTCCTGTTAGAACGGGACTTTGGTACACCAGGGTACCTGGGCCGAAGGCCCTACCCCTTTTAGAAAGAATAGAAAGTGCGAATAATGATTCAGGTGTCCTCTTAATGGGATGTCATAATTAATTTAGTTCCAGTAATTTGTTTTATTAATTAGTTAATTAATTATTAGTTGTTAGCTTATAATAAGTACGAGTAGATTGGTAGACAGTTAATAGCGTTGTTACACATTTGCATATATGCTTCTATTTTTTTTAATATAATTTATAACGTTGCGCGCCTCTAACTAGCACGCAACCTAGAGGTGACTGTGAAAGCTTGTATCAACCACAGAGTCTTATAAAGGGTTTAAGTCCCTTTTTATTCAACGTACTAAATTACAATTGCGTCCTCTTGACGCTTACAAACTGTGCCAACTAGGCAGTCAAATAAAAATAAAAACCTGAAAAGAAAGTAAAGACAATATTCTAACTACGAGGCTCTCTAAAATAACTAACTCACCGCGTTTTACAAAATACCGCCGCTAATTCAGCAGACTTGAAGCTCACTGGAACAATTGCAACTACTTCCCGCCAAGCACATAGGCCGCAACGCGGGGTTCTTTAATTCTCGATTTCTACCTCCGCGCTCGCTAAGTAAGAATAACTCTCTCTCACCGAACTTGTTTCCTTCTATTTAAATCATACTACTTCCGCTGATAATTTGAATGCTTGCGCGTTCTACTCAAATTTACATATTCTGGCATTGGCAGTTCCAGGGGAAAGTAAGGCTTGACAGGAAAGATAGTTTAAACTTAAAATAAATGTTAGTTAAAATAAAATAAATATAAACCCTACATTTGCCGCTGCCAGAATTTGGAAAACTTGGAAGCAGGTCCTACAAACGACCTGTTGTAAGTTTATCTAATTCTGAACTAACTGGCGAAAGCCTCGTTTACACAAAAAAAAATCTTATGTAACAATTAAAATTCTGTTAGTCGTTACAAAGCTTTCTTCTTACAGCAACTTTTCCTGGACTTCATCAATCAATCTTGGTCTTTCCTTCCAGCATCTGGAAGGAATAAGTATCAGTATCTTTCTACATACATTTTATAATTTACACTTTCTTGACACAATAAATTTTTGTTTTAAACGTTTCGTTTTTTCTTAGTTATTGCTTACTTCACATTCATTCAATTTTTCAAGCATTAATTTAACTTTACCCTGGCTCTCCACCCTGTGTGGTGTCAAACGGGAATATTCGTGTTTTAGTCTTACAACACTTCCCCTAACCACCATGATTTGTTAGAATTCAACAACCAAATAGACACACCTTACTCGACATTCTACAACTCAATGAGCTACTTTAATATTCTTAAAAATTCAAATGCAGTGGTGGAGATTTTGTAGGTGGAAAACCCTACAAAACACATTCATTCTAACTTCCCCCTCATTCATCTTTAAACATGCAGGCTTTCGCTCTAAAGCATGACTTTACAGTTTAATACTTAAATTTTGACTTCATTGCTTTTAAGCATTCACTTTTAGCATCTACAATTTTATGCTTCTAGACTAAATTCTACTTTTACATAACATGCAAGTATTTACATACATTTACAAAAGTTTAATACATATGCTTTTTACAATTTACCATAAAATGAATAAGAGAAAATAAATTTTTACTTTACTCATTCTTCGCCAAGCTGGCGGCACTGAAACTAAAATTCTTATTAGTACAAGAATACGAAGTTATTTTTATCTTCCGGCCAAATTTTGGCTTTAACATAACAGAATTAGTCTTTCGACCAACAGAAAATGCTTGTTTTTAGCTTTTACACTTAAAGAAAATAATACTTTTGCCTTAGCTAAATAAAGTAAAACAAAACTAAGTCTCAACCGAGACATATTGACTTTCGTCAAAACATAGAACTTCGTACTTATGCATAACATTTCGGAACAAAAGAGAAAAAAAATTTATAGAAGGTTTTAACTTATCTTTGAGTTTTCGATGCTTGAAAACTCCGTCATCCGTTTTTGGACAAAATTGATCCCAAGTTAGAGGTGTCATGGATGTCAATCTTCTCCTTATTGATCTCCGAGTGTCGTCCCCGTTGTTTCTTTTTTTTGCGTCCTCTACATGCTGGCCTCTTGACGGAGTAATCGTCTGGTTGTTGGTTTTTGCGTTTTCTGCCTGGGACGGCTGGTCTTGACGTCCTCCGGTCTGGAGTCCTTCTTGAATTTCTTCTGTTCCTCGTATTTTGTGCTTCCTGTTGGCGTTTCAGTTTCCGGAACGGCGGCCTTGCTGGCACCTGACTCTGTGGCCGTGTGCGCGTTCTCCTTGATGTGTAATTTCTTCTGCCATTTGTAGGTGGTGTTTTCGTCTTTACCACGGTTTCTTTACCCGGTTCATCTGTATTTTTGTTTTTCTTAAACGCCGGAGTTTGAAAATCCTTTTTTCTTTTTGATACCGACGTCCGGGTTGTAGAAGTGCTAGGTCTCTCTTCAGTTCTCCGTTTCTTGGGTGGTGGAATAGTTGTTGCAGTCTCTGGCCCTTCTATTTCGTTTAGACTTGAGTCCTGCAAGAAACTTTTAAGGATTTCAAAATCCTTTGGATTATAGTATTTTTTCACCTGGTCGGGACTTGCTTTACAGATTTCCCCTCTCTCGTTTTTAAGATATAAGACTACTCCTTTGATTTCCTGAATTACATAGGGGCCTTCAAACTTTGGAGCTAGCTTTGCCATAAAATTGTCTGGTGCACTTGATAAAGAAAATTTCCGTTTCAATACTTTATCCCCAACTTTAAAATCTGCTTCACGGCGTTTTTTATCATAATAAATTTTCTGTCTATTTCTTGCCGTATCCGAAGTTTTAAGCGCCTGATCAATTAGTTTTTGCACGTCCTTTTGTCTAAATTCCTGCTCTCTTTGTTGCACAAAGAATAATTTATCTAAAGGCGTAATTAACTTTCTGCCTAAAAATAATTCTGCTGGAGTTTTCCCCGTAGTATCATGATGTGCCGTTCTTAAAGCATAAGCTAATTCATTTATGTAGCCATCCCAGCGCTTGTGATGTGTGCTAACGTAACTGCGAATTATTTTTACAATGTTTTTATTAACTCTTTCTGCTATGTTAGCCTGTGGTCTATACGGAACCATTTTGATATGGCGTATATGCCAAGTCCATTGCATATGTTTTCAAATATTTGACTAATGAATTGTTTTCCGTTATCGCTAATGACTTTTATCGGTGCACCGTATTTTAAAATGTATCTGTGTAAGAATGCATCTGCGACTGTTTTGGCTGACGCGCGTTTAAGTGGAACAATTTCTATCCATTTTGAAAAATGATCTACTATTACTAAAAGAAAACGATTTTTATTTAACTCGCTCTGGGGGAAGGGACCAAGGAGATCTATGCCTAAAATTTCATTCGGAAATGTAGCGCGAATGCTATTTAAGTACCCGGCCGGGCTGTAATTAATATCATTTATTAACTGACATTGATTGCAGGACCTGACATACGCCGTTACTATTTTGTATAATTGCGGGAAATATACCGCCTCGCGTACCCTTTTTAAAGTCTTTCTGACCCCGAGGTGGCCCGCTGTTTTTTTTTTCGTGCAACTCCTTCAAAATGCTTAATCGAAGCGAGGCTGGGATGACTGGCTTATACTCAAGATTTTCGTTTCGTTGTTTTCGTATAGAATAATAAATTATCTATTATTTCATAGTTTTTTGCTCTATTTCTTATCGCATCGATATCTGTATGCTCAAAGCTTTCGGGGTCTTTCAAATAAGCATAGATATTTCCAAATTCAGGATCAGCTTTCAGTTCAGTAATAACCGTATCTCTAGAATCTAAAATTTTTGAAGTCAACACAGCGCATTTAAGTTCATTACCTTCATCGTCCAGTTTTATACGAGAAAGTGCGTCAGCTACATTGTTTTCCTTACCCGGTTTATATTTTTTATTGTGATATTATATTCTTGGAGTTTTAAAGCCCATCTTATTAACCTGGGCGTTAGGTTTTTTCCCGAGTAAAGTCTACCAACAGCCGCATGATCCGAAAAGACTGTTACTGGCGATTTGCCGAAATAAACTCGAAATTTGTGTACAGCCATTAATACGGCTAATGTTTCTCTTTCTGTAGCTGTATAATTCCTTTGTGTTGATTCAATGTTTTACTAAAAAATGCCAGCGGATGGTTATTTTGCATAAGAACCGCACCCACCGCATAGTCTCTGACGCATCTGCCGCAATTTCCAGGTTTTCGTCCCCCTCAGGGAATTTTAAAACAGGGGCATTAATAAGCGCTTCTTTTAATCTTTCAAAAGCTGTGTGTTAGCTTCCGCTGTCCACGTAAATTTACTCTTTTTTCTTTTGATTACTAAGAGTGGTTCAACAATATTAGCGAAATCTTTTATGAAAGATGGATAGTAAGAACATAAGTCCAAGGAAAGACGAAAGTTTCTTGGCGGTGTTGGGCGGTGGGAAATTCTTAATAGCTTTTATTTTTGAATCTTGCGTTTCTATACCCTTTTGCGAAATTTTATAACCGAGATATTTAAGTTCTTTAGTTGCGAACTTGCATTTTGAGGCGTTAATTGTAAGACCGGCCTCTTTTAATAATTTAAAAACTTGTTCGAGATCATTAATGTGTTGTTCCAACGTACTACTCGTTATAATTATATCATCTAGATAAATTAAAGTTGATTTTCCTAGGACAGGCTTTAGAACAATGTCCATAGCTCTCTGGAATGTTGATGGGGCCCCACACAACCCAAAAGGGCATGCGTAAAAATGCATAAGTGCCCGATTTTGTTATAAAACGCGGTTTTATGTATATCTTCGGGTCTCATAGCTATTTGATAGTAGCCAGACGTTAAGTCCAAAGTAGACATATATCTTGTCGATTTGATCTGTCTAATGATCTCGTCTATAACCGGCAAAGGGTAAACTGGGAATTTAGTTATACTATTTAGTTTTCTGTAATCGATAGCAAACCTCCAAGCCCTTTTATCCGAAGGAGGAAACTCGTTCTTTTTCCTACATAGTACGACTGGACTCGCGTACTCACTATTTATGGGCGTTATTATTTTATTCTTTAACATCTCCTGAATATGTTCTTCGATGATTACGTCTTTTTGTTTGTCATAGCGGATAAGGTTTAGTCCTACAAGGTTTTTCGGCATTTAATTGAATCTTGTGAGTCACGATCTGACAGTTTCCCGGTTTTTCTGAAAACAAATGAGAAAAATTACTCACCACTTGCTGTATTGCTTTACTTTCCTGGTCATTCAGATGGCTAAGGTCCAATTCAGGTGTCTCCACCGGTTCCACCACCCTCTGGTCCATCTCCAGCACCACGGAACTATCTTGAAAATTTAATTTGGCCCTCGCGGCCCTTAAAAAGTCCATACCTAAAATAAGAGAGTGTTGCAGGTTTTTCACCACAAAAAATTAATACTTTGAGATTTTCCTCTTTTACCTGTAATGTTTAATGATAACTTTCCCGATGCAGTGACATGTTTTTCCTTGCGCCGCTATAATTTCCGTATTTTCTGGTTTTAAATAAGTCGTATCCTATAAAAATTCTTTTTGAAGAACTTTTCACTCATGAAAATTTCCTTCTGCTCCTGTATCGATGAGGGCTTCTACTGGTACATCGCCAACCAGGACTTGTATAATTGGTAGCTGTGAGTTTTTTACGATGACTGTATTTAAATGTCTATTTGAGGGTTTTTCTAAAACTTCCGGGGTCTGGACCCTCCCTTTCACAGGCCCCTCTAGTCGTTTAAAGCTTTCCTTTCAATCTGTGTCTTCTGGGTACGCGGATGCTTATTTTCAAATTTTCTTTTTGGGCCTTGACCTTCGAGTTTCGATGATGCGTTAGCTTGATAGTTCTTTCCCCCATAAGAGCGATTTCCATTTCTGGTTTCCTCCTTCCTTCGGGTACTTTGAGAATATGTTTCCCCTCTCGCTCTTTCCGCTATTCTGCGATTTTGAAACTTCACCGCCAATTCGAAAAGTTCCTGCAATGTGCTTGGGTTTCTAATTTCAAAGTAGTCTTGAACAGCGGGTAACAATCTTGGTAATATTATTTCAATAATCTCCGCATCGGGTTTTTTTCCCATACAGCATATCCGTTAGCTTGATTTTTTCGTAAAATAAAGTCCGTCAATTGTGCTGTATCCCGTTGATAGAAACTATATAGTTCGGCTTCCAGCCGTGCGCGATCTTTCACTATGGGGAAGGCCTTTACTAACGATTTTTTGAAATTTTCAAATGTATACGTCGGGCTTCCAAATTCCCCTATAAAAATTTGCCTATATTTTCCACCATAGCGCGGCCTGTCCTCTTAGTGCTGATGTGGCGATGGCAACTTTTTGTCTTTCAGGCACAGGGTAGAGCTGAAAGTGGTTTTCTATAGACCTTCTAAAAATACCGGCCACCGAATTTTTTTCCGTCGAAATAGACGTTTGGCTTGATTGATGCTCTCAAAGTCTGGACCAGGTATCCAAATCCTTCTAACTGCGTTGTCATTTCTTGGTGTTGTCCAGCGGCTTCCATCCAGTTTTCGGCCATTTCAGTTCGATAAGTGTTCGGGCGCCAATATAACGTTGCGCGCCTCCTAACTTGCACGCAACCAAGAGGTGACTGTGAAAGCTTGTATAAAACCACAGAGTCTTGTTAAAGGGTTTAAGTCCCTTTTTATTCAACGTAATAAATTACAATTGCGTCCTCTTGACGCTTACAAACTGTGCCAACTCGGCAGTCAAATAAAAATAATAACCTGAAAAGAAAGTAAAGACAAGATTCTAACTACGAGGCTCTCTAAAATAACTAACTCACCGCGTTTTACAAAATACCGCTGCTAATTCAGCAGACTTGAAGCTCACTGGAACGATTGCAACTACTTCCCGCCAAGCACATAGGCCGCAACGCGGGGTTCTTCAATTCTCGCTAACTACCTCCGCGCTCGCTAAGTAAGAATAATCTCTCTCACCGAACTTGTTTCCTTCTATTTAAATCATACTACTTCCGCTGATAATTTGAATGCTTGCGCGTTCTACTCAAATTTACATATTCTGGCATTGGCAGTTCCAGGGGAAAGTAAGGCTTGACAGGAAAGATAGTTTAAACTTAAAATAAATGTTAGTTAAAATAAATATAAACCCTACAAATTTTTTAATAATTGTTTCTTTTGTGTAGCTGTAAAGATCAGAAAGCTATGGAGCTGGTGACGGTAAGCTGAAAAGCAAGTGGTTAAGTACAAGCAAGTGCAAAGTACTCTAAGTGCCCTTGCTCAGAGTAACAACACAGAGAGGATGCTGGTATAAAGGTAATCTATTTACATATGGAATTATTATTCAGTGCAGAAGCAAATTTAATAATAAAGATAGTGCAATGCTTAATATAATATACAACATAATACAGAACATAAAAAGGAATTCATTGCTATGCCATGTTTACAAAAGAAAAGATGAAAATTACATAATCCATTCATTGAGAATGGCCAGTGCTCTGTTTTTATTATTTAGGTCATAATGGTCATATGTAGCTATTTTGATGGCAGGGTTGTTGATCACGAGCTGCTTATTGTGAAATCTTTTTGCAATTCTATAGTAAAAGGATTTGAGGGGGCGAACACCCAGTTCTTCATGCATTGTATTATTATGTATATACTAGGGTGCAATGGTGATCTGCCTTAGAGAAGAATTTTGTGCAATTTGCAGTTTGCCTCTGTAACTATTACATGAATAGGCCCATACAGGGCATGGTAATGGAAGCAAAATGGATTTATAAATGAGTAACTTGTTATCTATGGATAAAATACTTTCGAGCAATTAAGGGGAAGAGTCTAGCTTTACGTGCTCGAAACTTCTTAATAATTTCTGTGATGTGTGGGTTCCATGGCAGTGTTTTACCATAAATTCAGGGTAATAGAAAGTGAATGATTCCGCAGAAGAGACAGCAAATTCAGAGTGGATGGTGTCCACAGAATCCGAAGAAATACTGCAAAGAATACCGTTTGTATACGGCGGTAGAGTCGAGTCGCAGAACCGTAAGTATCATCAGACGTTAAACAACCGGCAGATTTCTTTAAAATGTGTGTGAAATCATTTTAAATTAGCTGTAAGAAATTCATCAAATATGCTGAAAATTGTATGAAGTTCTAGGGGTTATTTTAAGTTTCTAACAGTTATTTTGATTTTTAAACATGCTTTACTGTCTATTCTCGTTTTCCACCTTTTATTCCCTGCCAGAATAAGTTTTTAGTATCGCGTTACATGTTATAACGTTGCGCGCCTACAACTTGCACGCAACCAAGGGTGACTGTGAAAGCTTGTATAAACCACAGAGTCTTGTAAAGGGTTTAAGTCCCTTTTTATTCAACGTAATGAATTACAATTGCGTTCTCTTGACGCTTACAAACGGTGCCAACTCGGCAGTCAAATAAAATAAGAACCTGAAAAGAAAATAAAGACAATATTCTAACTACGAGGCTCTCTAAAATAACTAACTCACCGCGTTTTACAAAATACCGCCGCTAATTCTGCAGACTTGAAGCTCACTGGAAACAATTGCAACTACTTTCCCGCCAAGCACATAGGCCGCAACGCGGGGTTCTTTAATTCTCGATTTTCTTTCTACCTCCGCGCTCGCTAAAGTAAGAATAACTCTCTCTCACCGAACTTGTTTTCCTTCTATTTAAATCATACTACTTCCGCTGATATTTGAATGCTTGCGCGTTTCTACTCAAATTTACATATTCTGGCATTGGCAGTTCCAGGGGAAAGTAAGGCTTGACAGGAAAGATAGTTTAAACTTAAAATAAATGTTAGTTAAAATAAATATAAACCCTACAATGTAAATGAAGCAGAAAGAGAATTTAAATGAAGGTTTCGCTTACTTCAGGAGAAGAGCTTAGGAGTCTTTAGTGGCGCGAGTTTTCCGTCGGTCTGCTTCTTTGTTTAACTCTTTCGCATCGAGAGACGACCAAATCTGTTTTTAACAAACATCGAAAACGCACGTGTTTACGAATTTGTCTTGGAATAGTTTTCCTTACCCCTACCTAGTAGACAGCCTACAGCATTAACAATAACCTACTTAAGTGAAATGACTGCTTCTCTCTTGGAGGTTTTTCTGCAGTTTCATCCATTGTGTGCAGTTTCCCCTTAGGGCTGGATTGCACCTGCGATCGCGTCAATAGCTTTCCGTATTTCTCTTATTTGCTTCAAAAGAATGATTGGCATGTCTTTTAACAACTCGCGAACCAATGAGAGCCATACACTAACGTGGAGGGGAAAGCACTAGGTAGAAAATGATTCAGGCGTCCAGGTGGCGGTTTGCAGGGTTGCCTGAATGAACGGGCGTTACGGGCGACTTCGATACGAAAGAGTTAAAGCTAACTACTCTTGGTCGTATTATCCGTGCCTGCTGATATTCGCCGGTTAATTTAATAAAGAGCCAACTACGTTAGCTAATTCTGTACAGCTTCGGCTAAGGTCAGTTTAGTTAAGCATTAGATTAGTATCTTATTCTCTTATCTTGATTGAAAGCCCAAGTGGAGGTTTTTCTGTAAGCCCGAGAAAGGGGACCATCTGTATTCTTAGTTTGAGATAATAAAGGGTGAGTTTAAGCCTTCTTTGGTCTTTGTCGTTTACATACTTGGACTCAGCAATAAATCGCTACATAGTTCAACTGAGTTTCTACGAAGTCAAGCATAGGTAAAGTAGTTAGTCACATTGCAAAGTTGTTAGTTCGCGATAGCGAAAAGGCCTCGAGTGCAAAGGGTTAACACAAGGAACCTTTTTCAAAACCTTTTTAATTTATTCGTAGTTACGTACAAATACAAAGATTTCACTCCTTAATTTGTACACCACCCTGATTATGATTTTCCAGGTTTAAAACTAAATATCTCACCCAATTTTTGTCGCACGGAAGTTCCACGTTTTTTATTTTGTTTTCAGTGATGAGTATAAACTTCTCCCAGTATAAATATCGAGGTCGGTGGAATGTACAAAAAGTTAAATTTCGTAATTTTTAAGAAATTATTATTTTTTTTTTCTAATTTCAAAATGCTAAAACAAGATTATTTGTAATATTTAAAGGAAATTTTTAATACGAAGTACGTGTTTACGACCAACGATTGCGAACGTAAGGATCGGGTAAGAACTTTGTGTACACTATCTGCGTGGCTGCTCGTAAGCATACTGGAGAAGGAATTCTCTGATGCAAATCAGGATATCATTAAAATCGTAGCATGTAAAATTTCAACTGAAACATTATGGAAATAAATATGTAATGTAAATTCGCATAGCTACTAATTTTTTTTGATGGACAGTGTCTTTGAGATATCCTCATAATAGGAATTGCAGGGGTTTCAGAACAAGCGAAAACCTTAGACTTGTTGCAACGGTTGATGCTCAAGTCAATTACGCGAAGACATTCTGCATAGAATCAGGACATCGTTCTGCATAAAAAAGTTGAATGAAGGAATCGAAGCTATTAACTTGTTGCATTCACATAGATGAGAATAAACATTTACTGTAATTATGGTAACTGTTTTATAATGAAAGAGATATATTATTTCTATCTGTTTGACAGCAGCAGTGGTGGAGTTCACAGAAGCTATTCCAAGAAAAAGTGTCTCAACAAGGAAAAGTTACATTTCATGAAAATTTTACACAACACAAAGGACTGCTCAGATCTTGAAGCTATGCACATTTACATCAGACAGAAGAAAATTAGCCTTCCTGTTCATTAAATGTTTTATGATCATAAATTTCTCACTTCAGTCTGAGCTTTAGGGCGAAAGTTCCTGTTTCCTGTAGGTCATGAGAAAGCAGTGGATGAAGTTGAGAAATCTTATGAAGATCAGAACGGAAATATTTTTCATTCGTTTGTAAATTAAATCTTTCGAGAGAATTAAATTCCATTGTAGTAACTACTCTGTAAAATTTTAGCTATCAACTCCTTTGCCTTTTCTGTCCTCAGACAAGAGAGGTCATCCCTCATAAGGCAGGTAGATTTACACCCGTTTTCTCCAACTTTCTAATCCTTAAATCTAGTTCAGAAGTCAAACAACAAATACAGCGTAGTATTTTCAAACTTTTTACAGGACTAGTTTCGATGGTTTTACCTAACCACCATCCTCAGCTGCAAAACCGCAAATGAACAAGATAGGAAATAATAATTTGATAAGATAAGAAAGCCTGGACAAGAAAAAGCAAGTGGCGCAATCTGTTGGTGAAACCAGAACTAAAGCATAATTTCTTTAAAGGCCGAAGGCAAAGATGGCTTGGAATTATTAAATCTGGGTTTAATTAGCGTGTCAGGGAGAAATCGGTATCTACCACAAAATCATGTATTAACAGTTGCTTTTGAGAATTGGATCCTGATCTTCCGATAGCGGTGGCTTAGCATACTGGTCAAAGTTAAGCATGCGCAGAAAGAATGTATTGATAAGATGGATGGTATTAAGAGATATTCTAATGACAAAACAAGAAAATCTATGGAAAGAAAATCGCGACGGAAGTCCGGAGTTACTTTCGATGGATTTTGCGTGTCGCCCATACTTTAGATTAGGGCTTCTTACAATTTTTTCAGTCGCAACCCCTTTTTATCAGTAAGACCTTTTTCGCGACCCCATAATATTTACGAAACTTTTGTGTGACCCCATAAGCATTGCGCAAATCCGACACACGCGTGAATGAAACTGTCAATTTTTTCACTTGTACTGAAATATACTATCGCAGTTTTAGGTCATTAACATTAATTTATAGTTTTAAGACATAGAGCAATGTGAAAATTTTAATAGTAATAGACGAAATGATAGCGTTACGTGCAAAGCAAGTAAAATGAACGTTTATAAAAGAATCTGTCGAAACGTTTTCGTTTTTTCTTTGTCTGTATTGTCTAATCTTTATCTATTTTCATATACATTGTGTAAAAATATTTGGTAACTGTAAAATTATTATAATACGTTAAAGAAATATAAAAACTGTTAAAATTTTCGGCGACCCACAGTTTAAGATACTATGCTTTAGATCATGTAGAGCATGATCTCCGTACTTTAGTCGATGGGAATTTTCTTCGGAGATACCGGTAGAATACATAAACGGCATCGCATATAGATGATATTTTGAATGGTGATTCGTCTATTAGTACTCGAAAGTGTTACTTACCTCCAGAAAAAAAAATAAATAAGTCCCACTTACAGATTTTACATTTCTGGTACTTTTTAATTAGTTCTTGGAGATTTAAGCTGCGTTAGCCAAACTCCATATTACCTGACAATGAGTCACGAATTATGTTGTTCGCGAATAGAGTTTTACCGCAATAAATAATCTAAATTCTGCGAAAGACTAAAAGAAAAAAAAAGAGAAGTATTGTTTCTCTTTAACTCCATAATGATACGTAACCGATGTAGCGCTAGAATGGTGTCTTTAGTCAAGCGCTGCGTTTGATTGTCACAACCTTAATGTAAAACAACATAAAAATTACGGCACATCTGATAATATGTTGAATATTTATGCAAATCCAAAAAGAACAGAAAATTATCATAAAGTAGCAATATATAATCTCTAGCACTAGAAATTTTATAACCATTCATATTGAAAGCAGGAAAAAGCGAGTCAGTTCTTATCGCGAGCAAAATTAATAAAATAAAATGACTTCCTTCTTACTTCAGGTATCTCCACAGTTGCATCAGGAGTGGCTGGAAATAAAAACTTGGGTTTATCTTGATTAATCTCCACAATTCGAATATGGACGACAGCTTCGTCAACTTGTGATTCGTCACCTTCATTCATGGCGCGTACTTTCAGTTTGAAACTTTTTACATTCTCTGGAAGTTCCTTCGTTGGGTAAATGACGCCGGTCTCAGGGTTGATTCCGAAAACATCTGTGAAAGCAAGCGATATCTTTACATTCGCAATTAATGGGACATTTTCATAATAAATCCCATATTAGGGTCACACTCATTAAATTTATAATTTCTCCATCTCTAACATTACACATTATTCTAACATAAAAAGAAAGTGCTACATCTTTTTAAATGGCATAGTTACAAACGAAACAAGCACAAATGGAAAATCATTTGGTGGTTTGTATAGTTAGCTCTGTAGAAGGTCTTTCATCTCAGAAAAGGTTTGGAACGAAATACTGCACAGCATTAGTGTGGTTTAGAATGTTTGTTTGGAGGAGTTAAGTGACATTTTAGTTGTTTAAAAATTGAATTCCTTTGCTTCAGAGACACAGCATCTTAATAAATATGCAATAGAATTACTATATATTTAATTTTTCTTTAATGTTTTGCTTGGTGGAAATCTGTTTCAGTCAAAGAAGTATTTCAATCGTTGAGAAAAGTAGATACAAAAGCCAATGATCATTCACTGAATAATCACTGAAATTCATATGATCACTGAAATTACCTTCGATGAAAATGATGTTCATTAATTTTTGGATCACAAAATTAAATAACTTCGCATATAGAGAGAGGATGGAAATGAATATATGTATATATTTGATTACAAAGTTACAGTAATGAACATATATTTTTATTTTTTAAAGATGAAGGGGAGTGTGTGTGATTATGACAGTCTCGAGGGCTATCTGCCTAAGAGGAGGGATGCCTCCGTGGAGGACTTTCTAAGGGAAACTGGCTCGTATACACGTTACACATGGGGAAAACCACGAAAACGCCCATGCAGCCAGCCCGTTCGCGGGATTCGAACCTCGGACCGAACTAACAGTGTTCAGCGACTTTACCGCTCGGCCGCTAGTGGGCTAAAGATGAAGGGAAAAAAGGTAACATAATTTCAAGGAGAAATCGATTAGTTCAGAAACGCCGATTCGATAACCATAATTTTAAAAAAAATCTGAAAGCTTTCAGATTTTACATTACTCTCAAAGGGGCGTTTTTTTGACGTTCTGTGTGTTACCTTTATTTATTAAACAGCATGTTCTTCACACTTAAACCATAAAATTCAATACAACAGCAATATCCCAAAGTAATTTTAAAATGAATATATCTTTAGAATTTCGGATACACAGCCTCGCGCGCTGGAGATAAAAAATAATTTTTGTTGTTGTTGTTTCGTGTGTTGCGATTGCTCGCTTTGAAATCATTGAGTTTCTTTATCAAACATTCGTTAAAGTTTATAAGGTATTTCTCCCGCTTTCCTAGCGTGTCTTCGCGGTGTAGTGGTTCTGCACGCTGGGACGGTATTCCAGAGGTCCGTGGTTCGATTCCCGGCGAAGGCGGTTGCTAATATTTCATCTCTCCAGCTTTTCCAATTAACCTAATGTCTCTACAGTGGCGCCCGAACTAAAAGGGTGTTGGATGAGGATTCTCCACACCCAGGTTTTGGCGATTGGGTCGCCCTGAAAACCCCAGTCGCACTTTAAAAAGGGAAGTGTATAAGATATTTCTGCCGCTTTCCTAGTGTGCCTTCGTGATGTAGTAGTTCTGCACCCTGGGCTGGTATTCCAGAGATCCATGGTTCGATTCCCTGCGAAGGCTTTGCTAATTTTTCATCTCTTCGGCTTTTCCAATTAACCTAATATCTCTACAAGCTATGAAATAGATAATTGCCCGTTTGGGCTAGTAAAATTGGTTTTGCCATTTTGTCCGTATTCGGTTCAAATCATAAATGCCAGCAAATATTTTCACACATAATTTTTTTTTCAAATAAGAACAGGAGCAACTTAACTACCGAAAATTCAGATACTTGTATTTGTCTTAAGACGACTAACTCTAAGCCATACTTGACTAAATTGACACGACAGGTTCAGCTTGAAGGAAGCCATTAATTTCGAAAAGAAAAATAATGAAGTTCATTCAGATATGTTAATTTTTATAATAGACTTTTATAGACTAGAATTTTTATTTTTATTTTTAAAGTTCAAAGCGTTGTAATTATTTTCTCAATAATATACATCTTCTTATTCACCAAGAAAGACTGTTACAAAATGAAAATACCACTGACCCGAAACGTCTTAATACACACATTTCGGTTGATTTTGACTCGCAGCTAAAAACGGTTGCCGATGCCTGTAAGATTCTTACACCTATTTGATTAAATTGTGAAAAATTTGATCATTTTTGTCGCTATTTTGATATAAGGATAAATGGAATCATGTGACCAGTTTTGCGTTTTTTTCTTATTGAGCAAAAATAAGTAATTTTATTATATACAATATAAAAATCTAAATTTTATTTCAGATACCTCGTTACGTATTCTTAAATTCAAAATATCAAATCTTGTACTTTGCCAGCATTTAAATTTAACTTAGAGTGCATATGAATTTAACATTTTAAATTTCATGTTATTAGTAGGGAAAAAAATTAACCTTTTTCGTTTCCAGCAATGATGCTATAGAATATTTTGGCATTATCTCCGATATCTTTATCTTCAGCAGTCAACTGCATAACTGACGTCGGAGGAGATACTGGCAAATTAGATACAACAGACGCTTCATATTCTCTTTGAGTGAACGTAGGAGGGTTATCATTCTGATCTTCCAAAGCGATGTACAGCTGCAAAAATTAGAACAAACTCAAAGTTATATTCCTCTTAAAGTATTTCTATTTCTAGAATATATATCAAGAATTTTGCTTTACATTTTATGCATAATCATTACGATATACACTTTGTCCATAAGAGTTCTTACCAAGCCGTTGTTTAAGCAAGCGTTTGTCTAAGCATATATTTCCACTTTCAAAAAGGTTTAAAATGGCTCAAATTTTTTTAGCAGTTTTAAACTTAAACAAATAATTTTTTTTTTAAATTCACTAACTCTAATTTTTTATACGTTCTTCCAATCCTTATGCTAATGTTTAGGAAAATTTTGTACTCATTATGAAAAATAAAACATAAAAAGCGCGACTACCGCACGACAAAAACTGACTGAAAAATTTGATATTAAAGTCGAAGATCATATTCAGGGGCCATACGCAAACTCAACAGCGAAATGTTTGCATTTGTATGTAACTAGAAATAAAATATCTGCTTAGAAAATTGCTTCTGATGATAATAGATTAATTGAAGCGGAATTATGTGCATATTATTGTGAAATGTACATTATTTTTCAATATAAATTTTTCGAAATGAAGATTTTTTATTCGTACGTACAGACGTTACTATTTCGTACATACAGACGTCATTATTCGTACGTACAGACGTCACGAAAAAGGTTTCTTCTAAATCCATTTTACAATCCATTTTGGAAAAAAGAATCCTTTATTCTGCCCGTACGTATAAATGTCACGTAAAAACATCGTTGAAAGGAATTCGAGATCCGTTAAAATGGACATTTTCATTGAAATATAATACCCGAAATTTTTTGCAATTATAGTACTTCCTTTACTTCGTAGAAGGAAGTAAAAATAGTGACGTTTGGGGATTAATATGTAAGGTATTTTTACTTCTTATCGCGTGCCTTCGTGATTGTTACGAAATATCCAGACGCGGTAAGATCATGGACCTTATAAGAAATAGACCAACCCAAATGGGTTTTCTCCCTCCTCTGACGCGTTCCCGGCTGTCACCTTGATCACATCCGGAGGAGTAGGGACGACTTGCAGAAATTTAACAGTAGTTGCCTATTGCGTGTATAATTGTAAAAAACAAAAGCTGGTTGTAGAGCCTCATTTCACAAATTAGAATTTCTCCATATTTTTAATTTTGAGACTCAGATTGATATTTAAAAATTTAGCATATTTATCAAGCATAATTAATGTTCTAAATAATTATAAGCTTTCATGCTCTCAGGGCTGGATATATTTTTAGCTTTTCCTATGCTGTAAGGAAATTTGTAACTACTTCTTTTAGAAAATAATATTTTAAATCTGAACTAATAGAAAATTTCAAACAAGCAATTTTCTCTTGCAATTTGTATGCTTTTTATTGGTGTAAATAAGTAAAAAATATTAAAATATTTAAAAACGAATTTTTGAAAGTTTTGTTTTAAAATTCTAGATTGTGCTGCTTTTTTTAAAATTATAGATGAGTATTATAGCGCATTTATAAAAGGAATTTATTTCAATCATATATCATAATACATCATTGTGATAAACACTTTTGACTCCTTAAATTTTATACATTTAATTCTAATTTTTTAAAATTGTATTTAAACCGTAATAATTAATTTTGCTTGTATTTTATAGTGATTATTTTTTAAATTTATTTTTAGTTCGCACAAGATTTTTTTATTTACTGTTAATTTAATTTATTAGCTCGAAGCGGCATTTTGCGCTGTTTCACTGTAAATGTCCGTGTCTCCTTGCAAATTGTTGTTACCAAATATTATCTCCCTGTATTATATTTAAAGAAATTAAATAATGAAGAATCTGCATGAATACATGTATTTTTTTCGCACTGTGACAAAAACGACGGTATCTAGAGCCATCAAATTTTGAATAATGTAATCCTCCACCCGAACATGGGCATCTGGACGGCCGAATTTCGAATCTGTATTAATCTATTTCATATTTTGTAAAACTTTAACGAATTTTTTATTAACAAACTCAACGAGTTCAAAGCGAGCACGGAAAATACGGAAAATAACATTTTTATCTCCAGCTCGGAAATTTTAAAGATATTCTGTTTTCAAATGTATGTGGTTTACCGGCGAAGAACATGATATTCAATAAATATAGGTAACGCACAAAACGTTAAAAAAAGGTTCCTTTTGGGCGTAATATAAAATCTTAGTGCTTCTAGATTTTATTTTACCTTTTTTTTTCCTTCATTACACTCAGAAAATTTTATGCTCCGAATTTCATAAATTATTAAAAGAAATACTCCACTTTAACGTTAATAATTTAGTGATGATATAATCAAATAAATGATCGTTTTGTACTGTTATAGTTTTGAACATCCCTGCCTGAAAATGTTCTTTAAATTTTTAAAAAAAAATATCAGATCTTGTTTAATTTTACCTTATTTATTTCAAAGCATCACGTACTATCAATCTTATTTAATTTTACTTTATTTTTATGCAAAATTAAGTTCATTAATGTTGTGCTTAGAGTTTTTATCGTTTTACCAAAGTAACGATGTTTGTAAAAGGATTACGCGTGAAAAAAATGCGCGAAATGCAGTAAAAACTGCTTTAATGAGATATATAAAATCCTATTTGAAAAAAAATGTGACTTTCATAATCTCATCACTATACAACGTAACACATTTAATAATAAAAAAAATATATGTGATACAAACGCCATTTCAGTGTTAAAGTAAACTAGATCGTCCCTACTCTTTCTTGTGGACATGTCGGTGACGCGCGCTCCGCCCACTGGGTTGGTCTATCTCTTATAAGGTCCATGGGTAAGATAGGTAGGGTTGCCACATTTGACGAGAAAATTGGCGATATGCCATGGACAGATGCAGAACCTTCTGGAACGAATTCTTACCGGTTTAGCCCAGAATGTTCTCGAACACAAGCCGGAAGCTATATAAACCCTGCTGGTTCGCAGTCAGGGTGTGCCTCGCATAGAGTGCAAGTGTCTGTGCCTTATCTAGCGAGCTGATAGTCATTCATTGAGCGAGTCTAGCGCCGAGTTGGTCTTCGAGTGCATCGAGAGAGTCTTTTAGTGTATCGCGAATTAGTGCATCGTCGAGTTTTGTCTTAGACTGTGCTGACTCTTGTGTATCGTCGAGTGCATCGCGAGTTGTTGCGGGGAGAGTCTCGAGAGTACGTGGAGTTCCGAGAACGTCCAAGCAGAGTCGGAAGCTGTACTCTGGTGCTTTGCAGTAAAGCCGTCTCCACCGTTATTGGCTGATAGCCTGAAGGCTGTGTCGCTGACTGTTCCAGCATGTTTATGGTAGATCTTCGACGACTGTAAATGTGATTTTGGAGCTGTCCTGAGAAAATTGGCAATTAAAGTGTGTTTCGATACTTCATCAAGTGTCGTCGTTATTCACTCCAAATCTACGAACCCCGTACGAGCGTGAAGGAAGAAAATAACGTAACATGATGTTATAGCAAAGCACATCCAGTTGGAAGGTCCAAAGTTCGATTTCTGGCAACAGCATTGTGTATTTTCATGTTTTTTGCTTCTGAAAACCTAATGACTCTGCGTATCTACATAGAGTTAGTTATAACTGAACGTGAGAATCATAAGTAGGATTTCTTTTAATAGATGCTGCCTGCAGCATAAGTTGTAAGCCTACAGTTTATTTACGTAATTGTTGTTTGTTGGCAAAAAAGCCAATGTAACGATTTTTCAAACCATCACCTCTACCCGTGAAATAATATTGCTGATATTGACATCTTTTAAACTTTTTGGCTCTTTATATTTCAGCAATGGTTTTCAAACTTTGTCGACTCACGGAACGCTTAGAACTATTAAATTTTTTGGGGAACAACATCTCTCCCTTTAAAAAATATATCAATATTTAAAGTAGATGAGTATGTTGTATAGGTACTTTAAGTAAAGACAAAGAAAAGTATCGTAAATTTTACTTCAAAAAATTTAACATAAAATGCCATGTAAATTCAGTTAATTTTCTATTACAAACTGTTTAATTTTGCAAAGCACCACACTTGATTCTCTTTGACGTACGAGACCACATGTTAAGTTATAAAACTAATCTTAACTAAATGTGTCTTTAAGCTTTTTAATAAATAAAAGCATTATACTTCTACTATTCATACGAGTCAACTAGCGTGAGTGCTTTATGATTTTCTCTTTTAATCTTTATTTTGACTTTCGGACACCTGAGGTTTGATTCGCGGATTCCCTTGGTTCCACGGAACCAAGTTTGAAGACATTGTATTTCAGTATCCAGAAAGTGTTACGTTTGTGAACAAGATGGGAGTCTAAGTGCGAGGAATCTTCGAAAATCAACTCTGTCGATAGAATAGGATTTTCAGTTAACTGGATGAACGTGCTCAGTTCTGCATTAAGCTCATACGAGGATAGCTAATTTCTTAGGAACCTTAAAATATAAAAATTATCAGGGAAAGGCTGGACGATACCCAATCCATCAATTCAGTTTGAGAGACAAATTACTAGACCTCTTTAGTTCGGATGTTAGATGTAGCTAGGAGAAGGTTTATAAGTGATAAATGATGTAGATAAGAGGATCTAGAAAATCAGCCGTTTTTTTACTTCCTTGTACAAAGCAAAGGAAGTACAGTAATCGCTAAAAATTTCGGGTATCATTTTCAACGAAAATGCATTTTGATTACTCTCGAATCCATTTGAACGATTTTTTTGGGGGGGTGACATTTGTATGAATGGACAGAAAAAAGGACGCTAATTTCCAAAACGGATTTAAGATGGATTTAAAAGAGATTTTTTTCCGTGACATCTGCACTTAAGTATTTTTATATCTCGCATAACTCAAAAACGAGTAGCTGTAGAACGTTGATATTTTGTATATAGGACTGCTATAACATGTAGTTGCGCGCCTCCATTTTTGTTGCAATCTTCCTCACCAAAATTTATATATATATGTAATAATAAAATTCCATAGTCAAGAATACACTTAAAATTCTAACTGTATGTTCTTTTCATTTTTAATGGAGACTTTCTCTTATTTGAAAGTACGTGGAATTAAATCCACAGCCCCGTAGTCAAGTTGTTTTTCCCGCCTTTTCTACACGTACAGTTTTAGAATGTTCTGGAAATATTTCAAGCGAGCTGGATTGGCTGACGTCATTTCATGGCAGCTCCGCCTTTCCAGAGGCTATAAAATGACTCGCAAAAGGAATATCGGGGCTTTTTCTTTAATGTCACGATGCAGTAAACTTCATACAAAAAGTTATTAGTAATTCTTTTTATTTACTCCGGATATCTGATTTTGTAACTGCTATTTTCTCCTGAAATATAATAAAAGGATCCTGTTTTTTAAAACTTATCGTCTGATAATTTAAGCTACGACTACATTGATAATTCTTCAACAATCTATTTATTCGGGACAAAAGCTGGTACATCACATATATATATACACCTACTCTGTTACTCGGCTGCGTAAGCTCAGTTTTATTATTACTATTATATGTTGGTAAATTGTGCGTTTTTTTCTTTAAAATGGTTGAATTATGTTGTTCTTAATCCTCCGGTTAAGATTTTTATGCCTTAAGTTAATCTGCATGCATAGTTGTAGAATTATCAATAATCTAAAAGTTTAAATAGCGCTAGACCTAAGGAGGCTGCCATTTGTTTACATTTGAGACTCCCAGCAGAATAGTGAATTTAGTTAGTTGGTGCATCGAGTTAAATGTTTTTTGCCCAGTTGGACCAAAAGGTAACTTTCAATTTTCTGCACCGAAAATTTGGTCTTCCTGCTCGTTGGCCGAATTTCTGGTTTTTGCGTACAAACTATAATTTTAATTGTAAAAATTGCTTTTTAACTATTTTGTAACTGTATTTGATGTTTTATGTATTGCTACATTTTACAATGTTTAATGAAGATATTTTGAGTTTTTATACATTTTTGCCTTGCCGTGAAGTGAGAATTGAGTTGATTGAATGAAAAATATATCTCTAAAGAAATTCGTGGAGACAAGTTTAAACGAAGTGAGCAAAAAGTGTGTATAATCATGTGGTGGCTACATATTTTTTTTTTTTTTTTTTTTTTTTTTTTTTTTGAGTTGGGAGTCTAATACGGGAGTTCCGAACAACTGCTCATTGCTGTTGTGACTATCTTCCTGATCTGAGAATAATGTGATCAATATATTATGTACGAATATCTTTTAGCCACGAATTCATTTGGCAAAAGTATCTGTATTAATGCTAATCCAGTGAGTAGGATGCATAAGAAGTTGTCCTCGCTGGGTTATACGACTCTTGACTCTGTTCAAGAGTCGTATACCAATCAGGAAAAACGTATGTAATGATCCTCTGCAAAATTTCGCTGAGGATGATTTCATGGTCGCAAATGCTCTCATGAAATCATCACATGCTGTAAAAAGTGGCTGTTTCATTTCGATCCTTAGACCAAAAGACAGTCGACGGAATAGGCGCGGTTGTGTGTCATGGTTACAAAAGATGACTCAAGTGCAGTAAAGGAAATCATTGAACGACCAATTATGGATCACATATTGAGTGACATTTCCAAAGGACCAACAACGCTTGTACCTACAAAATTTCATTTTCCTCGTGCTGACTATTGCCGATCTAGAGTAAGTTGCGTGTTACGTTTTGATCAACTTTTGTATGCAAAATTGCATTAAAGCCTAATATTTTTGTACACATGTTACTGTGAAACACCGAAATCTGGAGAATGTCGACTTTCACCGGTGAATGTCAACATTCACATAGTCGCTTGGTATATGTCCGAAATATTTTCCAAATACTCTTAATTCTGACTTACACCGGTGAATGTCGACATTCACCATGTACTAATGGTGAATGTTGAACATATAAGAATATTATATTTTCTTCTCCGTAATTCAGTCGGAAAAAAAAAAAAAAAACGCGCTTGAGATTTAAATGACTTAAATATAAGAAAATAAGAACTTAAGAACATAAGAACTTAAAACACACAGTACAAAATTAGAAAAAAAATAATACAAGTTAAAAACTTACTAAATTATGTGATTCAAATCTTATTTATTGCAACAACTTAAACTATTATGACACTTTGAATTGCACAAGAGGCCCTTGCTTTTACAACTGCATTTATTTGTGGAACACTTCCTTTTGCAATGTCAGCGTGTACATATACTCCTCTCTTCCGACCTACACCAGAGCATATCTGTGATTGTCGACATGCCCGGTGAGGGTCCGAAAGTACAAGAATGTAACGCAATATTCGATCTTTCATCGACGTATGTGGTGAATGTTGACATTCACCGGTGAAAGTCGACATTCTCCAATTTCGGTCTTTCACGATAACATATACACTAGTTCCTTCTCAACAAACTGACCTGTGCTATCACAGTTACATTGGGCTTGTAGGATTAGCAATAAAAGTAGTGAACAATAAACATGATTATAAAAGAACAGACAGTACAAGGAATTTAAGAACATAAGCATTGCAGGTTACCGGAACAGAGATGGCTCTGCGAGTGTCTACGTCTTGACCTTGATCCGTTGCCACAACTTGCAAAGTTATCGAAGGTGTTGTCTCACGATCCAAGTTAGCCGCAGCAGCCACTCTTATTATTCCCTGTAGATTAAAAATAATTACAATAAAGATTTTCGGTTTTTTTTTTTTTTTTTTTTTTTTTTTTTTTTTTTTTTTTTTTTTGGCACTGAAAATACGAAGAATTATTCAAAGAAGATTAGATTCTTAGTAGTCTATTTTACCAAACGTTTGCTTTATTTGATATCCCTTATGAAAAACTGAAACACAAAAAGTGTTGCTTTGCAAAATTATACAAAAATTTTGCTATGTTATCGTATTCTTAAACTTTTCAGATTATAATGACAACAAAGTTTTCTTTCGTGATGAAATATGGTGTGCAATTTTCTGAACATTATTGCTTATATGGGGGGGGACTAAATCTCATGAAAGCTTAAAATCAATTTAAATCATAAAATTAGTTGAAAGATTAAACTTTTGCTGATAATTATAAAACTTTAATTCCTGAAATTAGTGCTTTAAATTATTGCGTATGTACCCGTACCCTTGATAAGAGATATGATTTCTTAATTTCAATTAAATTTCACCATTATTTAAAATCCATTAATTTTTATTTAAATATGTTTTTAATCAAAAAGATATTGAAATTTTTTAATCAGGTAAAAAAAAATCATATCTGTTACGAAACCTTTCATTCCCTCCATGTGATGGATAATTTCAAAATTTAGGTTAATAAATTTTATAAATGAGAATTAAATCATCCTTTTTAATCCTCAAAGAAATTTTGATGATTTTAATAAGGCTTTTAAATACCAAAAGCGTGTATGGAATCGTTTGCAGAAAATTTAAGTAAGCCCAATTCTCTATAAATTGGATCTCATATTTTCAGTAGAATTCTTTTCGTTGATTCTATATGCATTATATAAATTCTGTACGTATAATGCTTAGAAACTTGAAATTTTTACGGAATATAAAATATTTATAGGCTTTTAAATGTTCAAAAGTTTCTATAGAATCTCTCGCAAAAAATTAAAGGAGGGAAACTTATTTATAATTCTTCAGAATTATGGCCCAGTTTTCTATAAACTAGATCTAATGTGTTTAGTAAAATTCTGTTTGTCGATTTTATGCACATTGTATAAGATTCTACACATATAACATGTAAAAAATGTAAAAAATGTAAAATTTTTATACATATGTCTGCATAATCTCTATATATAGTAACTCTATAGAATCTATATTTAAAATTTTATAAAATTCCGTAATAGATTTCTGATTTTCTTTATAGAAATTTGAGTCATTCCAAATTTCTATAGACAATTCTATAAGCATCCAAATATTCTTTGGGAAAACTGGTAACTTTAAAGGATTCTAAAGAAATTTAACATTGGATTTCTTTTACTGAATTCTATAAGTTATTGTCATAAAGAATGACATATTAATGTAACATGGAATTTGATTCTTCAACTATACACAGTTTTAAACAAATTTCATTTCCCTGTGATTTGAAGCTCAGGGTTTGGTATACAATGCCTGGTTAAAAAGTTTTAAAACTGATTTGCGCATTAATTGTATGAAAGGCGTTATCTGTTTGCAATAAACAGAACTATGAATAAGAAACATTTCGATTCTACTCTGCTAATCGCATTAGGATGAGTCTAGTTGTTAAGAAGAAAATCATCATTTGGTGTTTGAATGTTACTATTAATGTTTCTAATGGAATCATGTTTGGAATAGAGATGTGCAGTAAAGTTTTGTTCTGAAAGGGGCAAAGCTGCTAGAGAAACTTATCAAATGTTGCAGAATGCTTAGAATGAAAAGTGTTTGTCGCTTTCTAAGCCTATAAATATTTTATATTCCGTTTTTGTGGTTTGATAGATTTCGAGATGGTAGAGATGACGTAAAAGATGATGAAAAACGGGACGCCCTCGCACAAGCCGAATTGGTCCGAACATCAAAGTTGTCCTTGCTGCGTTAAATCAAGATCATCGATTAACGATTAGAATGCGTGCAGAACATTTAAACATTGATAAAGAAACTGTCGTACAATAACTGGTGATGATTTAGGAAAAAGGAAATTGTGTTCACTTTTTGTTCTGCATTCATTAACGACAGAACCAAAAGGGTGATCGAGGAGCGGTTTGTCAGGATCTTCTTGATATGCAAAATGGAGATCCAGACTTAAAAAAAAAAAAAAAAAAAAAAAAAAAAAACCTCCTCACCGATGATGAACCGTGGCATTTCGCCTACGATCTAGAAAAGAAGAAACAAAGTGCAGATTGGGTTGGACGAAACTCGCTGAAGGCCAAAGAAAGGGAGTTTCCAAAAATCCAGGAGGAAGATAATGGGAGAGGCTTTTTTTTATTGCAGAAAGACTGATTGCAGAAGACTGATTCACCAGGAATTCATTCCTAAAGGAAAAACAGTGAATGTTATGTTTTACATGGGTATATTGGATCAGCTGTTGAAATGCATGGCACATGGACGTCCGGACTTCCATTTAAACAAAAATTGGTTCACCCCATTTGCCGGACTTACCACCACCAGATTACTTTTTTGTCTCCAAAACTGAAATTAAAGCTGAAAGGCCATCTATTCGACAGTATCAAGAAATACTATAAAAAACATTACGAGGGAGCTAATAAGAGATCTTCCAACATCCAGTACGCTATGGAACGTCTTGCGAAAAGCGCCAACCAATGTATAACTTCACAAGAGTTATATGTAGAATAATTGGTAAACAGTTTTTTTTAACTGCACTCATTAATGTTTTGAAGAGCTTAGTTCTTTTTGCTATATTGTGGATATCTTTCTGCTGCAAAATAAAATACAATGTGATAAAAATATTTAAAAAGCTTAATAATTTATTTATAAAACAATAAGAAACTAGTAGTACATATAGTGTATTGGTAAATTAGTTTAAAAATGAAACATTCAATTTTCACAGTTAATGAAACTGCTTGCTGATGACATACCTTTTGATCGATTGTGAAATCATGACTCCTTTCGCCAAGTAAGGAGTACTTAATGATCCCGAAGTCTCCAGCGTCAGCATCCACCGCCTGCACAGCGACCACCCTGGTTCCCTGAGGAGAATTTTCTGGCACTTTTGCGTGATAAGAGCTCTGCATTTGGAAGAATATTCATATGAAAGAAAGTAAAATGTAATAGGAAAATAAAAATAAGAAATGTTTTCATATGTTTAAGAATTACAAACCTTGTCGAACATGGGATCGTTGTCGTTGATGTTGATGACCTTAGCTGTGACAATGGCAGTAGCTGACATTTGTGGAATACCTGTGTCATAAACAACAACTTTGAAAACAACCTCTTGGATACTTTCGTAATCAACACGGCTCTTTACACTTATTACCCCTGAAACAGGAATTTAAATGTTAAATGCAGAAGTGATTACACCGGAACCAAAATCAGATTATTTAACGTTGACAAATATGTAAATTTTTTAATTAATTCTATACCCAAACCTAAAGTGAAATTACATGTAATTAAATAACAGATGTCTATAAATCATTCCAAATTGTAAAATGCTGCATTTGAAGAAGCCACCCAAACGGGGAAGTGGTCACTAGCTTTGACTGCTGTACCAAAGAGTCCGGTTTGAGGAAAACATGTACAGAGACTGTTCGCACATTTTTTAGACGATTTTGGTAAGCGGTAATAAAAAATCGTTTGCTACAAAAGAAGTAATTGCAATTGTACTATGTTTTTAAAAGTCAAAATGATCGTCTGTGTTTTGAAAGTTTTGTTTTTATTCAAAATGGCGAATTTAACAAAGCAGTGGTTCGAAGGCTAAATTTACGCTCTTTCCGAAGAGAAATATGCACATTCCGTTATCCAAAAACGAGGTGAGAGTCATGGCTTTGTGATATCTAAAGCGTCGATACGTATATCTCACAGAAAGGAAAAAAAAACGTCAAATTAGCCTGAAGTGGACAAAATTCCAAACAAGTATGCAAAAAACGGACATCTTCGACTATTGCAAAGGTACGTTGTTTTATTGTTAAAATCCCCCTAGTCAAAGGACAGTTCAAAATTATTAAAGGTCGGTGTCCACTGTAAACAAATGATAACGTGATTTAAATCTTATGAAAGCGAAAAAACGCATGGCATCGTCTTCTTCCAAAGCAATCGCTCGACGCAGGAACGCTGCAGAATTCTATATGAGAAAACACTTATCCAAAAGAAAATGGAAACAATTGTCACAATAGATGAAGCTGGGTGTATTTAAATGATTGTAACAAAAAAAAAAAAAAAAAAAAAATGGAAAATGGAAAACAATTGTCACAATAGATGAAGCATGGGTGTCTTTAAATGATTGTACAAAAAAAAAAAAAAAGAGCCATTTGTTATCATAAAAGGGAGAAAGAATTAGTACATGGTTCAAAGATCGAAAGAAGTCTTTCTAAGGTATTCATGATTGCTGCTGTTTTTCTTATAATGGCAAGTTAAAATAAAGAGAGTGCAAACATGTCAAGATAACTCCAAATACTATCAGGAACTTATTTATCCGCATTGTTTGAATAAAATCCCTCCCTTTCCACAGTGCGTCCATCTGTGAGACACCATCAGGACAAAGCTAGCAGTCACACATCAAAAATCCACTTTAAATTTCGAAAGGAATGAACAAAAAACTGGTATCAAGGCCATACCCTTCACTGATATCCCGACTTAATCTCCCGATGTGTCCCTATGGATTTTTGTGCTTTCGGACTTAAAACTGCATATCCAAACGTTGTTCCCAAACCCTAACGGACTCTGGAAAGCGTTCGGGAGGAATAGGATAGAATATCTCTTCTGCCACTTCAAAAGGCATATATCCTGGAAATTGCGGTGTCGAAGATAGTTTAGAATAAGGGATTCAAATAGAACATTTAAAACACAAGAATTTTATGTAATTTAGTTTTTTGAATACAATATACATCGTCTAAAAAATGTGTGAATAGCCTCTGTAATTTATTCGTCCCTTCACAGGAGGCAGAGGAGGCTCAACTATTAGATGCCTCCATAATAAAGAGACTACCGCTTTAAATTAACCACAGCAAAATAAACGAGGTCTTAAGCTATCAAAGAAAGGGACAACACAAAAAATGTATTTAGAGTTTCAAACAAAAGGAACAGCACTAAATTTCTCACAGCTGGTTTTATTATAACTTGTGAACTGATATGGAATTATTGTTCCAGAATAATGTCTGACTATTTATACACAGTGTCAACCACAGCAGCATATCAGCAATTTGGGATGTGAAATTATGCCTTATCCCTCATACCTATCTGACATTTTCCGAACGGATAACCATTTCTTCTGCAGGTGAGCCATTTCGTTTCCAAAAGCTGCTTTGCCATTGGCGGATCAGTTTAACAGGCAACGGAAAATTTCACAAGTTTCCAAGACACTGATTTTTACTGCCTTGTACGAAATAAAGGAAGTATTGTAATCGCAAAAAATTTCGGTTATCATATTTCGACGAAAATATGCATTTCAACCGCTCTCGAAACCATTTGAACGATATTTTTGCGTGACATCTGTACGGACAGAATAAACGTCAGTTTTTGCCAAAAAGGGACCGTAAAAGGGATTTAAAATGGATTCAGAAGATATTTTTTCTTGACGTCTGTACGTACGTACGTATTTATCTCGCATAACTCAAGAACAAGTAGCTGTAGAACGTTGAACGTTTGTGTATGGGACTACTATAATGTGAAGTTGTGTATCTTTCTTTTTCGTTGCATACGGCTGCACCAATCGTATATAAATATGTAAATATTCCCACTCTGCTACCTGGCTCGCTGAGCTTAGTTTTTTATTCTTATATATTGGTAAATCGTGCATTTTTTGCTTTAAAAGTTATTGAATTATGTAGTTTTTATGTTCCGGTTAAGGTTTGTGTGCCTTTAGTTAATCTGCATGCAATAGTTGTAGATTTATCAACAATTTGAAACTTTAAATGGCAAGTTAAGCCTAACGAACCACCAAGTGTTTGCATGTAAAACTCAGTTGAATAGTGAATTCAGTTTCTGCACCTTCAATGTCTTTTTTCCAATTGGAACCAAAAGTAAACTTTAAATTTTCTGCATAAAAAAAAAATCTGCCATCTTTCCGAATTGCTCGTTTTTGCGTAGAAACTCTAATTTTAACTATGAATTTCTTTTAAACTGTTTTAACTATATTTGGTTTTTTATGTTTTCTGTATTTTACAATTTTTAATGAAGCTGTTTTGAATTTTTATGTACTTTTGCTTTGCTGCGAAGGGAGAACTGAGTTAATTGAATAATAAATATATCTCTAATGATATTCGAGGATATAAATTTAAATGAAATGCAACAAAAATGTGTATAATTTAATAAGGCTTACAAAGAAGTCATATGGTGTCCACACGAAAATTTATTTATGTAATATAAATAAGTTTTCCACCCGATGGCAACAATGCATTGATGTTACTGGAGATTTACTTTCATTAAGCAGTCATTTCCCTTCTTTTTGTTTCCTTCTTTTCCAGTTTCATTTAGAAAAGGCCGATTTTTGCTAACTGCATCTTCTTTCATTTAAAAAGCTTCACGATATACTACTTTAATGGTTGTTTAAGAACTTACCAGAGACATTATCAATGTGAAAGTACTCATTCTCTGGCTCAATCCGGTACTCTGCGATGTTAGAATCTGGATCAGTTGCAATAAGAGTGGCAACTACACTTCCCTTCGGTTGCTCTTCCATGGCATTCACATGAACTTCCGGTGTCTCGGGAGTCCATGGTCTTGGGAAAGATGGAGGATAATCATTAAGATCGATGATAGTCACCACCAGAGTACCTAAAGCAATTCACATTAATAAATAATTAATATTATTAAATAACGTTAATATAATTTTAAGAATTAATATTTATAAATATTCACGATCAGAAAATTTTATTTTTTATTTCTATTATACTTGTATTATATAATACTAAAAAATTAATAGAATGTAGGAAGAAAATCAACGGTTTTAAGTGCTTAGCGCAAAGACGGAAAAAATACTGAAGCAAATTAAGAACGTCTGTGTTATTGAAACTATGTTCAGATACATAAAACAGTTTTTTTCACAAAGCTCTTGAAATTCTTTAACAGATAATAACAATGTTTTACATAAATGAAAGAAAAACAGTAAATGAAAGAAAAACAGTTTAAACAGGAGCTCTCTCTCTATATATATAAGATAAATATATATAGCTATAAATTATACTTTAAATTAGCAACAGCCCTCTTAATTCCTCTTTTTAATTTGGGTACTTCCCCTCTGTACTTTAAATATAGTGAGAAATTATTCTAAAGTACGTCTTTCAAATTTAATCCGGTTATGTAATCGTGCCTGCTGTGCAATGAAATCTCAGCCAATCAGTTTATATTAATTTCTGTTATAAATACTACTGCAACCAACTGCGCATTTCTTTTTTCCCCTCTTTGCTTGATGCTAGCAAACGTACTCCCCAGCGCTTCGCTTTGTTTCATTGTTAAGATGTAAACTGCTATTATACAAAAATTGTGGGATGGAAGCACCCCTAATGATGATGTGTAATAGAAAACAATATTTGTCCTAAGAATTAAGCTATCAAGGAATAAAATTCAAACTATGCCTATGTCTGTCATCAAGTGTCATCCATCTACCTCCGCAGTAAAGCCTCTCTAAGTTATTACCAACGCAAAGAACCATCGTCAATCCATTGTAATTATTCTCCAGTCCTCATATGATTGATAATCATGAGATATAAAATATGAAAGTAAACGACTAACTTTAATTTAGCAATGTTAAGTTCATTGTTATAAACTGCTATTATATAAAAACTGTGGGATGGAAACGCACCCCTAATGTGTAATAGAAAACAGTATTTGTCCTAAGAATTAAGCTATCAAGCAATAAAGTTCAAACTATAGACCTATGTCAGTCATCAAGTGCAATCCTTCTAACTCCGCAGTAAAGCCTCTCTAAGTTATTACCAAAGCAAAGAACCATCGTCAATCCATTGTAATTATTCTCCAGTCCTCATATGGTTGATAATCATGAGATATAAAATATGAAAATAAACGAGTAACTTTAATTTATCAGTGGTCTTTTTACATTGACTACGCCTGTCTTAAGAATTATTAGTATATAAATATAAAGGACGTCATCTGAAAACTAATCCGCATTATGTCATCTTATGCATCCTGCAATGTTGTCAGCTCTTGCCCAATCACCGTTCAAAATTTAAGCAAAGAAATCAATTCCATAAATACCTTTTTGCTGAAATGCGCACTGACTTTCCTTTCTTACTTTCGCTATATAAACGCGTGCTGTTCATTTCTCCGCTTCATCTGTTGTGCAAAGATGTGATAAGTTATATAGAATTGTGGGGTGCTTACCGCATCTATAATGATGATGTGTGATTAAGAATCTGTACCGTAAGGTTTAAATGAGCAGAGATAAATTGTGTTTTGATATGTTCAGTCACGATTCTTAGTTTGTCTTCGTTATGCATCTCAGGTATCTACGTAGCTCTACTATTCTCTATATCAGTAAATAATCAAGTTACCCGTAGAATTTAATACGGCGCACGGAACGCCGTACCATTCAGTCATTCCATAAAATAATACACTGTTGGCCATTAAAATTGCCATACCATGAAGGAAAGCAAATAATAAAAAGATATTTATTGTAAGTAAACAGTATGGCATGAAGACAAAATGATTAAATTTATAAGCAGTTTGGGGGTTTACAGGAAGGCGAAATTAGTAGAAACAGCTGCCAACCGTGGCAGCTAAAACACCCTTACCTGGTTAGGCATGAGGTCGAACTGGGCTTGGATGACAGAAACGGGTAACTCATTCCATGCCGCTTCATGTCTATGCCACACTTCATCAAACGTATTAGCTGGAGAGGAGTGGCGGGCCAGTCTCTCAGCAACCCAAGACCAGATGTTTTCAATGAGTGACAGATCTGGAGACCGTGCAAGCCAGGTGGCAATCGAATACCCAGGGTGGCCAGGGTGGCAATCGAATATCGAGGAAGGTCAGAACACGACGTGCAACATGTGGGCTTGCATTATCTTGTTGGAAGATGGCGTTTGGCAGGCCTCGAAGATAGGGCACAACCACTGGATGTAAGATGTCTGAAATGTACCGATTTGCGTTCAAATTACCGTCGATCCAAACCAGAGATGTGCGTGTCGTGTACCCAATGGCTGCCCAAACCATCACACCGGGTGCTGGGTCCCTATGCTGATATCAAATGCAAGCAGGCAACGCGCTGTCTCCTCGGAGCCACCAGTTATGTATACGACCATCCGAAAACTGCATGCAGAACCGGAACTCGTCTGAAAAGATGACATTGTGCCACTCCTGAATCCAGCTTTGTCGTTCGACACACCAGAGTCGCCGTCTCTCTCTATGCTGCATTGTCAAGGGAAGGCGAAGTAATTGTCGGCGTGGTGATAGTCCATGTTGCTGGACCTTACGAGCGGATTCTGGGCGTGCTGCAAACGTGCCCATTTCCTGACCAATGGTGCGTGGTCTGATTTGTACGGTTTTGCAAGGCTGACTTCACAATATGACTGTCCTCTCGGGCGTTAATCATGGGAGGGCGTTGAGATCCTGCATGCCGTTCAGTATGATCCTCAGCGACCGATTGATTCCATATTCGCATGACAGTGGTTGGATGGCGGCCAGTGCGATGAGCGATATCACGGAACGATAATCCACACTCTCGATAGGCAACGATCCTACCTCTATTGAATTCCGACACTTGCTGGTAAGCATGTCTTCTTATTCGAGATATAACAGGATATTCTTAGGAAACTCTGACCTTACAAAACGCTTTCCGAATGAGAAATCCATTACACAACTTTTCTTCTATGCAGTGCTTCGGTTTCTCCCTCCCGCGTCGTCTAAATGCGCTATACCGAATTTGCATATCCCAACCTCTTCTTCTTTTCATGTGATTCTGATGTCTGTCAGATGATTCTTTCCTGGTGTTGCAATTCTAATGACCAGCAGTGTATTTAACATTGCATACTGAATGCTAAAAATGCACATTCGGCTGCTTTCGTTCAAGGAAAATCGAGATGTCTGCAGAAGTTAGTATCTGATTCAAACACTCCGCGAGAAAGTAGTTAGCAAGATGGTGAATAACGAATCATTGAATGTTGAAAAGAAAATAGCAGCTATAACGTTTTTTGAAGAAATGAAGAATTTGGTGACGACACAAAAACATTTTCAGGCACACATTAGTTCAGCATGGGGTTCCTGCAAACATACCATTCACAGACTGAGCAACTGAAAGCCATTGGATCTGTATTGATAAATAGACGCTAGCCATCAAGTGTTCACACATCTGGACATGGAACAAATTCCCTTTGGTTCTTGCCCGCACGTTGCAGATGCCGTTGATTTCCTGTTTGATATGTTTAACGTGCGTGTGATGTCACTTCTACTTCCTGAATATCACGAAATTGGAAAACAGTGTTCCCTGCATAGCCCAAATAATAATCCTTGTGAATTCATTTTATAGGGTTTTTGAAAAACAAGAAGCCCGCTTGCAAATGTTCTTGATGTGCTGTTTGAGATATTTAATGTGCGTGTAATGTCGCATCGATTTCCTGAACATCATGAAATTGGAAAACAATAGTCTCTGCACAACCCGAACATGTGAATTCATGTGTCATATAACATGTGAATTCCTTTTATAGGACCTTTGAAATATAGGTTATACGCAAAGAAGCATACAAATGTAGCAAAACTCAGCATTCTTATCATACATTCGTGCGGCCATCAGCGGCCGGGCGTAAAATCACTGAGCACTGGTAGTTTTGACTTGGGTTTGAATTCAGGCGAACAGGCTGTCTGTTCAGCGTGTTTTCGTGGTTTTGGGTAACTGGCTCGTATACAGGTCGTAAAATGTCTCTTACACACGTTACACATGGGTATCCCCATGTGTAAAGTGTATACGAGTCAGTTTGCCTCAGAACGTCCTCCGCGATGGCAACCCGATCCTTATGCAGATAGCCCTAGTTTGCTTTACTATAATAAACTAAACCATACATTTGTGCCATGCAAATTTGGAAGACGCATGTCACAGGCCTGCAACAAATGCAAAAGTTCGCTTGAAAGAGATTGTGAAACAAAATGGTGGGACAAATTCAACACATTCTTCTCTAAATTCTCTTTTCATACTCAGACATATATTTACATTCATTGTATAAAACTTCAATGACTAATAAACAAAGCAAAGGATATTACATTTCGTGCCCCACTCTGTAGTTGAAAGTGCTGATTGATTGTTTGAACACTTTGCTGCTGAATGTCCTTTACTTTGTAAGTTATATTAGTGTTTAAATAAATACGGATATTTGTAATTTGCATATTTTTTCAAAGTGTACAGGAAAGGGTGTTTCGAATAATAATCTTACCTGTTCCCGTCTGAGGAGGAGTAGCAGTGATATCAGTGACAATTACTGTAAGAGTTACTATAGCCGCCATTTCTCTGTCCAAACGACTGGCAACTTTCACTTCTCCAGTTTCAGGAATCACGTCAAAGAACGACTAGAAGAAGACAGCAGATTCTATCATTCTGTCATTCAAATAATCCACTTTTTTTTTACAGTTAAACAAAATTAAATAAAAAAACCCCACTAAAAAGTACGAAACTATAGTGGCTATGTAGTTATTATTACAAACACAAATGCAAACATAACACAAATGCATACTTAGAACATAGAGTAGAATATCTCTTAAACGGCAGCAAGATTCCAGAAATTTCAGATAAAAGTATTTTTGGATAATTGAATATTTATTTAGTTAGATCAGGCTTGTTATACTAAGAGGCAGATATATAATACAATTTTTTTCGACATTTTCCGATTGTTGGTCCCTTGCATATTTTCTAAATATCAGAGACCTAAATTTCGTGTTTAAAGTCAGACCTTTCAAAGTGCAGCTATTTTGATATTATCGGTCAACTGCGGACCGTTTAGGAGAGATTTTACTGCATTTGGATCTCGATTTTAATTAAAACTTCAGAATTTTTTATTTACCCTACCAAGCATCTGAAATGCCAGAAAATTCTCCATACTATCCGTTTCGTGGCATATTATTCTATATTTTATTCATATTTATGAATTTCAGCGCATTTTGGTAAAATCGCTCACAACTGAAACACACAAATAAAATGATTTAATTTACTAGGATTTATTTAAAATAGTAGATTTTGACCAGTTCCACATTCATAATTGCCTGCCTGTTATTATAATCTGTAAAAGAAAAAAATCTGAAAAGTTTCAGACTTTAACGGTCGCTCGAAAGGGTTCGTTAAGGTTTTTTATGCTCTCTGTGAACTCGCAGTCTATCAGCCTGCTGATTTTTAACATAACACTTGAACATAAAGTTAACATTTACATAAATAACATGAAGTTATTTACAGTGCAAGCTGTAATTGATTAAAAGATCTCATAAAACAGGGGATGTTTTTAAAACCTGCGCAATAGTCTGAAGAAAGTATTTTAATACCTCTAAAGCCCACATAATATCAGGAATCTTTTAAGATTTTATATACATCATTGCAAAGTAAACAAAAGAAAAAAAAATCTGTATAATATTTCTTTGTTTTTAGTCAAAAGGTGACATTACTCTTAAATCTGATATTAGTCGCGAAACGGTATTTTACATCGAAAAACTTTAATGCGTTATGCTACGTTTCAAATTGCTGCCACAAATATCATATTTAAATAAATTAAATTATGAAGAATCTGCATGGATGTACGTACTTTTCTAGCATTGTGATAAAACAACGGTACCTAGAGCTATGAAATTTTGAATAACGTAGTCTTCTACCCGAAAACATGGGCACCTGGAAGCACGAATTTTAAATTTTGAATTTGTTTCATTATCTATTTCATAGTTTGTAAAAATTTAACAAATTTTTGATTAAGGGGGCTCATACACCTTAAACCCCTTATGATCTTCGAACATGTGACTGCTGCAAGAATTGGGATATTTTATTTATTTTAAAAGTAATTGCTTCCACCTTTTTACAGCTGACTAAAAAATAAAGCTGCTTTCTGAAATAGTAATCAGAAAGTTTGTGTTGCCACAAATATGTTTGTAATTTAATCCACTTTGTGACAAAATGTTTCGTCTTGTTTCCAACTTCCGCCCATGATATTTTAAAAATGGCTAATGGTACATACTTGAAATTTCATGGAATTCTTTATATGGCACTATTTTCTAACTGAACCAAAAATCTGATGAATATTATAATATTAAAAAATTTTATGTACGAAAACATTACAGATTTTTTTTAAATAAAATACGTTTTATAAAAGCAACTCCAAATAAAATAAAAATGTAACACGAAATTTTAAAAATTTTTGGTTCTAAGTAGTTTTCAAATGTTATAAAAGCTATATATTAAATATGAAATTAAATTATGCAACAGAATGATTTAAACTGTGCATGCAAGGTGGAAACATGACGAAAACTTTTGTCACAAAGCGGATTAAATTATCAAAATATTTGTGGCAACACAAACTTTCTGATTGCTATTTCAGAAAGCAGCTATATTTTGTAGTCAGCTGTAAGAAGTTGAAAGTAATTGCTTTTAAAATAAATGAGTTACTCCAATTCTTGCAACAGTCACTTATTCGAAGATCTTATGAATTTTAAGTCCCCTTTAATTTAATAATTTTAATAATTTAATTTAATTTAATTTAATTTAATTTTAAGTTAACAAATTGAACTATTTCAAAGTGAGCAGTGGCAACACTGTATGGAATAAAACATATTTACTTCCAGCGCGCGAATCTGTGTATCGGAAATTTTGAAGATATGCTATTTTTAAATATTTTGTGGTTTTGCCATTGAATCGAATTTTGTGAGGTAATATTAAAGAAGCTGATATTAAATAAATAAAATAAATACACGAAACGTTAATAACCAAAAAGAGAAAGAAAACTTTTTGTAAAGCCATTAACTTAGTAAGAAAACTGAACATTGATATGATAAACTCAGAAAAGGTGGAAGAAGAGTTTAAAAAATACCAACATTTAACGTTGCATCGAGGATTCTAAACGTACACTGCTATCTGCTTTTCAAAGTTTTGTAATTTTTCAGCCTGAATTGTATACAGAGTAAGTGTGAAGAAAATGAGGCTTAATAATAAAGCTAAACACACACATAAAAAAAGGTTTATTATGAGTGAGCATAACAGCAGGCTGATAGACTGCGAGTTCACAGTGAGCGTAAAAAACCTTAACGAACCCTTTCGGGCGACCGTTAAAGTCTGAAACTTTTCAGATTTTTTTCTTTTACAGATTATAATAACAGGCAGGCAATTATGAATGTAGAACTGGTCAAAATCTACTATTTTAAATAAATCCTAGTAAATGAAATCATTTTATTTGTGTGTTTCAGTTGTGAGCGATTTTGCCAAAATGCGCTGAAATTCATGTTACTAGAGTAGGACTAAGGAATAAGATAAAAGTATCATTAAACAAGGGATATTTCATTAAACATAATATTTAACTCTTCTTAATAAAAACATATTTGATGAAAATTTATTTCTGCCTTTTATGTATGGACTGTAATTAAATGAATGTTATTTCGACGCAAATCATTCATTTGATTGAAACTTTATATGAAAAGACATTTCAGTATTACCTTAAATCCTGTGACTACAGATGGCAGCTGCCTTCCATCTTTGTCGGTAGCTGTGATTGGTTCAGAAATGGCATACACTAAAGATTCGGGGCTGCTGATATCGGGATCAGCTGCTTTCAAAGTATAGAAGACATGGCCTTCATTTTGATCTGAAATGGGAGAAGAATAACGTTATTTTCACCAAAGTTATTTTAACTAATAGCACTTAGAACATAATATGAAAGTTTGCATCCTTTTTATTCGTTATAAGCGATGATAATGTTAAAATTACTTGAAAAAATAAACGGAGCACCTTTTAATTCCGTCGTGCGCAATGAAACGGAAAGAAAAATAAGTTACCATAAATTAATTTTGCCAAGGGAATTATTCTTAGTGCAAGACAAATTTTTAAATTTCTTTACAAGTTTCTCCCCAAATTTTACAAAATTTCGTATTTTGGGATAATTTGAGTCGTAGAATCGAAATATGGAAGAAGATGCCATTTCAGAAAAAGTCCGATTTTGTGTCAATATAGTTATATTCTGTCTTGCCGGTTTCTTTGCTCCTGGTGAAGAGGGATCGGTACCTGTTTTCCTTGAAAATCGTTTGCGATCGTGACTAAATCTACGCCAAACAAAAAGTTGTTGCTTTCATAATTTTATGTCAAATACTCTATTTTACTTCATTTACAATCATAAATATATTAATATTGATAAGAACCATGTGCCCTTTTATTCATATTTTTTTAAATCAATGTGGGCTTTCATTCATGTGTGCTTTCATACATTCGCCATTTGTCCCGTGGATAATCAGCAAAGTGGTTTTTATTTGTTTTATTTGGAGGGGAAGGGCGCTTTTGTGGTGTGCGCTTTTATCCGACCACCTTTCTAATTAACTATAAAAGCGCTTTGTAAGGAAGGAGAAAATGTCTCCTTATATTTTTCTCTATTTAAAGAGCAACTGGAAGGAGAGGACATACTCGCCAGTTCTCGGTGACGAATTATTATTGTCCATCATCTTTTAGTTCGGGCTCCACTTGTAAAGTTACTTAAAATTCATTTCAAATGGGGAAAGATGAAGAATCCACAATGCTTTCCGGGACTCGAATGCCGCTGCCTCATATTATTCAATTATAAAACGAAGCCACACGGTAAGGAAGCAGGAAATTTTTTACATATTATTAAAACGCAGATGTCACATTATATTCATTCCCCAATGTTCTAAGTTAAAAAAAGCTTTGAAATATTCAAAACTTTATTATAATAATGAAAACCACGCACCCATTTTATTAAAATCAGCTTTGGTAAATACTTTGACCCAATTTCATCGTTCAAAATGCATTTTCTACTTTCAAACGGGAGTTTCAGAAATCTGAGCAATGAATTTTAAATAAAAATTCCTGTAACTTTCCTTTATTTTTTAATTTGTAATATAGATATCTATAATATATATATATAAATGAATTAAGTGAGAAAATAATAGCTACCTTCTGTAACTTGTGTACGTTGCGTGGAAGGAGTAAAATAGGGTGCCTTGTCATTACTGTTGAGGATGTTTACAATTAAGGTTGTCGTGCCAGTTTGCGTGGGACTGCCTCCATCCACAGCTATTATCTGAAATAAAAAAATAAACGTAAAAAATTTAAAAAAAAAAAAAAAAAAGACTATATGCAGTAATATAATATTTTACTTGGTACTATTCCATTTTGAAGGCCGTAAAAAAATTGCAGCGAAAATGTATGCGCAAAAGCGCCAAATCTAGCAAACGCGCCCATTTAACAGGGCGCCAAATCTAGCGTACGCGCTGATTTCAGATTGCGTAAGTTTATATAGTTCTATATTTCTTGAGACGCCATTGAAATACTAGTTTAATTTTTAAATCCTTTTTTGATTTTAAATCGTTTTTGATATCCTATGAATTTAATAATTTGAAATTGCCCATGACGAAAAGTCGGTAATAGAATTTTGGGTAAAGTGCAGAATGACCCACTGCTTGATGCGTTTTTAAGAATTGCACATACTCGGTATCCATGTACACACAGACTTATTTTCACTTAAAAAAAAAAAAAATCCCAGAATTGCACAAAATTACACTGCGCACACCCTTGACTTTATCTATGTACACATCGACCTATCGTCACTTAAAAAGTAAAAGAAAATTGACAAAAATCCAACTGTTTTTACCCTTGTAAAAAGCGGCAAACAAATAAGTGGGCGATTCTGCACTTTACCGAGAATGTTTTCAAAGAAAAGGCATCATTCATTATAGAAAATGACGTTTGAACAACCAACGAAATGAAATTATGCTTTACGATAAGTCGGTAGCGAAATAGCGATGCAGGCCTTCATTCAGTTATGTTTAGCAATTTTTATATAAATTATAATAATGAAAAAGTATTATATGAAATTAACCTTTCATCTAAATTAAAACATCAATCTTTAGATCGTTATTTACTATTATACTTCCTTTCTTGCCGCCATTATTAGGGTTGCTGCAATTATTTTTGGCAGCATTGGCATCAACAATAGTTTGGCGATTTTTTACGGCCCTCGAAACCGAATCGTATCTTTTACTTATTATAGACTACCAGTGGCGAACTATTCGAAGACGGCTGAATACCGAAAGTTCGATCCTACGCAAACGAGCTGGCTTATGTTTAGTTTTCCTGACTTTCCTCGTGTTAACGCTTTGCGTTTGACAGGTGATTCTCGGTCACTATTTCATTTATAAATCCAGATGTGAATCTGGATCACCACTCCGTTTGAAGTGATAATTCTAGCGGTGATGATCTTTGTTGAGATTTGTTTTGAGCAATATCGTTTCACGAGTGTATTCAACAATACTTGCGTATAAAACAACTGACAATATTCAATCTTAAATGAGTTTTTCAGATTTATTGTTACATATGCGTCTTCGACGTTAGTTCGAATTCGACATTTGCAAAGTTAATTTCAAAATTTTAAATATTTGACGTCATTTTTTATTTGCCTTAATGGGTAAGTTAGTAAATAAATTAAGAATAATTCGAGGCTGATTTTTTCCCCTTTAAATACAATTTAATGATATTCTTTTGTGATTGACTAGTGTGTATCATATTTTTATTTATAATTTTGTTACAACCGGTAGAATGAAAGAATTTTCACGCAAGTAATTTATAAGCTTTCAAAAGCTAAAAAAAAGTCATTATTATTCTTATGAAGATTATTGCCTTCGAAACATAATCTAATAATTGTATAAAAAATTCTTTAAACTAAAAATATTTTTCGTTTTTAATTTATGCAAATAATGTTACGAACTGTCTACGTGCCAATACCGAAGCCTGTCAGTATTTTCTAGAACGCGAATTCTATACGATTTTGTGAATAAGATCTCCATTTTGAGAAACATTATATTGATCAGTGCTTTTCATATCAATCTACATTGAAATACTCAATTTCAAAAACGCTTTCCGAAACTTATATTTTATTTTTAGCTATATGCAAATGTAACTAATCGTAATGATTTCGTTCTTGAATTCGCGTAGTAACTGTAAATATGATTTTCAAATTTAAAATGAAATATCGCGGTGAATTTTTATCGCACGGAAAACACACGTATTCTATTTTATTTTTTAAATAAGTGTAAAATTTTCTTAAATACAAATACTGAAATCAGGAAGCATAGAAAAAGTTATATTTCGTAACTTTTTACAAAATTTATTTCTTTAAATTTATAGAGTTTGACTTTTTCTAGTAGAAAACGTCCAGCAGAGTGAATTATTGCTGTAAAGTAATAACAGAGCCTTGAAAAGGTTTAAAACAACCTTTTTAATTCAAATAGAATTTGAACATAAACCCACTTCTCGTGCTTCACAGTATCGGTCACCTCTTGTGGCGATAAAGTAACAATCAAATTCAGATTTAAAACTAAGCCTAACAGTCCAAGAATACACAATAGATTTTAAGTTCTAAGTTGGCTCAGAACTTCTCACCGGCGTAACAGTTCAGCGTCGGCAGCAATCACGCAAAGCCGAAAAAGGCTAATCTTTGGAATATGGTAACAGGTAGTTTGGCGACATTTTGGTAAGGCGATAAAGGTTACTAGCTAGGACTTTAGCAGCGTACATGGATAAAGTCAAGAGTGTGCGCAGTGCCATTTTTGTGTAATTCTGTGATTTTTTTTAAGTGAAAATAGGTCGACGTGTACATGGATGATACCGTGTATGTGCAATTCTTAAAAACGCGGCAAGCAGTGGGCGATTCTGCACTTATTATAAAGGGTCTTTAACCCTTCTCAAGTTTTATTTACTGTCTTGCGAACTCGAGCGATTATCCGATTATTCGCTCATCAGTTCTTAAGATTCTTCAACTTCAACTGTAACTTAAAAGTACGTAGCACAGAATCTTACAAACTGATTAATACCTCGATATTATATTCTTTCCTTCGATCATAATCCAGTTTTGCTCCAGCTTTGACTGTAATTTCTCCAGACTTAGGATCGACATCGAAATCATTAAATGCCCCCTTTTGAATTCTGTAAGATATTTCGGCATTAACACCCGTGTCGGCATCGGTAGCAAGAACTTGTTCCACTGTTGTACCTAAAAAGAAAGATAAGTTTAATAATATGCCATCGGCTGTTCAAATGAAGCGAGCAAAAGGGAAAAAGGTTTCACGATTTTATAATGTAAATATTGTTGCGAATTTTGTATATATGTAAATAATTTTTGTGAAATTATATGCGAAACTGTAATGTTTTTTGTGAAATATAACACGAAATGATTCAGAGAGACTAAGCACTGCCGAAAAAATGAGATTAAAGGGGGAGAGTCTATTTAACATATAAATGGATATATCGCTAAATTGGCGAGGTATCTTCAAGCTGGCGAAGGTCTTGGCGACTTTTTTTTTTTTCTTTGCCAGCTTTCACGAGAAATCACCAAATGTCGCTCGACGTGGCGACCTTTTGGCGACTTTCTGGGCTGCTTTCTGTACAACTGCAATTGGTAATTGTGACTGAACAAATCTAATTGATCCCTATATGTAACTATAACCATATTCAACCCTATTTCCAGAAGTGCAAAGTGCTAGAGATTTCGAAGAGAGCATCAGTTCTCATTTGCTAATTCAGCGTGAGTTCGGAGTACTGATATATCTCCGAGTTAGCTTTCATTGTAGAGGCGCTTTTTAATGCATTATGTTTAACGTTTTTAGTAGTTTGAAGTGCAACTACTGATTGTTATCTCTGATACTGAGAAGAGCTGCACGAGTATTTTTGTGGAACGTTACAGAACTATAAAGTGTTTTTTCTGGGAAAATAAATTTTATCAAGCTATTCGGTGGATGTATTCAATCCATTACGAAATCGTACGCCCGCAGCAATATGAAGTAAACGTAACTTCTATTTTAAGTATGGCTTAAATTCATGTTTTCAGTAGGTCAGTCGTTTCGTCTTTTGTTGGTCTCCTGGATTTGTCGAATTCCTGTAAAATCATTAAATATCTTAATTCCACACGTTAGTTTTAACAAAGGCTGCCAGGGAAGTATGTTTTATGTCAAAGCATATGTAATTATTTTATTATAAACATTACACATTCAATTATACAAAGAAATAATCGTTTTCAATTACCATGCTATTCTATGTATTCTTTATATTTTACCACTATGCTATTATAAAAAATAAATAAATTCTTAATCGAAACAATGCAATATTTTTGAAGTGAATCAGAAACTTCGCTTACTCAAATGGAATTTCTTTTTTTTTTTTTTTTTCCCAGGGCGAGGGAAGACGGGCTGAATGTTAAACAAATGTTAAATATGCAGAAAATATACAGGTGGTTATCAAAATAATAGAAACACTGTAGATTTATAAACTCTTTATTAATATGGCGTATGACCCCCCTTTGACATGTAATGCAACTTGGATTCGCCTGGGAATCGATTTATACAAGTGCTAAATAGTGTACAGAAGAATATTATACAATTTTTTCATGGAGATATTTGAACGTTCCGGGACAGATGCTGGTGGGGGTTATCAACTCCGAATCGAACGCTGTAAAACAGAACATAACGGTTCCATTATATTGAGTTCGGGGGACTGTGCGGGCCAAGGTAGATGTTTCACTTCATCCTCATGTTCATGATCGGACAAGTCTCATTGCATGAATAGGAGCATTATTATTCTGGAAAATTCTCTCTCCTGCAGGATCATGGGATGGATCTAGTCAGCTAAAATTTCTCTATAATTCGTCCCAGTAATCCTTTCTTGCAGAGTTACGATTGAACCAGCAGAAAAACACAACATGGCTGCCCATACCATGACAGATCCATCTCTGGGTGAGACAATCCCCATCATACTCACGTTTGGCATTAACCATGCGGGAAAAGTGATTTCGGAATTGCTGCTGTGTCTTAGATTTTGTGTTTATGAAGGGACTTCCTAACTGTAATCATTGAAACTGGGACTGATTGAGCTGTGTAGTCACTTTGGCTGCAGTTGTTTCCTTTTTAGACAACTGCTTCAATACCCGTCAATCTCTTACTATCAGCTTCTCCTTCCGTCCACTATTTTGCTTTGCCGAACTTCTCTTATCGCGCTGTGTGTACGCTGTCCATGACTTTAGACACTGTCCATGACTTTAGACACTGTCCATGACTTTAGACCTCTAGATAGTCTATAATAGTTCGGATGTTTCAGTCACAGTTGCTCCAGCCAGTCGGGCTCCTACAATATGGCCTCTTCGAAACTCTGTGAGGTCTGACATTTTACGCTTTTGACGAAAATCCAAGACGTATACAACCAACTTCTAAAGTCTAGTCTAGTCTGCACGGTTATTGCCGAAGTGTCGCGCAGCTGCGCAACTTATCCGGCTCTTGAAAATTAAGCCCGAAGGGCGCAAGACTTTGAATTTTTCATGACAAGTTTCAAGGAGGTCAAAGGTGGCTACAGGGGGCGACCATGAGTCGCAAGGCCAAAGAGTGGCGCGCGCATCAAGAAATTTGCAAAGCAGGAGCCGTGAGGATCTGTATGATGTGTTTGCGTTGTATCATAAAAGAAGTCACAGACATAATCCAATAGATTCAATCATGATATCTGAATTAATATATATCATAACAATTAAACATAAGCATACATTATTATATAAAAACAAGTGAAAAGAACATACAAACTAAGCATACAATATAATAAATGAGAAATAAAATAAAATACACTATACACTATATACAATATATACAGGCACTGTGCATTCCCATCATGATAATTTTACGTGGGAAAATTTAAGTCCCTGGCGAGGTGGGCCGCGAGCGGTCTAAGTGCAGCATCTTCTTCAAGAATAACATAATCTAATACATTTAAATCAGTCATATGGTTGCATTCTTGTGCCTTATTGAAGAATTTATTATTTGCTTTGTGTAGATATGTTTCTACAGATTCCATTTTCAGATCATTGTGCAGGGTTTGATTCGAGACATAATAGTGAGCATTTGTTATCCTTCTAAGTACTTTATTTTGAATAATTTGTAGCGTGTTCAACTCCTTTTTCTGAACTGTTGCCCAGGCCGGAGAAGCTACCTTCTACTTTTATGATACATACTTCTATATTAATAAAAACTGGTAGCTAGGATTATATTTTATTGCTTACGAAACGCATTCTTAAATGTCACTTTTATTTACAGGTGTTCCCATTATTTTGATAGCCACCTGTATGTGAAAAAAGCATTGAACTGCCAGTTTGAAATAAATAGTTTACATAACAGAGAACTTATATAATTTCTTTACATGATTACAAAAAAAAAAAAAAAAAAAAAAAAAAAAAAAAAAAAAAAGACCAGTTTTTAAACAAACATGATGGCAGAAAACTTGAACAAGCTTTCTCCAGCTAATTGCAGAACAGTATCATCTCATAAACAAAAATAAAATTGTAGCTTAAGAAACTAAAAAAGTAAAATATCTTTTAAGATAAAGTTCATTAATTATAACTGTTCGTTAACTTCTTTTAAATTTTAAAGCTATAATTTTACTATTTACTAATAACATTCATAACGTGATTTTTGATATTCATAACATGATGAAAATTTGTTAATCAAAAGTTCATTAAATTCTCACGAAATATGGAATAAAAAAAACTTCGAATGTTAAAATTCTGACTTCAAGGTGCACGTGTTCGATGGAGGACTATTGTGTTCGAAATTATGTGGCTCTAAACGCCGTCGTTTTTCTATAATGTTAGGAACGAACAAATATACATACATACACATTCTTTCTTACTTAATGACAAAGAATACTTAGAAAGATTTGGAGTATAATAAGCAGCAATGCAATCGTGTTTCAGACTACATTTTTTAGTTTCTATATATTCCCCGTATAACGAGCACCTTAACTCTTTTTTTTTTTTTACAAAGAAAGAAATACATGTGTGATGTTCTTATCTTCTGAAGTCATTCATTAGAAGATTTTACCCAGGCTTTCGAACAATGGTATAGGAGTTAATAAAACGATACGTATGTGGAGGATATGCTTGAAGAAGTAAATAATTCTGCAAAGAGGGTGTGTTGTGTTCAATGCAATGTGCACAAGAATGTTATTCTAGGGTTTTGAGAAAAGAGAGACATTATTTGAGGTAAGAGTGTGTGTGTATTGAGAATACGGCAAAGCACACTAGGGCTATCTGCCTAAGGGGAGGGATGCCTTTCGTGGAGGACTTTCTAAGGGAAACTGGCTCGTATACACGTTACACATGGGGGAAAACCACGAAAACGCCCATGCAGCCAGCCCGTTCGCGGGATTCGAACCTCGGACCGAACTACCAGTGTTCAGCGATTTTACCGCTCGGCCGCTGGTGGGCCTATTTGAGGTAAGAATGCACTTCCAACTCCAATAAATTGGCCCTATTAGCAGCTAGATGTTTTCTCTTTCTATGGTTATCTTAAGCCGTGATATTGATGTGCACATCGAAGGTAATGAAGGAAAAAGAAGAAATAGCGCGCGAGTGGATAATAAAAGCCTGGAATGAAATTAAATTAATATAATTCAAAAGACATTAAAAATTTAGATAGCTAACAATCTAGATGGAAACAGAAGATGATTATTTACTTATGAATCAGAATAATAGTGATGGCGAAGATAAAACAGAATTTGATGACGAGCTTGAAGATATGACGACGAACGGAAGACGAATACAACGAAATTTCATGTTATAAGGAAATTTTTAAATTTATAAAGAATGTCATTTCTTATAAACAAACAGTCTTCTGTTCAACTTACTTAGTTTTAAATAAGTTCTGCTTTATCTTAGACATAGCGATAAGTTGATACGTCCGCTCGAGGATTTGCAACAAGTTACACAAGATACAACTCCGCAACGTTAAAAACAAACAAACAAATCTTACGTTACTAAAGTATTTGACTACCCCATACCTCCACGCAAATTTTAGAGTGGTTGCCCATGCTTTCAATGAAGTGATCAAACATCTCAAATGGTAATTTACGTACATGTAAAATCTAATTGTTGCATGCTCATCTTTTCCTTATTTTTAAATCTTATATCTGACATGTAACGCGAATCCGTAAATTTCGATCTTATATTTTGTATCACAATTGCGCGTTATACTTCGGAATATACGGCAAATGCATTATGCAGTCAAATTAATGATTGTTGTTAAAATATTAAAAATACGTAATGTTTCTCGTAATTGTTGGTAAGACAAAAAGTTTTAAATAAAATAAGAATAAATATTTATTTCAATACAAGTAACGAAAGAATATTTGACATAATTATCATACCCGGTGTGGAAGATTCCGGAACAATCGCAGTATAGGTGGATTTTTGAAATATAGGCTCATTGTTGTTCGCATCCTAGAAGAAATAACAGTATGAACTTTTTTTTTTTTTTTTTTTTTTTTTTTAATTTAAAATGGAAACTTCTGTTAGTACTTTTCTGTGACATTTGGAAATAAACAAGTATTTTTAGAAATGATTATTATACATAGTTACATGATCGAAATATAAATATAAAATATGTTAAATATTATAAAAATATACATTTTGTCCAAATTTTAAACATATTTTGAAGAAAATCAAACCTATACCTTAACGGTGATTTTAACTGTAGTGGTAACAACTCCATTTCCACCATCACTCGCTTGGACAGTTAGCAGAATTCTAAAAAGAAGAATATGCAAAATGTATAAGTGAATTTAGAAACGCGATATAAATTACCTTAGCTTCCAGAAATTAAGCATGCGACAATAAAATCAGTAAAAATGGAAAAGCATTATGTACAAAGATGAAATCGATGCTTAATTTTCGTAAATTATACTATAACGTCCCATTTGGATGAGTGTTCTGCTTGTTGAAGGCCACATTACTAGTTGTTATTCAATGATAAGCGCTCCTGTCCACAGCTTTGTTTTTATTCTTATCGATAATGCTGACACGCCAGTGTAGGCTTAAGAGCTAACTTCCGCGTTTAAATATCTGTGCGTAGCCTTTGCCAAGTAGTTACTTAGGTTAAGTTCACGCCATAAATACTTGTTGATTTGTGAGTTCCAGGTATGTCTTCTGTTCAACTTACATAGTTTTAAATAAGTTCTGTTTTATCTTAGACCTAGCGATAAGTTGATACGTCCGCTCGAGGATTTGCAACAAGTTACACAAGATACAACTCCACAACGTTAAAAACAAACAAACAAATCTTATGTTACTAAAGTATTTGACCACCCCATACCTCCAGACAAATTTTACAGTGGTTGCCCATGCTTTCAATGAAGTGATCAACCATCTCAAATGGTAATTTAGCCAGGGCAGTTTCCAAATGCATGAAGGAAGTAAACGTGTAGAGACAGCACACCCACGGGCATCCCAGAGATTTTCAATGGGATTCAGGTCGGGGGAAATGAGGAGACCAGTCTACACGAGAAATGCCTACTCTCTCCAGGTACTCATTGACGATATTAAATGAAGAAACGAAGACCAACTGCTGCTGTGTAGAATCTCTAAATGAGAATAAAAATACACGAATTTTACCATCGCCAAGAGGCAAGAGTTGTACCTGTCTTTGGCTTAAGCATTGGACACAACGAACTGACATCCGCTGTTGTTACTGCTGTGACTTCTCTCGCTTGTCTGACAGAAATATCAGATCAAGTCAATGAATTTTACTGTGGACCAAAGAAAGAAGGATTGTGTCTGTTGTTGGCTTAGATGTTGTACGCACTACGGTATGAATTTGTCAACTCCGTCGCAGTTTCAGTTCTCCCATGCCGCAAAAACAAATATCCAAGCCTTTTCCGATGTTTGAATTGGGTTCAAAGGCTATGACAGCCGGGGCTTTTGGCATGATGCCAATAAGGCAGCAATTAAATGCTTTATTGGTACTAAAATAGTATCCAATAAATTATGAAAATTTTAAAGTGTCTTCTGATTAGGAAATAAGGATACATCATGCCAACAAGAAGGCAATTAAATGCTTTATTATTACTAAAATAGTAATTTCTAACAGATTATGAAATTTTTAAAGAATCTTCTGATTGGGAAATAATGAAATACCAAATGAAACTGACTCTAAGGGAACATACAGTAGGAGCAGATTTTATGTAGTAAAAACAATTTCAGAGATTCCATAGTACCGGTTTCTTCAAAAATAAAATCTATGCTATATTATCATTGGTTTTCTTAAGAAGTTATCACATACAGTGATGATAAAAGGAACTTTCCGAGAAGCGCTTTTCTTCCAGCATTAGTTTGAATGAGAGTGTTCCTAACCGAAAACGTTACGCTCAGCTGTATGTTTCGTGTATGTAGCCGGGACATACGAGGCTCAGAAAAATATTTTATCTGCACTGCACCTCTGTTTCGCAAAGGAGAGGAAGAAGAGAATATATTTCTGGCAAGACTTCGCATAGACCAACCAACTAGATTTTCTGGAAATGAAGATTCCCGGAAATATTTCTTCCCACGCGCCCAAAAGCTGATAGTTGTTTTAAGGCCACATCTGCTGACCACCCAGCATTTTTATCGCTTAATTTTCATTATTAATTTACATAAAAAAATTCTAAATAAAGCAAGTTTTTGAAAACACAGAGTTTTATGGCAAATTACATAATCAAGTTAAACATAAAGAAAGCTTTAAAAAATAGCTTCAACGTTACACGATTCTTTAAACAGATATTATTAAGCTAGAAACATTTATGCATAAAAAAAAAATAATGCAATACAGAATATGCCAAACTGATACACCAGTTAATTACTTACAAATCTGTTTTGAGAGCAGAAACATCCAAGCCATTCCTTTGAGTAACAGATATCTCCCCTGACCTGCCGTCGATGGCAAAGATGTTGTGACTGTTGCCAGCAATGATAGAATAAGTAACAACAGACGTTGAATCAGCGTCCACAGCCTGCAATGTTAATTTGAAAAAAAAAAAAAAAAAAAAAAAAAAAAATCACGTGTTATAACCTCTTTATGGTTAGATCATAAATTTACCTCGAACAATATTACATTATTAATTACCTGTACGCGGAGAGGTGTATCGAATTTCAATGCTCCTTCGTCTATACTGGCAGAATAGGATTCGTGAAGGAAATTTGGGGCATTGTCATTGGCATCCGAGAGAGCAATTGTCAGAGGAACGACAGTCGCCAGACCTTTTCCCATTTCATCTACAGCCTGATAAGATAGGTAGTAAGTTGGTCTCGTCTCAAAATCCAGACAGTTACCGGAGCCTGGAGTCTGACAGGGAGCAACGGTGATTACGCCTGATGTTTCGCCCACTTGGAACCTTCGAAAAGAATATTTTACTGATCACTCTGCGAAGTGCAGAATGAATATGCGTACACGTAAGACTAAAACATATGTAAAGCAATATTCTAACTTTAATTTGCAATAGTCATTCAATTGTCTATTTTAATTTGAGCATTTCTTTGTTCTGTTTTAAAAATAGTTATTGATTATAATAAATTGCATCATTTCAAAAATGAAGGCATGTCATATGATCCTTACGTGATGCTAGCGATGGAGTCACTTATGTAAGTCTATATAGATAACAATGATTTAAATTTGGAAACCGAAACTTATTATTAACCAATATGGATTAGATGTGAACTGAAACCAACTGCGAGAATAAAAAAAAAATTAAAATCGGCCATGATTGCAACCACTTCTTTATGAACCAGTGGATGTCTTCAGCTCCACTGATACAGGGCATTTATGACCCACTGTTTACATAATACAATAGAGATATTAAAGTGAGATAAATGCAAAAAGGTAACTGTAGCAAATAACATGTACATTTACAATCAGAAACTAATCAAAGTAAAAATGGGAAACTCCCAACACTGATGAGAGATCGTTCTGCAAAACTTAGGAGTTTCTGAAGTCACATAACACTCGGACAGAAGAGCGTGTTACCGTTCGAAAATAAAAATTGTCATTGGTGGGGAAGAATCGATTAATTATACGGATTTGAAGTTCCTCTTTTAAGAATTCATTACAATCTCCTTCGTCTAAAATATGTGAGTACCATGTTTTGCTTTCATTTACTGCATGCCAGTCAAAGCCGGCGCTAAACAATTTGCCCCTACCGTAATATCAGTGAGTCACAGCACAATTCTGTTGCGGAATTGTGCGTTATGCCCCTAAATTTTAAAAATTTCACTGCCACTAAATTTTGCTGTTTAGAGCCACTTCTGAGTTTTACAAAATTTGCCATCCCTAAATTTTGCTATTCGATGCATCTCTAAATTCTATAAATTTTGCCGCCCCGTGCGACCACAACAATTGCACCAGCTCATGCGCTACCTCTTCTCTTGAAGATGGGAGAGAGGTGGGAAGATGCCCAGTCAGAAGGAAACCATCCATGAAAACAACCCACTCCACCATCAATGTTTTTGAATGCAAATAAGGGGACAGATCTATGTTTGGAGAAACATTACGATGAAACCAATCAGAAATCGTAAAAGGCAGTCTTAAAAGTAGTTTTGAAGCAAAAGTGAAAAACAGGGGCAGGGGGTATCTGAACCGTTTCAGATTTTAACGGTGGCTCAAAAGGTTTGTTAAGATTTTTTCGCTGTCGCTGAGTTTGCGGTCTGTCAGCTGCTTTTGCACTCACACCTGCTAACTCTTTTTTTTTTAGATCTATTATTAAGCACCATTTTCTTCGCACTTACAAAATATACAGTTCAACAGCAAAATCACAAAAGATTTAAAAACAAGCACATCTTTAAAATTTTCAATAGGTAGTCTCACGCGCTGTAGATAAAAATGTTTTTAAGTCCAAAAGGGCTTTGTGTCTGAAGGACTATTGTTTCGTTTTGCGATTTTGCGTTGGTTCACTATAAATGTCCGTTTCACTTTTCAAACTGCTGCCACCAAATGTTACAGCCCTGCATTATATTTGAAGAAATTAAATAATAAAAAATCTGCATAAATGTATGCATTTTCTCGCATTGTGATAAAACAACGGTACATAGAGCCATCGAATTTTCAATGACGTTATCTTCCTACGAATATGGGCATGTGGAAGGCCCAAATTTGAAATTTGGAAATTTGTTTTATGATCGATTTGCATATTTTGTGAAACATTCAATGAATTTTTCGATTAACAAACTCAAAGGATTTCAAACCGAGCAATGGCAACACGTCTACGGGGGGGGGAAAAACATTTTTTATCTCCAGCGACGTGAGTCTCTGTATCGGAAATTCTAAAGATGTGCTCTTTTTAAAACTATTTTGAGATACTGCTGTTTAACTGAATTTTATGGTTTAAATGCGAAGAACGTGATATTTAATAAATAAATGTAACGCACAAAATGTTAAAAAAAACGCAAACGCCCCTTTGGACGTAATTTAAAATCTGAAAACTTTCAGATTCCCCCCCCTCGCCTTAGAGTGTTGCCACTGTTCTCTCTGAAATCTTTGCCAAAAATTTGTTAAAGTTTTACAAAATAAGAAATAGATAATAAAACAAACTCGAAATACAAAATTCGGGCTTCCAGATGCCCATGTTCGGATGAAGGACTAAGTTGTTCATAACTGGATGACTCTAGGTACCGTTGTTTTTTCACAGTGCGGGAAATATACTACATACATTCCTGTAGATTCTTCATTATTTAGTTCCTTTAATATAATATAGGGCGATAACATTTGGTGGCAACATTTTGGAAAGTGATACAAGAATGAATGAATGTATAATGTCTGTAATTCAAAAGTATATAAGAAAAAGAATGTTGTGAAAATAAACTGTTAAAATCCAAATTTTACATATAACTGAATGCATTTAAAAATTAAGATAAACACTGAGACAGATAATGTTTCCTTCTTCTGCACTTGATAGCCTAGTAACAACATTGAATTATTTAATTTCATGCTTGTTATAATGTTAAGAGTATGGATATTCAGTAACATACTTTTCGGCTCCATTTCCAAAAATAGAATACACAATTCCTGCTTCACCAAATAATTTTGTATCCCTGTCGGTGGCCTGTAATAAAAAAAGAAAAAAATAAATGAAAAATTAAATTTTTTTAAAGAGTTTCATCTTTTTTGTTATTAAATTGCGTCAGTTAAAAATTACGTTTTTTGGAAGAAAGCTTTTAAACATAATAGATTTTTCATCACAAAGTCAAAATTAACTAATTTTTAAGATCCTAATTAGCTTGAATTTTATAAAAATTAATTACTTTTAGCGATTATAGAAAATACATTTCCAGAAAACTTAATTGTTTAATACAAATACAGTAAGACCCCGCTTAACGCGAGGGATACGTTCCATCAAAGTACAGCGTAATGCGAAACAGCGCTAAACGAGGCTATCTTTACATGTAAATATTGGGGTTAGGGGAAGATGGCTAGAAAATTGGTTAGGTATTAAATTTAAAAAGTATGTTTTTTTAATAAAAATAAAACCAAACATTTATTTCTTAAAGCCCAAATTAATACCACATTATTATTTCTTGCAAAAATAAAAACAAAATATAAATAACAAAACGAATATTCTTAAAAAAAACAACAAATAAAATTCTAAGTCAGTCATATTTAGTTAGCCTTCCGCGTTTTTCCGGTGTTCTGTTTTTTGTGACAAAAGCATCTATAATGTTGTTTGCCTTTTTCTTTTGCGTTGTTCTCTTAAAAGTTCTTCTTCATAAACGGATAGAGCATCTCTAACACCACGCCTTACTTTTGAGCTCCTGTCAAAATTCGGATCATTTTCAATGAATTGATCCATTATTCTCAGTTATGGTAGACAAACTCCTTTTACAAACGCCATCGAAAGTTCTTTTTGCTCTTCTTCTGAATCACTGCTGTGAACATTTTTGTTTTCTCTCTGTTCAGTTAATTCCTTTGAGCTCATCATTAGAAAGACTAGCCTCTGCTTCTTGAATGATTTCTTCGACATCTTCCACATTTACCCCTTCAAAATATGTCTGTACAATACCGCACCAAACAAGAAATACAAGTACACTCTTTCGGATATGTATTTGAAACCTATGGCTACATAATATTTCGGGGAATCCCCGTATGCTGCGAGCGATTTCGTGGAATCCCCGGGTTGAAATAAAAGAGCGCTAAACCGAAACAGCGCTAAACGAAACAGCGTTAAGCGGGGTCTTACTGTACCCTTAATTCATTGCATATATGCATACACCGTATCCAGAAGAGCTCTTACCCTTTTTTGTTTTCACAACCGTTGATCTTAGGTATAAAATTTCAGTCTAAAATGCTTTAAATGATGCTAATATTTGTGGTTCCGCATTATTGATTAAAAAAAAATTAATTAAAAAAATGCAATTTTAAAAATTACGAAACCTAACTTTTCATATGTTTCCTTGGTTTGAATACTCATAAGATATATTCTCTCTCCTTTCTGCATGCCTTCGTGATGTAACGGTAGCACATTCGATGTGTATTCGAGAGGTCAGGTTCGAGTCCCGGCGAGGGAATTGCATATTTTTTCATATCTCCTGCTTAAAATAACTTAATGACTCTACAGTGGCACCCGAACTAAAAGGGGAGTACATAACGTATTTTCTCATTCCTTTCTGTTTGCCTTCGTGGTGTAACGACAGCACAGTCGAAGCATATTTAAGAGGTCCAGGTTCGAATCCCGGCAAGGGCATTGCATATTTTTATGTCTCCTGCTTCAAAATAACCTAATGTCGCTACATATTCATTATAAAAATAAAAACAAAAAGGTTTGATTTCTTAAGACCAAAGAAAAAAATATTTAATTTCGAAATTTTGGACATTTGAAGTCATTTTCAAATTTTCTTGAAGGGTCGATTAATAAATAAATTAAAATAATTCGAGATTGATTTTCTCTTTAAATGTAATTTAATGATATTTTGACTTTTACTTTTTTATGATTTTGTTATATTCCATATGCTAAAAGCATTTTGACAAGTTTTCAAGTGCTAGCGTTATTAGTGCTTTCATGCAGTTTTATTACTTTAGAATCATAATAAAGTAATCATGAAAAAAATAATTGAATTAGAAACATATTTATTTTTAATTTAGGCAGATAATGTTATCACAATAATTAATATAGATGCTTAATTTTTAAAATTTGGGATTTTGACTTCATTCCCAGCTTGTTTTGTGGGGTCGGTTAATAAATAAATTTAAATAATTCGAGGTTCATTTTTCTTCTTAGATGTCATTCAATTATATTTTTGCAATATATTAAGTTATAATGGACTAGATATAAACTAAGTAATAATGTACTAGTGTGTAAATATAGTAATAATGGATATAAACTACAGTAATAATGTACTAGTGTGTAACATTCTCTAGTTTATAATTTTGTCATACCTGGTAAACCAAAAACTGTTTGACACAAATAATGTATAAAAGTTTATTTATTCATATTCACATGAAGTTTTTCAGCTTAAATTTGTGAAATAATGTAACGCTTTATCTACGTGCCAATACTAAAGCTAGCCAGTGTCTTTTAGAAAACGAAATCTCTAAAACTACGAATAAAATTTCCCTTTTTTGGGGGGAAAAACATGTTCAGTACATTCAATAACATTCTACATAGAATTAATCTATTAACATTGGAAATCTTTCTTTAAATTAATATTCTATTTTTATTATGTGCAAATGGAAATTTTCGCTTTTAAATTTATGTACAAAACCTAAATCTTTGCCATTCGAGGGTTATATTTTTGTAGCCTTTTTTTCTATAATACATATAAAAAGTTATATTTCTTTATTTTTATAAAACTGATTTTAAACTTTAAAAATGCCAGAACATGAATATTTGTGGCGTTTAAAACACTTTTGTAATTAGGGGAATATATATGTGTGTGTGTGTGCAAATACAAAATTAAGGTAAAATTATGTAAATCAAAATTATAATTTAAATTAGCAGTAGACCCTTAATTCATGAATTTTAAATTGGATATTTCCTCTCTGTTTCTAAAAATAGAAATAACTTTTCCTGGAATGCGTCAATTCTAGATCAATCCATATCATATTACTTATCCATACCATATGGTATAACGCTTATGACGTAGCTGATTCAAAACTTTTGAAAACTTTCTCTTAATAAGCTGCAATACTAGTATAGCTGCGCACTTTTGCTTCTACCTCTGTTCTCGTTAAGACGTTGCTTCGCTGCTCTCTTCCTCTCGAAACAGTATCAAAACCGTAAATGTTCTTGAATAGACATGATTAGAGTGCCAAGTGAAGTCTGGCCGCTTTTCAATGTGGATCAACATTTCTATTTGCTTTCTAACACATACACGCGCATATTTCTATATTTATCTATCTATCTCAATATGTGTGTGTGTGTATGTGCGTGCGTCTCTGAAAAACGGCTGCGTAAATAATATAAATTTAAAATAACATCGTATCTTATTTTTAGCATGTAAAATGACAAAAAAAAGATTTTGCAGAATGCAGAATGTTTATACAAATATAAAAATGCAATACTTGTTTTATAGACTAGGGCTTCTTATCTAAAAATATCTTAAAGATTAAATTATTTGATTTAACTTACAGTTATTGTATCAACCACGGTCCCTGCAGGAGCATTTTCAATTACGGTGGCTTTATATTCTGGCTTTTCGAATCGAGGCACATTATCATTTGTGTCTACGATATTCACTGTAACTGTACCGGTTCCAGACAGCTGAGGATTTGTGAACGCTTCTTTTGCTACAACCTGAAAGAAGTCATCATTGCTATTATACAACTCAAAAGCAAATATTGGTTTAAATATCTTAATTCTCTTTTATAAGAAGTATTGAACAGGTATATTTTTAAAGAGTTATCTCGTCCTCAGCTAGTTTAAATAAATAATTAAAGTTATCATGATTAAATCATGTTGCCTACAACAAAGAAAGGAAAGGGAAAAAATATTAAGAAACAAAAGGAAGACTGTTATAGATGAGGTTACTGTCTATGACAAATTAAACAAATTTCTAGGAAGGTGCAAGATATATATATATATATATAAAGGTAAAAATTATCATGATTAAACCATGTTGCCTACAACAGCTTCTTCTACAACAAAGAAAGGAAAAGAAAAAATATTAAGAAACAAAAGGAAGACTGTTATAGATGAGGTTACTATCTATGACAAATTAAACAAATTTCTAGGAATGTGCAAGATATATATAAAAAGTTAAAAGTTATCATGATTAAAGCGTGTTGCCTACAACAGCTTCTTCTGCAACAGAGAAAGGAAAGGAAAAAATATTAAGAAACAAAAGGAAGACTGTTATAGACGAGGTTACTGTCTATGACAAGTTAAACAAATTTCTAGGAAGGTGCAAGATATATATAAAAAGCTAAAAGTTATCATGATTAAATCGTGTTGCCTACAACAGCTTCTTCTGCAACAAAGAAAGGAAAGGAAAAAATATTAAGAAACAAAAGGAAGATTGTTTTGAATGAGGTTACTGTCTATGACAAAATAAACAAATTTCTAGGAAGGTGAAAGATATATATATATATAAAAATAATAACTTTTCAAAAGATGATAAAAATTTAAAATTAGATAAAATTAAACAATACACTGACGTTGGTTTTACAAAAATATCAATAATCAACGTAAAATTAACGTGTTTTAAAGACTAAGGTTTGCTTTATTCAAAACTTCAAACCGTTGAATTTTTCTTTAACATATTTGCATGTAATTTTAAAGCTTTATAAGATATATTTTTTTTTTTTAAATTTGAACACATACAGTCTCCTCGTGCGCCAAAAATGTACTGCACGGGACTTACAAAAGTATATTAACTAAAACATTAGATATCACACGATTAAATAAAACGAACAAAAACACAGAGAACAGCAGTCTAGATTTCCCCAAAACTGATAAGTTCACTGTCCAAGTAGCGCCAAACGTTTTCAAATCGTTCTGCAAGCATCAGCGTCATCGAGGTAGTGCAGGAAAAATTTAAATGCTCCACGTCTTGAGATACGTTTTTTTAACATTCACATGAATTATTTGATCTTAGATTGAAAGGAAACAGGTAACTTGCAAAATGTACGGTGACCAAAAAAAAAAAAAAAAAAGGTGAGGTATTTTAAAATTCATAAAGACTACGAATGCAGTATATGGTAAATAGAAGGAAAGTATTTGCTGCCCTGCATTATAAAATCATATATATTCCTCATTCCACTTAGATAAAAGCTCCTTTTATAATAAAAGGACAATAACTCTTTGGAATGCTAATTTTGATATAGATGGGTAAATTTGAAGTATCTGTAGCTAAGAAATCAGCTCCTTCATTTCCATAAAATCCATGACCACGTACATAAGCAAAACGAACATCAATTTCCCTGTTTCTAAGCGAACTGCCAACTAACAGAGTTTCGATTACTAATTTGTAGCTGATGGTAACATTGTTAAAAAGGTGAAACGGATGAAAAAAATTAGAATATATAAGGTACTTGACGATGCTGCCCCATCATCGTTCATCCGCTTGACGACAAGTTAAATACAGAGCAGTTCTGCATGAAAAGTTGCGAACTGTTTAACTTGGCGCTAAAATTTGGGGTTCCAGATGCCCATATTAGGTTGGAGGTCTACGTTATTCAAAATTGGATGGCTCTAGGTACCGCTTTTCGTAGTGCGACGAACATACATACATTCATCATTATTTAATTTCTTTAAATATAATACAGGGTGATAATATTTGGTGGCAACAATCTGAAAAGTGATACAACGCATTTAATTATTTCGACTCAAAATGCCGTTTCAAGACTAATACCCCATTTGGGACTAACATCCTTTTTAGGCTAATAATTAAGATGATTTCGAGGAAACTTAACGCAACTATATTATAGAGAGTTTTCCTATAAAGATTTGGCGTGAATGCTTTCTAAAATTTAAACTAATTTTTACTGTCGATAATTGGAGAATATTGCTGTAGTTTTCACGAAATGAAATTGATATTGGCGCGGCTATCTACAAATTCTGTAATAAATCTAAATCTAATGAGATAGACTGATGCATCTAATTCTACATCTAATCTTTCAATAGTAAATCTGTTTCAACCAAATACTTTTATTTAGTTTTAAGCCGAACGCATTAGAAAATAAAACAAACAATAATCTAATCAAGTAATTTAATTTATAACATTTCAAGCATATATTTAAAACACAGATCTAAAGAATGTTCTTTTTCTGTTGTTGCCATTTATTATTTATCTAAATCGAATGCTCTGTTACAATTTATTGCGCTGCCACTGATTAGCAGTAAAATGTGTCTATTCAGATCGGAATAGATACTAAAGTAATCTGATAATCCTCAATGACGTTATAACAGCTTGTGATGATTTATCTATTTATTTTTGATAAATAGTTAATTTAGAGTTAAGTAACTTTTCTGTCGCTCTCCTTTTGACCCACGCTTTTCATGCCAGCATGTAAATGAGATAGCGAGCGTTTATTCAGAGTGAGGGAGAAAAAAGTGCTATTTAAGGGAATGTTTCGCAAGTTGATTTTATAGCCTTTTCTGCCTACTTGAGGCCATGTTATTACTTTGACTAAATAGCGATTTAATTCTGTGACGTTGAGTGCTTCTAACCATTAGGCTTGCCTCACCGGTTTTCTACAAACCAGAGCCTTCGCCTTCCTGCGCGTTGGTTTATCCTGTGAGCCGTTAGGATAATCTAACGATATTCTCAACATTTTGGCTTGTGTAAACCCAAGTTGGGTCATTGTCACATCTTTGTATTCAAATAAAAGGGCTGTTTACACTCTTCTTATGACTTTGTTTGTCTACAGTTTAAGATAACAGGATTATCCTTCTATAATTTTCCTATAGTTCATGATTTTATGCTATCAAAGAGAGTGAGACTCTATAAGCTATTTAAAATATATTAAGCTAAAATTTTGTATAATTAAGCAAGAGAAACGTAGTTAAAATATTACAACTTACCAATAGAATAAATTTTCTTTGGTTGGGATTTTCATAATCGAGTGGTCCATTCGCAACACGGATGCTCACCGATGTAGATCCAGTTGCCAAATTAGGTTCTACGCTGAAGATTCCCGAGTCATCAAGGAGTTCTATGTTGAAAACGGAATTTGAGCCCTGAAACCCAATGAAAAAAGATGAGTCAAGGGAGGAATTAAGTACATTAGCATAATGTCTAAAGATCAATCTGATTATCATATAGTCTTGTGTAAAATATTATAATTTTCCCCCCTTTATCGTCATCTGCATGTCATTTCAGCAAATAATCTTTTAATGACTTAATTTTTTTTTACATCTTATTTAAAAAATAGAAATGTGGTTCGCATTTAAATAAGGTACATGCATTTTTTTTTTCTTTTAGAAAACCTAATTTTTATTTTAACAGTTGACAATATTTCGTTATTTCATTGGTATAATAAATTTAATATTTTGATTTGATTGGTTTTATTTATTCATTTCGATTTCTTGTTGTTGCTTTAAGATTTGTACGAGGGCAGTCAAAAAGTTCCCGGAATACCGTTTGTAACTCTTCATTACCCACAATACAGGTACACATCTATTAAATCGCCTTCAAAGTAGGCTCCTTCAGATCACACACTTGCTCCGCCGCTCCTGCCATTGCTGGACACAACGATGAAACTCCTGTTGTGGTACTTTCCGAAGTTGAGGCAGTCGCGTTGGCTTTGACGGCTTCTATGGTGTCAAAACGGTTACCTTAGAGGTTCAATTTGATATTGGGGGAAGAGGCAGAAATATGATGGCTAAATCCGATGAATAGGAAAGCTTATGGAGTAGTGGAAGCTCTTATGCGAGCCATGTCTGCCCAATAATCGATGTGTGGGAGAGAGCATTATCGTGATTCAGTGACCATCCTCCTTGCCATTTGGCGGGACGTTTTCCTCGGATTACCTTCCTCAGTCTTTTCAAAACTTGTGCTTAAAAAGGGCCGTTCACAGTTTGTCCAGCTGGTACAAATTCATGCTGCACAACATCTTCGTTGTCGCAAAACGCAATGAGCATCACTGTTGTTTTGGAGCATATTGTGTGCCATTCTGATGACTGCATCCTTGTCTCCGGGTCGGTAAGCGTACATCCAGATGTCGTTATCAGTAACAATTGTCGCAAGAGACATCGGGTCCTCTGTTTTTTTTTTTTTTTTTTTTTTTTTTTTTTTTCAAAACATTCGGCCGCAATCAACTGCCGTCTCCATTTGATCTGGGTTCAGTTGCCACGGGACAGGCTTTGTACTGACATGTTTCGTCTTCAGGATTGCGTGAATGGATTCATGAGAGATTTCCACTTCATCTGCCAACTCGTCGATGGTCATTCTTCGGTCTGACATGATTAACTGTTTCACTTCTCCGACCATTCCTTCGTTCCTGGAGGATGACGGTCTCCGACTGCGGCTGTTGCCTGTCAACGATTCTTGTCCACACCGAAGTCTTGAAAACCACTCGTAAATGGCTGTTTTCTTTAAATAATCGCCACCTTATACTGCTTGTAAGACTAGCAATGTATCTGAAGCAGATTTCCCCAATCTATACATAAACTCGATGTTCGCCCTTTGCTCGCAATTCGACATCGCGCCAACTGATCACTACACACGCCTACCTTCAGCTACACTACCTGTTATGAATTCCGGTAATAAATAAATATAGTGGTGCAAAAAAAAATTAAATTATTTGTAGTGATAAAAAGTTAAAATGAAAATTCCAGGAACTTTTTGATTGACCGTCGTATATCTGTTTTAATCTTTAGATTACTTATATTCAATAGAATTATCTTCAAACCACAGTAAGACACCGCTTAACGCGGGGTATACGTTCCATCAAAGTAGAGCGTAATATGAAACAGCGTTAAATGAGGTTATCTCATCATGTAAATAATGGGGTTAGGGGAAAATGGGTAGAAAATTGGTCAGGTATTTTACCATTAAATTTATTAATTATGTTTTTATAACAATAAAACAAAAATTTATTTCTTACAAATATAGAAACATAATAAACGAATATACATATGAAAATAAATAAAATTATAAGTCAGTATGTTTACATTTCAGATCATTCAGTCTCTTCTGTATTTCCAATTTTCTGCCTTTTTATCAAGAAGGTATCTAATGTAATTTGCGTTTTCCTTTTGTGCTCTGTAAGAAATTGTTGATAAGTGGATAAGGCATCCATAACACTCCGTCTTGTCTTTGAACTCTTGGTCAAAATTTGGGTCATTTTTAATAAGTTGGTCCATAATTTCTGTTAATAGTGGTCAAATTGGTATATAGAAACGCTGTTGAAAGTTCGTTTTGCTCTTCTTCAAAATCACTACTTTCGTTCACTATTAGCAATGTTAGTTTTGGCATTCTTTTCCAAAATAGGCTGTTTCATCAGCATTAAAAACCAATTCTGGAGGATAGTTTCCTCGTTCAATTATTGTTTTTAATGTAGCTGAGAATTCAGCCGCCGCTTTCGTATCACCATTTGCTGCTTTTCTAATCTGTATGTTATGAAGATTATTTCGATGTTTAAATCTATTAAACCATTCTCGACTTGCAACGAAAGTTTCACTTGAGTCACTTGCTTCAACCTGAGTGTAATTAAGAATTCTTCTTCCTTTTTCCATTATAATAGATTGGCTTAACGGCATATTGCGTTCAATTTCGTCGTCAATCCATATCGAAAGTCGTTTTTCCATTTCCTCTATTGTATTATTTGTAGAACGGGTAATTCTCGTGCAGAGCTTGTCGTAGTTGCCGATGACAGTATTTTTTTATTTATTCTTAAGGATAGTCCTTATTGTTGAAGTTGTCAAATTCAATGCAGCACCAGTTTGAGATTGACGTTCACCAGTATCTAATCTTCTAATCACTTGCATTTTAGTTTCTAGTGAATGCTTTTTCTTGTTTCTTTATTTTCGTGTTTTTTATTATCACCCATAATAAAAACTAAAAATCATAATATTTGTGACTATATCAATCGTTATATTATATAAATTTATACTTACAATAACGTCCACAAATGTTTGAAACGATAAAAATACGTTCGTCGCAGAAAAGAAGAAACACAGATAAACTGCTTCGGATATCGGAAACCTAACGCTGCGTGCAATTTCGCAGAATCCCACAATTCAAATAAAAGAGCGTTAAACCGAAACAGCGTTAAGCGGGGTTTTACTGTACTAATTTTCTATAGAATTATCTTTAGATCACTTATTTTCTGCCTATACCAGCCTCTATAAAAATTTTTCGTAAGGGTTATTCTTCTTGAATACTGCACTGCGTGTCGGAATCAAGTAAACGGGATTTCAATGTAAGGGTAACTAAGAACCTACAATTCTAAGTTAAGTGTCATGTACTTCAGATTTTAGGAGCAAAATAATTTCAGAATTTAGAATGTTATAAAATTCTTTAGAGAAAAAGTTACGCTTTGTAATCATTTTTTCGTGACCTTAATAATTCCCTTAAAACACTTTCAATGATTTTAAAACCATTTAATTCTTTCCATTTAACTTCAGTTATCTACACTGGTGTGCAAAAATTAAGGACAAAGTCGAAAAATTAGCATATCAGCTGAACGAAGAGGCAGAGCGGACAGAAAGACCAGTCAGGAGATTAAGTAAGGTGATGTACGGTAGCACATGCGCAGATATGCAGGTAGACGTAATGGGGGAGTGTCTGAGTAGTATAAAGCATTGTTGTCGGTGTAAGATCAGTATTTTTGGCAAAGAGATTGCACGCCGTATAGCAGTTAAAATCACACCGAGTTGCTGCCTCAGCGAGAAAATGGCGAATAATCAATCTGTTAGACGACATCTGGATGCTTTTTTTTAAACCCGAGGTCCGAATCATTGGAAGTTGGAGGAAGGCCGCAGTGTGACAAGTGTGGCTGCAGAGTTCGGAATTGCTCACAGCATCGTTTTTCACGACTTTGGAGACAATTTCAAACTACAGGAACAGCTATTCGGGGGTTTAGTAGTGGTCGTCCACGAGGAATCACACCCGCAGATGACCGGTATATTGGCCTTACAGGCCAGAAGAAACAGGCGGCAGACAGCGGGAGAAATCGCTTAGACACACGACACAGGCGACTGGACGACCGATATCGCGTTTTAAACCGTGGCCAGAAGACTGCACGGGTGGTGGTCTGTTTGCACGACGCCCTGTACGGTGTGTACCTATAACGCCTGCCCATCGGAGAAGGCGTTCTCTTGTGGTGCCGAGAACACCGGAATTGGAGAGACAATGAATGGGGACGAGTACTCTTTACAGATGAGAGCAGATTCAGTCTGAGTAGCGATTCTCATCGCATACTCATCTGGAGAGAGCGGGGAAGCCGCAATCATCATCCCTCGAACATCATTGAAAAGGGACAGGTATGGAGCTGGCGGTGTTCTCGTTTTGGGGAAGCATCATGTTTGGTAGTCGTAGAGACCTTCACATCTTCGACGCAGGTTCAGTCATCGGGACCCGTTATTGTAACGAGATTCTTCTTTCATATGTGCGTCTTTTTAGAGGCACTATGGGTCCGCAGTTCCTTTTCATGGACGACAATGCACCGTGTCATCGCACAGTAGCTGCCGAACAGCTCTTAGAAAAGTGAGGATATTGAACGTATGGATTGGCCGGCACGATCTCCGGATCTCAATCCCATCGAGCACGTATGGGATTTTCTAGGCAGACGCTTGGCAGCTCGTACCTTACCACCAGTAACGATTCCGGAGCTTCGATTGGCGCTGCAAGACGAATGGGCAGCAATGCCTCAACAACTCATTGACACCCTCTTTCTCAGCATGGGCAGACGCTGTGAAACATGCCTAGCAGTCAGGGGAGATCATATCCCCTATTAAAAACCGGATGTTTCTTGCTGGACACCCATCACAGGGATGTTTCGGCCTTCAGTCGCATTGCGCTCCATGCTACTTTTTCAATAAAGCTTCTTTTTATCTCTTTGATTTCTCTTTTAGTAAGTGTTGCTTACATTACTCATGTCCTTACGTATTGGGGATCTTACGGTATTAAATGTGTTGATTTGGAAAGCTTTTGTACAAAGTTATATTGAAAAACCGTCTCGTCCTTAATTTTTGCAGACCAGTGTATAAGTTGGTATACGGCATAGAAAAACTTTATTCATAAAATGCTGTTAAAACAATTTTATAAATAAAAGCTAATAATAAAGAAAATTCAACTTACACTATCTGTATCTTGCACAAACATGTCCAGGTTAGGTAAAGGAGTTCCATTGGCTACATTCTCGTTCACATTGACAGTGTAACTGATTTTATTGAAAGTAGGCGGTTCGTCGTTCACATCACGGATTGTAATAGTCAAGGCAGCCACTGTCCAAGCTTCCGTACCGACAGCTAGAGCACCATTAGGCAAAACTTCTGTCGCCTGTTTATACAAAAAATTAATAATATTGGATTAAACTTATCTGAAATGCTCATTATACTATATTTAAACACGTGGATATCAAACTATAAGTTTATTGTAAATGATTAATACAGAATGGTCGAGGAAAGCTTCAAACTGAAATAAATTTATGATATCTATGACTTTATGTCGCATTTTATGACTGTATTTTCATAATCTTAATAATCTACCGATAATTATTCACAATATTTTCATAACATCTTTAATGATATATTACTTCGTTCATTCATCGTTGAAATTATATAATTTATAACATACTAAGAGCAAAGAATTAAGAAGAGTACAGATTTATATACAACAATGCAAGCGTAGTAAATTACTAATGAAAAGATGATACTTGGCGTGATATAAAGATGTCTTTTTTGCACGGTGATAATCAAGGGTTTAGAAATTCAATTCCGATACTAAACTATCAGGATAATCTCAACATTTTGGCGCAAACTCAATCTAATTATTTTTGGGCGATGACAAACCAACAATTTGCGAAGAATATTTATTTAGTAGACATTCTGTAATAATAATAATAATAATAATATATACCATGCCAGCAGAAATCCTTACCAAGCCTTTATTTTTGCATACATTAATCGTAGGGCAAGTTTTTGCAAATATTACTTGTTATGAAGAACGGTCATAAAAATACTTTCCCGATACATTAAACCCTATTGGCTGAACCAATCGAAATGAAATTTTAGATACTGTTATTTGAAGTGAAAAAATGTTAACCAACCACCATATTCACCCGATTTGGAACCGAAAGATTTTTTTGTTTTGTTTTGTTTTGTTTTGTTTTGTTTTCAAAAATCAACTTCAGACGAAGGATCAAAGCTATCGCGTCATAATTGACGTTCAAGCCACAATGACACGCATGTTGAATGATATTCCAAACCAGAACTTTACTGACAGTTTCATATGGTTGAAAGAACGCTCTGTACATTGTATTTAAGTGCGGGTAGACTATATAGAACACCTGAAGCATAAAAGCCATCACTTTAAGTTTTCTGTAGTTTTCATTAATCCAGTCTGGGAACTTTTTGAACATGTATATTTTGAACATGTTGTATTCAATGTTCTGACATTTTGAAAGTTTAAAAAAAAACTGTTTAGTAAAAATTACTAAATCTAACTTTTTACACGTTCCTTCTACTTATATGCATAAATCTGTGCACTGATTGTATAAAATAAAACACAAAAAGTTTAACTCTTGTACGACAAAAGTTGGCCGAGACGTTTAGTTTCGAAATTTGCGAATTTTGATTTTCATATTCAATTTGATACTCTTGTGTTTTATTCTTTATAATTATTTCTAAGTATAGGGATCGTGAACCATATAAAAAAATAGATTTCGCAATTTACACAAAACTGAATTTTTTAATTTTAATTTTTTTTAAACACAAAACTGATTTTTAAAAATTTTAAAATGCCATAGCATGATTTTTTATGAAATTTTAACATATTTTGGAATTTAGAAGTATAGCTCTGCTACCAAAGGTTGCGAAAGTAAAGACTGGTAAGGATTTTTGAGGGCACGGTATAGAAATCTTGTTATAATTTTGTGAGTAGAAGCAATAGTTTATATTCTACTTTACTATGTCTAAACTTCTGTCTGTCGTCTACGTTAGTGGTATCCAAAGTGGAATACGCATACCCCAGAGGGTACGCTAAGTGATACTTGGAGGTAAAGGAAGAAGTAGGATCATGATCACTTGTGAAAATGTGATCATTGTATCACCACAGTGCGAGGTTCTCATACTCGCCGCTGTGTCTGGTTTATACTACATTATATTATATCACATTACATTACCTTGCATTATTATATTCTGTTATATTACGTAACTTTATTACATTGTATTACATTATATATTATATTATATCTTTACGAATTTTGTACTTAGACAGATAATTTTAGTAGAATTATACGTAAAATTGTTGTATTTTTCTATGTAATGTAGCGCGAGACAAATTTTAAGAGAAATCTTTGCTGGAAAAGCAAGAATACAGGGGCACTTGTATTTGGTTACAGCCGAAAACATCGCGGCAAAAACATCGCAGACGAAAATGTCGCGGAGAAAACAACGCAAGGCGAAAAGGTGGTGCTACAAAACATCGTGGGAGAAAACATCGCAAAGAGAAAACATCGCAGTTCTAAAACATCGTGGTACAAAACATCGTCGTCGAAAATAAAGCGGTTCAAAAACATCGCAGTTTAAAAACATCGTCGTCGAAAATATCGTGATAAAAAATAAAATATCTACAAATCATCGCATGACGATAACATCGCAGACATGCTTTTTTCAGGCATGCGTTAATAAGTGTAAATGGATATTCCCATAATGATTTGTGAGCGCAAGATGGAAAGAAGGATAATTTTTACTTTCATATTTTTTATTAATTAATAAATTTTTGCTGAGAAAATAAAAAGGAAACTTAAGCATAAAAAATTAATGCAACTTATAGCACTTAATAGAATTTTAAACCGACATAGTTAACTAACAAAGGCCATTAATAAATCATTTTTATAAAGTTTTTACTGGTAATATTTCATGAAAAGTATAATCTATAGGTTACATTTAATTTTCTATGCTTAAGTTTCCTTCTTACGTTTTCAGCAAAAATTTATTAGTTAATAAAATATGTGAAAGTAAAATTTATCCTTCTTTACACCTTGCGCTCACAAATCGTTATGGGAATATCCATTTACAATTATTAAAACCTGAAAAAAGCATGTCTGGGATGTTATCGTCATGCGATGATTTGTAGATACTTTATTTTTTACCACGATATTTTCGACGACGATGTTTTTAAACTGCGATGTTTTTGAACCGCTTTATTTTCGACGACGATGTTTCTTACTACGATGTTTTAGAACTGCGATGTTTTTCTCTTTGCGATGTTTTCTCCCTCGATGTTATGTAGCACGACGTTTTCGCCTTGCGTTGTTTTTCCTGCGACGTTTTCATCTGCGATGTTTTCGGCTGTAACCGAGTAAAAGGGTATCTCGGTAATTTTTATTGAAATTGAATAAATTTAATTGACCGCTATGTTAGCTGTAACCATAATACAACATTGTTATTTCTTTCCAGTAATTTACAGAAGCAGCAAGTATTACAAATATCTCGCGCCCGGTTGAAAACTATTTAAGGCCGACAAGAGAGCATCTGCTTTTAGTTGCTTTGTTAATGTTGTTGAGATTTGTTAGTTTCACGTGAACTGAGATATCCAAGTTAGCTTTTTCTTTAGATGCGCTTTTCATTTCGTTGTATTTAACGTTCTTAGTAGTTTGAAGTGTAACTACTGATTATACTGTGTGATACTTGCACGAATATTTCTGTGGAAAATTCCAGAGTTCTAAAATATTTCTTTTGATAAAAGTAAATTTTTATTAATCTGTTATTGGACTTTTGCATTCAATTTATTACGAACCCGTACGCACGCAACAATATTATATAATATTACATTGTATTATATTATATCATATTACATTATATCTTATTCCATTATTCATATTATATTATATGTGGTGCAACTTACAATGTAATCGATTTCACTACATGTATTGAATTTGTCATACCCAAATCTAATATCTTCAAGTTTTGCTTTTATTTATTGGAATATAAATAAACTGTAAAAATGTATAAATTTTGCAAATTTAAATCTGCATTGTTTACTTAAAGTTTTAAAAGTAAAGCTATGCTAAAATGGAATAATACTAACTTTTGAGTAACATATATATCTAAAAGACAAAGAAAGGCGGGGAGAAAATCGAAAAGTTTGTGATTTGATCTGTTACAACTAAATTTATTAAAATTTAAAAATAGATATAATTTCGCCCATTTCTCAACTCTCGCTATACTCCTTTTCTTAAGTACGGTTACTTTTTAGTATATTTACAAAAATTGCATTTAATTTTAATACTTGTTGTTGCTTATTCTTTCAACACAAATTTAAGAACTGTTGAATAGAGCACATTATTTTCTCATCAACTTTCTTGAGTTCTGTGTTTTTTTTTAACTAAGAAAAAGGATTTTAGAACTTACCTTAACGCCTACGTTGATAACACCATTGGAGGATGGGAAAATTTCCTTGTCTAGAAGTTTTGCAGTTCTCAATTCACCGGTGATAGGGTGGATGCTGAAAAATTCTTCAGGATCTATTTCGTAAAAAAAAAAAAAAAAAAAAAAAAAAAAGTCAGTATTATCATTCATTCAATTTATAAAATTATACGATTAGGTAGTTGTATGAGATACCAATACTATTAAAATCTGTGACACTGCTGTCTGTTTGTTTCTTTGTTTTTTATTTGTGACACCATCTTCTCCGTAACGGCGGGGTGTTGAGTTTCGAGAGAGGCACCCCAGGATTCCAAAAATTTGTGGGAAGCCATTTCGACCATTCTCATCTTTGTAGGATTTTATTCAGCCAAAATATTAATTAAAAACTCTGAAAATGTTAATTTTCGCAATATCGCCTGCTGAAGAGGAAAATCAAGGTCATATTTTGACGCTGAAGAAAGCACGCGATTGCATGTGCCGTCATTGTATGTCGAATATTGTTCGTTAGTGTCAGCATTTTAAATAAATAGCTGCTTTTGGCAACTTTTTTTGTTTCAGGTTAAGATAACTGACGCGCTATGTTATTGCCACACTAATTCTTTTATTAATATTGAGAAAAAGTTGTTATATTGCGTTAAATTTAAATCATTATGTCATACGTATATCTGAAGTGTCAAAAGTTATTGTTTCTTGATTTGGCAACAAAAGAGCATTTACGAATTTGGTTGTTGCTCGAAAAGAACGAACTGAATATATTTATTTTAAAATATTTTTATACCACAAGAAGAAGAGCTTAAGTAGGATACGTGCTAATGTATTTTTGTTTTGTTTTTAAATGTAAATTTTTTTATTTATCGAAGACTGAGGAAACTACTATAAGATTCTTTAAAAACGGATGCATTTTTCCTCCCTTTCGAATACGCGAAATGTCCACAAAATGAAACTCTGTAACAGGGGTGGCCGGTGTCCGCCGATAACATCGCCAACCATCCGTGTCTATTCGGTTACAGCCGAAAACATCGCGAACGAATACGTCACAGAGAAAACAACGCAACGCTGTCGAAAATAAAGCGGTTCAAAAACTTCGCAGTTTAAAAACATCGTCGTCGAAAATATCGTGTTAAAAAATAAAGTATCTACAAATCATCGCATGACGATAACATCGCAGACATGCTTTTTTTCAGGCTTTAATAACTGTAAATGGATACTTCCATAATAATTTGTGAGCGTAAGATGGAAAGAACGATAATTTATTTTTCATATTTTATATTAACTAATAAATTTTTGCTGAGAAAATAAGAAGGAAACTTAAGCATAGAAAATTAATGCAACTTATAGCACTTAATAGAATTTTAAACCGACATAGTTAACTAACAAAGACCATTAATAAATAATTTTTTTATAAAGTTTTTACTTGTAACTTTTCATAAAAAGTATAATCTATAAGTTGCATTTAATTTTCTATGCTTAAGTTTCCTTCTTACTTTTTCAGCAAAAATTTATTAGTTAATAAAAAAATGTGAAAGTAAAAATTATCCTTCTTTACATCTTGCGCTCACAAATCATTATGGGAATATCCATTTACAGTTATTAAAGCCTGAAAAAAGCATGTCTGCGATGTTATCGTCATGCGATGATTTGTAGATACTTTATTTTTTACCACGATATTTTCGACGACGATGTTTTTAAACTGCGAAGTTTTTGAGCCGCTTTATTTTCGACAGCGATGTTTTTGTACCACGATGTTTTAGAACTGCGATGTTTTCTCTTTGCGATGTTTTATCGCACGATGTTTTGTAGCACGACGTTTTCGCCTTGCGTTGTTTTCTCTCCGAAGTTTTCGTCCGCGATGTTTTTGCCGCGATGTTTTTGGCTGTAACCGGGGTGGCCATAGTGCGGATCTCGCAGTCAAGTGGTGCCAGCTTTCTTGTTAGGATGAGATAGCAACTCTTACGGCAACAATTGTGGATCACGATCAGAACGGACTGTCGATTGTTGGAGAAATTACAAAACATAGAACTGGAAAAAGTTGGGTGTGCTCACTTCACTGAGAATCTTAAATTCCATTCTGTGGATCCGAAAATATCAACTGTTTATATACATAATATCGAAGGAATGTGCGGCTCTGCTAAATGGTGAAATAAAAAGCAAAGCGATACGGCTCGTTCATTATCTTTAATCCTAGCTTGTGGAATTAATGTGTTGAAATTCCTTGGTACGAGCAAATGCTTTTGATGCCATATTTTTATGACATACATAAATATGCAAGCGCAAAATTTTTTCAGCCAGGGACTGTGTGTCAGAAATAAACATAAACTGGTTGGCAGTCTTGACGCCTTTATGATGGAACAGTAAAATAAGGTTTCGTTGGGTTATTTAATTATGGAAAAGCTTCGAGGGCTATACAGGGTGTTTGGGATAAATTTGACATATTTATAATTGATTATATTTTTCCGTAGGTTGGAGGTATTGACACACACTACTCGTCATTTAAAAGTTTGGACCCTTCTTCATTCATATACAAGATGTCAGAAAGGATGGATGACTGGAAGCCACCTGAATCATGGAAGAGAATAACTTGCATCATGATGATTCGTGCCGGCCATCAAAATAAGGATATTTATGACTGCTGCCCAATGCTCCCTGAACACAGTAAAAGCAATCAGGCATGAACTAGAGACTTGCAATGGTGACTACGAGGATGTAGCAAGAAGAAAGATCCCTAGCAGACGATCTGATTGCGTTCGTCCAGCAGAATTCCTCGCAAATCTGCAAGAACAGATGTTGAAGAACCCTGGCATTGGAATTCGGGCTTTGTCACGTGCTAAACACTGTAGTCAAGCCTTGGATAACAAGGGTAGCCAAAGGTAGGCCGTATGTATGGCAGCAGGATTCGGCCCCTTGCCACACCTCTGGGAAGAGTCAAAAATGGTTGTTTGAAAATTTCTACGACTTCACCAGTCCAAATGTTTGGCCTCCAAACTCCCCAGACCTTAACCCCATGGATTATTTGGTATGAGGCGCAGTTGAAAAAGACACCAATCGCAACTCCAGTAATACAAAAGCCCAGTTAATGGATAAAATTAAAACAGTTTTTGAGGCTCTTCCCAGGGAGACTGTAGCATCAACTTGTTCGAGGTTTCGAAGCAGGATTGAAGCTGGGATCGATGCTAATTGTGGTTATTTTGAGTGAATCTTGTTGATAGTATTGTAATTTACTTTGCCTGTAATTTGTTTTGTCAATTCAATCTAATGAATTGACAAAACAAATACAAGTTAATAGATACAAAGCGGATTTTCTTTTTACTTACGAAACTGTGAAATTTATCTCCAGCACCCCGTATGCCTAAGAGGAGGCACTTTCTAAGGGAAACTGGCTTGTATACAACTTATACATGGGGACACCAAACCTCCCCATGAGCCAGCCTTTTCGCGGGATTCGAACCGCGGACCGAACTACCAGTATTCAGCGATTGGTAAAATCAGCCGCTGGTAAGCCAAGTAAAATAAGGAAATACCATCAAAAGAGTTCTCTTATTGGAATACTGAATCCGCCCTGAACTGTCTGGTGGTTAGATGAGGGCGGGTTACTAGTCCGAAACCAGGAAAGAAGATTCGAACACCGCTAAGGCTTGGCTACATATTGTGTTATATTTCTCACCTATGTAGGTATAGCGTTAGTCCCCCTTTGTGATGCATCCTGGGCAACTTTATTGGTGCAAGATGGTTAAATAGAAGAAATAACTTCTGATAAATACTTGGTGTTTGAAATGTCAGGTTTTTTTGAATTAAAATATACAAACGCTGAAAATTAAAAAATATATATACTCCAAAAGTAAGTGAAAATTGCTTTTTCAAAAACATTCTATTGAAATATTTGATTTAGAAATCAGTTATTGCTATACTCACTTGTTACCAAATCGTATGTGACATTTCTTGGGTCTCCTTCGTCACCATCTCTTGATTTCAGGGTCATTACCAATGTCCCCTACAAAAAATATGTTTTCAAATTTTATTTTCACAAGGTAGTTTCAGAGAAAATGAACAGCACATAGTTTATTCATAGTGCCTTATCACGTAGTTTAATTTTCCTTAAACTTACCTTTGTGCTGTAATTGATCAATATGCATTCTTACTAAAATTAGAAACCTTAGAAGTAGATAAAGTTAAATTTCAAATAACATTTTCAGTCTCTGTTTTACTCATGTCTGATTCAAGATGATCAGATTATTTGAAAATGGCAAAGCACACGACAGCTATCTGCCTAAAGGAAGGGCAGCACCTTTGTAAAGGACTTTCTAAACAGGTAAAGGTGCATGGTACACCCGAAACTTCAGTACATAATCGAACAGGTATTGCCCCAATACACTAACCAGCTACAGAATAAAAAGCTTTATTGACTATAGGTTATTTCTAAGTAATACTGGAGTTATACATCGGAGTTGTTAATTTAAACGTAAGAGGATAATGATATAGAATTAGACAAAGTTACATAAATAACACACGCTGTTTAGTATACTCATTAAAATATTGCATAAGGACTTTCTAAGGGCAAATGGCTCGTATTCAGCTACATGGGAATAGCCACGAAAACAAACACTGTAGCCAGACCGTTCGTCTGGGATAGAGCACGGATCGAACTCTTAGTTTTCAGTGGTCCTAACCCCTCGATCACTGGTGAAGGCGATTTAAGATGGGCAAAGCCTCCTAGATTCGATGCAGCGGTTAGCGTAGCTAGCTGACTTAGTTCAAGCTCTGGGTTCAAATACCGCCAAATGGTTCAAAGGCTGGATGTTTGTACGCGTATCGTGTTTTTTCGGCATGGTTTGGTTTATTTAACTATGCCAAAGTACTCGAGGGCTATCTGCCTAAGGAGAGGGATGTTTTCATACAGGATTTTCTAAAGGAAACTGATTGGTATATACGTTATAACCACAAAAACCACGAAAACGCCCATATAGGTAGCTCGTTCGCAGGCATTCGAAACCCGAATCTAAATACCAGTGTTTAGCAACCTTTACCGCTTAGCTGCTGGTTGGCTATTTCCGGCATTGAAATACTTAAAATACACTGTGAGCATATTGAATGATTTGATTTGATGGTAGGAGAAGAGGGGTGAGAGACCCTTGGACCCGTCTGTCCGGGGATTTTCCCTCAAAACCGGGACAGAGCTACGAGAAGTCACACTCTCACAAATAAGGTGCTAAGGCCCATTCCAGCGATAGTTTTTTAAAATATCGTGGGCACGTTCTAATATTTCTGTCAGCCAAGCGAGATAACAATATGCATTAGAAAAACGGGTACAGAATACAGATATAACTTCTTTCACATCCCCTCAACGAATCTTTCGCCAGACCGCATTTGATGTTTTTTACGTATCGTATTTATATGAGCATGACCCTGTTTTCACGCCTGTCAATCATTTCGAACGCTATCATTTTCAGTCGCTTGCGATGAATTTTCGCTCGAAAAAATCTGAAAGCGTCGCGTTTTCGACGGACACCTACTTAGTTGCTATACTCTGCAACTATAAGCAGCACATTTTATTATAAACTTTACAGTTTTTAAATGCTTACAACAGGCGCATTTTCGTCCACAATTCCAGTCAGAGATCCTACGAAAACAGGTGGTCGGTTTTGGACATCCCCGACGTTGACGATGACAGTAGCAATAGCATTATGGCGTCCATCCTGTAGAAAGGGGGGGAAAAATCAAATTCTCTAACAGGAAAAATACATTTTTATAATATACAAAATAGCAGAATACCAAAAATAAGGCATATGAATGGCAGAAGGAAGAATGAGTTATCCTTCATTATTATTAAATAATAAGGAATTCGTCTGTCTAATTTTTCTTCTTTTCTAAGATAAATAAACTATATCTTTATAGAAAGAAAGGAAAGATGATCAATATCTGAATATTTAACAAAAGTTAAGAAAAAATAATTTATCTTATCTGTTATTAAATAATGAAGAATCTGCATGTATGTATGTTTGTTCTTCTCATTCTTCAAAAAACGGAGACCCCTAGAGCCACCAAATTTTGAGCACACATATATCTCATTCGAATATGCGTACTTTTTTAGAATTTCGGAATTTTTTTAAAACTTATTTCATATTCTGGACGAAGTTAGTGAACGTTTAATTAACAAGTTCAGGGATTTAAAAGCAATGTGTTGCCACTCGACAAATTCTTTCAAATTTATTCATCAAACTCCGCGATTTCAAAAAATGTGTTGTCACTGCCAGAAAGGAAGTATTTTTATTTACCCGCGCCAGTGTATTGTCATTCGGCGAAGCGTAAGGTACTTAATTTAATTTTTCTGTCAAAATTAATTATCTACGTTGATTAGCAAACTGAGCGATTTGAAAGCAATAAACTTAGCTCTACTGTTATTCAATTTCTACTTGGTTCCATGCGAAGTTGCATTCGTCGTATTCATTAAAAGCTTAATACAGCAGAACCCCGCAAACTCGACATAATATGGAGTTAGACACTGTCGAGTTTCCGCAAAGTTGATTTTTACGGAATAAGGGGTGGCAGCAGCAGCAGAAGGAAAGAAGGAGTTTTGTACACTGCAAGAGTAGACTGGTAGACTGCCAGTTCAGCGAAAGCATAAAAAAACTTAACAAACCTTTTTGAGAGACTGTGAAAATCTGAAACCTTTAAAACATTTTTAACACAGGCGAGTGTCTTTGAGCTCATAATGGAGAGGCACATTCTCTTGCATTAAAAATTATGTTTCTTGTATTATTGGATAAAACAAAATGACAACGAAATTTAAATAAATATTTAACTTTTTTTTTTATTATTTTCATTCGGTCGCATTTGAAGACCTCGAGTTTGTTTCCCGTCTCGCCGTATAAACAAAATCGCAGTGAATTTTAGTTGAATATTTATTTTTTTCAATTTTATTTCTTGAGATGTTTAGAGAACACTAACCTGAGTGAGTTTTTTTAGCCCAAAGGAGCTATTAGTTTCGAAACGGCATTTTTCGTTTTACTTTCAAATGTCTGTTTCACTTTTCAAATTGTTGCCACCAAGAATTGTCTCACTGTATTATATTTAAAGAATTAAATAATGAAGGATCTACATGAATGCATGTTTGTTTCTCGCATTGTAAAAAAAATGACGGTACTTAGAACCATGAAGTTTTTAATAACGTAATCCTCCACCCGAACATGGGACACCTGGACGCGCGAATTTCGAATTTGTTTGACCCTCTTTCTCATATGTGGTAAAACTTTAACGTATTTTTGCTTAACAAACTCAACGATTTCAAAGTGAGCAACGGCAACACTGTACGGAAGATAACATTTTTATCTCCAGTGCGCAAGACTGTGTATCGAAAATTCTAAAGATATGCTGTTTTTAAATATTTTTTGATATTGCTGTTGAATTGAATTTAATGTGGTTTAAGTGCGAAGAACATGGTTATAAATAAGTAACGGTAGCATGCAAAACGTTAAATAATATAAAACCTGCAAGCTTCTAGATTTTATTTTTTATTTTATTTATATTTATTTTATTCACTTGTTTATTTTTTGTTTGCATTCCTACTTCGGCGAATTTACGTGGCGTCGAAAGTTTAAAGAAAGGTAGCTCAGAAAGAATTTTTTTCTGCATTCTACGAGTGTATCACAATCTTTTACAAGCCACAGACTGCTATTCAAGCGGGAAAAAATAAATGTAAGTTTTAATTTATATTTATTTTATTCTAATTTGACGCTTCCTGCTTCTTAAATTTTATCGACTGATTAATCTTTCGTAAACTTCATACTATCATTTTCAGAGTGCGATACCATTTTGAAAAGTGCATTAACTTCGCGAAAAATGTTGAATCTCGCCGATTCTTAGTAACTTGAAGCCTATTCTTAGTAACTTGAAGCATAAAACTGAAATATTGGTTCTACTTACATCAGCAACAAGTTTTACAAGATATCTGTTGCTTTCGGCGTAGTCGAGATTTCTCCGTAGTACAATGGATGCTGTAGAAGCCTGCGGGCTGGATGACTGGCTAACTACAGAGAATTTATCACATGCAGTCGGAAACTAAAAGGAGAAAACATTTTGTAGCTCCAAGATGAGGTTTAGCAGCTATATTACAGGATCATATTACTAATATCATATTAAGTAATAAGCCAGTGTGTGTAAAATATACAGCAACACGCTATAACACAGAAAATAATGAGTTAGCTGCTTGATTTCAACAAATGATTACTTTCAGCCTTTGTACTTGGGACGAGAAATGAACGCATTTTAAATTCTAGTTTAATTATCTCAATTAAATTGCCAAAAATGTTGAATTTTTGCGTTCTAGGGGTTAGTGGTTTTTTAGTAATTGAAGATAACACTTGATGAAGAATCGAAACACAATTTATTCGCCAGTATTAAACAGGACATTTCCAAAAACACGTTTACAGTTGCCGGAAATCTACGATAAACACGCTGAAACAGTCATCAGCACAGCCTTCAGGCTATGACGATGAAGACAGCTTGACGGCAAAGCACACCTCCCGACTCAGTCGATTGCTCTCAAGCTAATCTATGAACTCAAGATACTACTCGTACAGGCACGGTATAAATAGCTTTAACCTACCTTCGAGAACATTCTTGGGGAAACCACTAAGAATAAGTTCTAGAAGGTTCTCTCTCTGTCTATGACATATCTCCAGTTTTGTCGCCAAATGGGCGATTTCGCGACAGATCGGGCAACCTTGCGTTTCCCTGCTTTTTTTGGCAACCCTAACCCCGCTTTGCGCAGAAGCTATCTTACCGCAGCTGGGTATTTCCCAATAGAACTAAAAGGTACCAATTTTTAGATTAATTACATTAAGAAATAAACAATCTATTGAAATTTTTTACATATTTGATTTTAGTTTTCAAAGAATTTTTTTAAAAAATTAGATTGAAAAAATAACAAATAATAGGTTCCTCAGATATGCGATGAAATAGGAGCATACCAGCTTACCATAATATGGAATTCTGTAAAGAATCTGCACATTTTTAAATCACGTGGAAATTCTTTGAATAAACACGCTAAATTTTAGTCACGTGGAAATTCTTTGAATTAACACGCTAAATTTTGTATCAATTTAGAACATAATTCAAGATTTCCTGTCCTATAAACTTCCTAAATTTGTTTGAGCATTTTTGATAGAAAACAAAACTGTGGTTCATAAAGCAAGATTATGCCGTATAAACTTCCTAAATTAGTTTGAGCATTTTGAGTAGAAAATAAAAGTATGGTTTATATTGAACCAAAACTTTTTTTGGTTAATCTTCGGATTATGGTAACTCGGCGATTTTTTGGCGAAAATTTGGCTGCCAACCCTGCTACAGCAACCTGCTAGTTTTTTTATGGACGCCATTTTGTTTTCACAAAGTAAAGGCATGTTTTTTTTTTTTTTTTTTTTTTTTTTTTTTTTTTTTTTTTTTGTTATTTTTTCCTCAACATTTTTTCCCACTAGTCTGCTAGCCGAATTAAGCTTATGCTAGAACTTTTATGGAACAAAAGTGCTTAATCATGACGAAGATTAGGTCCGAAATTAGGAGAAAGTGCAGAATCGCCCACTGCTTGCCGCGTTTTTAAGAATTGCACATACACGGTATCCATGTACACGTCGACCTATTTTCACTTAAAAAAACATCTCAGAATTGCACAAAAATGACATTGCTCACACTCTTGACTTTATCCATGTGCACTGATAAAGTCCTAGCTAGTAACCTTTATCGCCTTACCAAAATGTCGCCAAACTACCTGTTACCATATTCCAAAGATTAGCCCTCTTTTATCACTATATATATGTACAAACGTAGAAATGCCTCTATTGTCGCGATTGTCGAAACGCCTTCATTGTCGATTATTCGCATCAGATCTGTTACAGTTTGACCACAGTACAGAGCAAATTGTAACAGACGATTAGTTTAGTCAAATATTGCGTCAAAATCAACAAAACTGCCGAATGTTTGTTTTAGGAATATGATGAAGGGATAGTTGTGCTATAAAAAAATAGCAGTTATAACCAAAGAATCATAAATATATTTAAAAATATGAAAATCTTTTCAAAACTTGTTACAACTGGAGCATAGCTTCCCTACGACATTCATGCATTCAGAATGTTTCAATCGATAAAAGATATTTTAGCGGGTATCTGTAATAAATATCTAAATCGGCTCTTTCGAAACAATCTTAAAATCTCATACCATGGGACTGAAATCACATCGTATTTGTAAAACTCCACCAACGTCATCGGCATCTGTAACTTTGATGTTCTCGTATACAGTAGTACCAACAGGTGTGTCCTGTAAAGAATAAGTAGTTTTATCTAAAGGAACATAAACTCATAATAAAATAGATTTATTTTATATCTTTCCGAGATGATATTGGCAGAATATTAAATCTCTTGAAAATTAAGATGAAACAAATGATATCATGACACGTGCATAAAGGATCAAAATGATAAACTAAAACTATTTTCTTGAACTTACTTCTAATACAGTTGTTTCATAAGGGATGTTATGGAACAGAGGTTCGTTGTCGTTTTCATCCAGAACTATAACCGTCACGGGTACCCTTACCTATAGAACATCACATTTCTATTAAGTTATAATAATAATATATTGTTTCATTTTCATAATGAAATATAATTACTTAATGAACATATGATTTACACTTGATTAATGTAATTCTGAAAATTAATCATGTTGTTTTCACGTATACATAAACAGCCTTATATATAAATTGAGAGAAAAAAGAAAAGTGCAGATGAACGGGTGCATAATGTATAGTAAAAATTAGTGTCAATAGTGCATATTAAAACTGAAATCTGACTTCCCTGTACGACCTCTTTAAATATATGCATTCATTAAACTTATTTCCTCGAATTATTCTAACCTATGCGAACAGTTTTAAAAATGACTTCACTAAAATTATTTACATATATACAAAATTCGCAACAATACTTATAAGGTGAATGAGTGAGTGCACCGCTATGATGGCTTCCAACCACGGACATGAACCAAACGGAATTATATACCATCACGACGGGGAAGACTCAAGAGTAACAAGGTTGAATATTATATACTAATAACAGTTTTTACATATTGATAACTGCAAGGTACTAAGAGTTATTCTGGTTATCTGCTTTAAGTTCTGAACATTTGAAACATTATAATATTATCCACGGTTGTTTCTGCTTAGGCAGTGTCCTGAGATTTTCTCTATTTTATCAAGGGCTATTCTGTTTTTGAGTGTGTTAGTCGTCCACATTGCCCAGGCACAGTCCGCTGGTTTTTCTTCAAGTGCCAGGTTCTTGTATGTACACAATGGAAGTAATAATGGTCCGTGTCGCCTTCCTCTCCACATTCGCAGAAAGGAGTATCCCTAAGTCTGAATCTGTTCAGGTATACTGCGAATGGTCCATGACCTGTCAAGAACTGTGTTAGGCTAGCACAGTGGGTCTTTATTTCCATGTTAACTTTTGGCAGTAAGCGAAATGTCCTTCGTCCTACCTCTGCCTCTGTCCATCTACTTTGCCAATTTTGTAGCAGACATGTCAAAGTTGTTCGCTTAATATGAGACCAAGGAAGTTTAGTTGCTCTTTCTAATATATCCGTGCTGTTGGCTACTTGCTTGACCAGTTGGTCAACGGCTTCATTGCCTTGAATCCTTGTGTGAGCGGGAACCCCTTTTAAAGTGGGTCTTTGCGAAATAGGCATTGTCAAAAGCTGTTTCTGAATTCTGTATACCAAAGGACTCCGGCTGTTTTGACTTGCGATAGCCGCCAGACTTGATGAAGAATCACTGAGTATGCAGAATTTCTCCTGTTGACATGTGTTCGCATATGTAATTGCAGAACTGATAGCTGGTATTCCTTCCGCTTTCCTAGCGTCCTTCGTAGTGTAGTGGTTCTGCAAGCTGGGCCGGTATTCCAGAGGTCCGTGGTTCGATTCCCGGCGAAGGCGGTTGCTATTTTTCATCTTTCCTGCATCCAAAAATATACCTAATGTCTCTACAGTGGGGCCCGAACTAAAAGGGTTGTGGATGATGATTCTCCACACCCAGAATTTGGCGATTAGGTCCCCTAAAACCCTAGTCACCCTTTAAAAAGGGGAGTGTATAAGGTATTCCTTCCGCTTTCCTATCGCCCTTCGTGGTGTAGTGATTCTGCACGCTGGACCGGTATTCCAGAGGTCCGTGGTTCGATTCCCGGCGAAGGCGGTTGCTGTTTTTCATCTTTCCTGCATCCAAAATATATACTAATGTCTCTACATACTTTCGTTTAGTGTAAAAATTAATAAATATGTAATGAATTATTTTTCGCTAATTTTTTAAGGTTGGCTGCAATTCTAAACAGAACGTGGCTTTCAAAAAGATATTTTAAGAGAAAAACCTCCTCTTTACCAACAAGGCAATTCTTGAATTTTTCATACATACAATATGTATGCATACACAAAACATTCTTGACTAAGCAGTGTTAAAATTAATTCCCTATAATTTTGAGAGAAATAATTTGAAAATTTTGAAATAATTTAAGCCCTGTAAATTGAGAATTTTGAGTTAATTGTTAATTATTTCTTCCAACCTTAAACGGCAAACAAAAAAAAAAAAAAAAAAAAAAAAAAGTTTCCAACAAGCTGAGATTTTCACTTCAAATGAATAAAATAAATATTATTTAGTTACTTACAATATTGTTATCTTGTCCGCCTCCGACAATATCTTCGAGAGTGACATGAAATCTCAGACTGTCATTGATCTGCAAATAAATTATATATTCAAATGTTAAATGCATTTTGTTGAAAACGTTTCATTATAGACATTCGCGTGTGCCTGTTTGTTTGCAACATCATCTCCACCGAATGGCGAAGAGTTGAGTTTCGAGAGAGATACCCTCCCCCACTCCCGGATTCCAAAACTCGTGGAAGCAACTTCAGCCATTCTCACCTTGGCACGAATTTAATTAGCCGAGATATTAATTAAAAACTCCAAAAGCTCTGATTTTCGCACTCATTTTTCCGAGTGGCAACAGACTCGCACGCTGGAGATAAAAATCCGCCTTTTTGCGAAAAGTGTTGCCACCGCTCGCTTAATCATATAGTTTGTTAATAAAAAAAAAGTTGTAAGTTTTACAAAATGTGAAATAAAAATAGCATCGCGATACATTAAACATACTATTAGTCCAAAGGGGCAATTTGCCCAGGACTATTAATTTCGTTTTGGCATTTTGCGTCGATTCACGATAAGCGTTGCTTCACTTTTCAAATTGTTGCCACCAAATATTATCGCCTTGTATTATATTTAAAGAAATTAAATAATGAAGAATCTGCATGAATGTATGTCTCTTTCTCGCACTAAAACAACGGTATAAACAACGGTACATAGAGCCATCAAAATTTGAATAATGTAATCTTCCATAGACTATGGGCCCTAATTTAAATTTGAAATTTGTTTTATTATCGATTTCATATTTTGTAAAACTTCAACAAATTTTTGATTAACAAGCTAAACGATTTCAAAGCGAGCAACGGCAACACTGTACAGGAAAAAAAAACTTTTTTATATTCATTGCGCGAGACTGTTTATCGGAAATTCTAAAGATAGGCTTATTTTAAAATTATTTTGCGACATTGCTATTGAACCGAATTTTATGGTTTAAGTGCAAAGAACATGATATTTAATAAATAAAGATAACACACAAAACGTTAAAAAAACGCTCCTCTGGGCGTAATGTAAAATCTGAAAGCTTTCAGATTTGTTTCTCTTTCATATTTTGGAAAACTTTAACGAAATTTTTTTTTCTTTATTTTATTTTTGTTGCCAGTTATATTGAGCAAACTTTTCACTTAAATCTGATGCTCTGAATAAAGATAAAATATGTAGAGTTGTGTTTAGAAACTTTTAAATATTCTGCATGAATCTGCAACCAAAACTTTAGGAGCTGCTTTTGCTTAAATTCTGATTTTAATGTGGAATCTTTTTATATATCGATATGTTGTTCCCTATACTTCATTGGAAAGTCTTCTTATATTCGTAGTACTCGAGATTTTTTATCCAGCCGTACTTAGTTTTCTCTTCTAGGAAATTTTCTCACCTGAAAAAGGTGCTCCGTTACATACTTTTTAACGCTATCGTGTAAATGTAATTACATTAGAAAACTGTTTACTTTTGGAAAGCATTATACGTCATTGCCATTGACATATATCGAATTTTTATTTTGACTTTTGGAAACCCAGGATATGACTCATGGAACTCCGATGTTCACAGTTTGAAGACCATTGATATACACTCATGTCCATAAATTAAGGATAATTCGGAGTCACGCGGAAATCGAACTCTAAAATAAATGTATCACCTGTAAAATCACTACACACATCTTCAAGAATCATATGCAAATTTCAGCAAGTAACCAGATGGCACCGATTGTACGTCACAATGACGAGAGTGTAAGAGAGTAATATATAAGAAATGTAGGCAAAGAAGTAAAATTGTTCGCAGGGGCTTTATAAGCATTTCAGTGCAATAACCGAATAGTTATGACACAAAGGACGCATTTGGAGGATTTTTTTACGTGATAGAATTACCGGCCGCCTGGAATATGGGCGTACCCAACTGGAAATATCAGACGAACTTGGAATTGCCCAGAGTGTCATCTCCAGGCTTTGGCAACGATTCCAAGATGATGGTAATGTGAGTAGACGTTACAGCACAGGTCGCCCCAGAGTTACAACGCCGAATGAGGACCGGTATTCGGCAGTTACTGCCAAAAGAAACAGGCAGAGCACAGCCTCAGACCTGTCGCGTCAGCTCTCTTCAGCCACTGGTACGACAATTTCAAGGCAGACGTGTACAGACACTTAGGGCAGATTGGTCTATATGCTCGAAGACCCGTCAGATGCGTTCCACTTACTGCAACTCACTGTCTCCTGCGGTTAGCCCGGAGTAGAGAGCATGCATTGTGGACACCGCAACAGTGGGCTTGTGTGATGTTTTCCGACGAGTCCAGGCTTAGCTTGCAGTCTGATTCTCGCCGGACTTTCATATGGAGAGCTCCAGGTACCCGTTACCACCAAGAAAACATCATTGAACGACACCATTACGGTGGTGCAGGAGTGCTCGTTTGGGGTGGAATTATTCTGGGTTCCAGAACTGACCTGCATGTTCAAATTGGAACCATGACAAGCCAAATATATCAAACGTCATTCTGGAACAACTTGTGCGTTTGTTTCGGGGCGCCATGGGCGCACAATTTGTATTTATGGATGACAACGCTGTTCCTCAGCGTGCAAACATCGTAGGCGAATGCCTTCAATCGGAGTATATCACCTGCATATTCCCGTATAGACTGGCCAGCATTCTCACCGGACTTGAATCCAGTAGAGCACGTGTGGGAGATGTTTGGCCGACGAGTTGCAGCCCTCCTACATGTCTACCGGAACTTTGGAGAGTATTGCTTTTTGAGTGGTGTAATATCCCCCAAGATCAGATCGATAATTTGATACTCAGCATGCCTAGGCATTGTACGGACTGCATTGCATAGTCTGGGAAACATACAATGTATTAACAATCATACCAACCATGTAATATTGGTTTATGTAAATAGGTTTTTTTTTTTTTTTGTAATTTGCTCCAGGGAGAAAAAATCGCTAGTTTTTTTTAATAATATCAAACATATAGCATCTTTGTTTGCTCTTTACCTTTTGTTTAATAAATAAGCTTTACAAATAAGTCAAATTTGTTTTGCTTCTAACTCTTCCTTTGCCTGATTTTGCATTATCCTTAATTTATGGACATGAGTGTATATGAACGATCGTAAAGCATCAGCATAATAAAAAATTTAAATTGTTTTATTACGTCTCTAACATTTATAAATTTTCGAAAATTATTAAATGTGGCCGCAAGTGCTACTGCTCGATGAAAACGTCTGAAAAGGGAAAAAGACCAGAATTTATCTTCGCTTTAAATCACGAGTTTTAAAGATAATCAAAACGTCAAAGTGTATTTACGCTTCGCAGATAGACTTCGGTGGTGGTGGTGGTGGGGGGGAAATACATCCCTTTTAATTTGCTGACAATGAATTTAGTTTTAAGGTATGAATTTTTTAAAGTTTTAAAAAATGTTCTACGAGAGTTAAATAAGTGACTCTTACCTCACGGTCTATGGGAGCAGCCACCGTGACGATACCTGTCTTGGAATCCACATGGAACCTGTCCGTGCCTTCTAAGCCGTATGTGACAGTGGAATTTTCGGGATCAGTTCCGAACAAGTGGAAAAACTCAGTTCCTGAATGTTAAAATAAAATAAAATAAAAATAAAAATAAAAATAAAAATAAAAATGACAGTGGATAAAAGAAAACCCGAAAAGTTTAGAGTTTATATGGCAAATAATAAACTGCTATATAACCTTGGAATTACTGGTTATTGACAGGTATCCAGACATGCGCTTCATTTACTGGTAAAATTTAACCGTTTCTATTAAATACAAATGGAAAGGATCAATGTGCATAATTTAATGATTAATCATAATTCAATAATTAATCATAATTCAATAATTAATCCCTGCAATAATTTCCATCAGGAGAAGAAAGATATTCTGCTCGTTTTCCGAAATAATGACCCATTTCATTTATTATTACCATCAAACGAAGTTCGCGTTTTAACCAATTATAAACTAAGATTTTAACTGATTATGGGAATTTTAGAAATTGCTTATTTCGTTTTAATATCGTGAACAACGTATTTTATGGTTGCGGCAAAGCTGTAGCAGGTGTAGAGTATATCTTATTTTCCTGCATGTTATATGCGAGCGCCAGAACTACATTTAAGTTATAACTCTTTTCTCTGGCCTCCTGCTTTCTTTGACCTTGTCAGGTGTTCTAAAGGGGTGTTGGAACGCCAAAATCTTCAAAAAAATGTGATTTCGGATTTTTGCATTTCCAAATTCTCTACACTTTTATCTTTCTAAAAATATCATTCTTTAATCTCTATGAAAATTAGAACTGTAAAAAAATCTAGTTTTAATTTGTCATCTACTGCTTTGATCAATGAGGATTTTTACATAAAAACGCGTTTTTCTCCAAAAGTGATTTTTTTACACTCGATGAACCTTTTCTCAGGAACTACTGCTCACAGGTATCTAAACTTTTTATGGCTTATTTATTAGGTTCTTTAATATTTACTGAAATGAGCTTTTTGTAATAAACTTAGACAAAAAATTGTTTTTAATTTTTTTTGTGTGTGAGAAAAGTGTTAAATTTTACTATACCTAACAAAATATTCTGTAATTTACTCTAAAATTCAAAATGCTTCAAAAGCTCATTTCAGTATAATCTGATAGGTATACTTTAATTACAGAAAAAATTTCAATCTTGTATCTACAGCAGATTTTGAGAAAAGGTACATCGAAAATGGCCAATTTAACATTGTCGGTATAGGGTTTTCTGATACCCCTGAAGCCTTTGCTGTTTTGAGCAACTTTATCAGCAATTTAAACATTTATTATCATTATTTTTATATAATGTACCAACATTATCTTTTTATGTGGCATTGAATTTTTATTGTTTTTGTCTATGTATGGTTAAGTTTTGAATTAATAACAGCATTATATTGTTGCTATATCACATCTTTCTATTAATATCATTAGTATTATTTTTACGTATAATGTTATTATTATTATTTTGATATATATTTTAGTAGCAGCATTATCATAGTTTTATTAGTAGCCCAAAGGAACGTTACCCCAGAAGGGCTATTAGTCTCGAAAGGGCATTTTGTTTCGAATCACTTTCCAAATTGTAATCGTCCTGTAGTATATTTAAAGAAATTAAACAATGAAGAATTCGTATGAATCTGAAGGAATATTCTGGATGTATGTTTCTCGTGTAACATGCATAACAGAGTCCTTCCCTCATGCAGGTAGCCGTAGTGTAAATGCACTGGAGGCCTGCCTACTGAAATAGAAAATTCAGGTTAACGTCGAAAAAACATTTGCCATAATCTTCACTAAGAAGACAAAAGTTCATGTTTTTATCTATGTATGGTTAAGTTTTGAATTAATGCATTATATTGTTGTTATATCACATCTTTCTATTAATATCATTAGTATTAATTTACGTATAATTGTATTATTATTATTTTGATATGTATTTTAGCAGTAGCATTATCCTAGGGTTATTAGTAGCCCAAAGGGACGTTACCCCAGAGGGGCTATTATTCTCGAAACGGCCTTTTGTTTCGAATCACTTTCCAAATTGTAATCGTCCTGTAGTATATTTAAAGAAATTAAACAATGAAGAATTCGTATGAATCTGCATGAATATGCTGGATGTATGTTTCTCGCATTGTGAAAAATCAGCGATACCTACACCGATCAAATGTTGAATATCGTAGTCCTACACCCGAGCATGGGCATCTAGAATCCCGAATTTGGAATTTATTTGTTTATCCATTTCATATTTTGTGAAGCCTTAACGAAATTTAATTAACAAACTCAACGATTTCAAAGCGAGAGTGGCAACGCTGCATGGAATGAAATATTTCTAACTCCAGCGTGCGAGACTATCTGCCGGAAACTCTGAATATATGCTGTTTAAAATTAATTTACCAGTATTTACCTAAAAATAAATAAATTTACCAATTTCTATCTCTGTTTTACGCACCTCATTGCTCTTTCCTCCCCCCCCCCTCCTGTGACAGGCATTAGCCGTTATTGCCGTTGGCCACAACTAAGGCCGAAACGGTAATCATTTTTTAAGCAGGCACGTAATAGGTGGGCCACTGTTCCCTCCTGTGAAGGGATAGACAATTTACATCCATGCCTTCTTCGAGATTCGAACCCGGGGCAGTCAGATTCACTATCCACTTTCCTGTCTGGACGGCAGCTCTCAGTTCTTTGAAAGGGGATAACTTTTATAGATATGGTATTTGAACGAGATGTGAAGACCTCCTATGGTGACGTCTGGGGGCAAGGCTTTTTTCGTGCAATTACGAGGTCATAAAATTCGGTGCTCAAATGGACCATTTTTCACAACTTTCTCGCGCATTTGAGTTATACTCGATTATTTAATATGCCATGGTATAATTTTAGAGTAACCCTCCACGTTAAATATTATCAAGCTAAACAATCATTATTTAATAATTACGTAATATCAAAAGCCATGTTATATGAGCTTTAAAAATAAATTCTCATTACTTACCTACTGGTGTATTTTCTTTTATGACAGCCAAATCGATATTTCTCAAAAATATTGGCGGACTATTTGACAAACTCAAGCCTAAAATAGAAAACACGTGACATTCCATTTTACAATAAATTGATAAATGTCAATACATTTTTTAATGCTCACAGTTTACTAAAAACAGCCAAGTTTATCAATATTCATTGCCTGCATCGAGTAAGGCACAATAAGTTAGACATCAATACCTAAGTTCCAAAATCGTAATAGCAAATATATATATGTTACGGTGAAACACCGAAATCTGGAGAATGTCGACTTTCACCGGTGAATGTCAACATTCACATAGTCGCTTGGTGTATGTCCGAAATATTCCTTATTTCTGACTTATCCCGGTGAATGTCGACATTCACCATGTACTAATGGTGAATGTTGAACATATAAGAATATTATATTTCCTTCTCCGTAATTCATTCGCGAAAACACGCACTTGAGAATCAGAATAAGAATTTAAGAACATAACACACACAGTACATTCAAAATGAAACACACAGTACATTCAAAATGAAAAAGGAAAATAATAGAAGTTATAAACTTACCAAATTATGTGATTCAAATCTTATTTATTGCAACAACTTAAACTACTATTATGACACTTTGAATTGCACAAGAGGCCCTTGCTTTTACAACTGCATTTATTTGTGGAACACTTCCTTTTGGAATGGCAACGTGTACATATACTCCTCTCTTTTCGACTTTCACCAGAGCATATCTGTGATTGTCGACATACACCGGTGAGGGTCCGAATGTACAAGAATGTAAATAAATATTCGATCTTTCACCGACGTATTTGGTGAATGTTGACATTCTCCGGTGAAAGTCGATATTTTCCAATTTCGGTCTTTCACGGTAACATATATTAATATACGTTAGTGAGATAATTGGACTTAGACACTGGTGTCCAGTTCGTTGTACGTTTCTTTAAAAATGGTAAACTTCAAGATAAACTTCAAACATCTGATGTGGAGACCACATGACTTTCTTCTACGGCCCATTAAATTATATACAATTTTTTAGTCGAATTTCATTAGAGATATATTTCTTATTCATTCAATTTAGTTCTCACTTCGAGGCAAAGCAAAAATACACAAAAACTCAAAACATCATCATTAAAAATTGTAAAATACAGAAAAACCTAAAACAATTAATACAGTTAGAAGCAGTTTAAAAAATTTTACAAATAGAATTAATTAAGTTTTTACGAAGATTACGGGCAAGATGGCAAAATTTCCAATGCAAAAAACTGAAAGTTAACTCTCGGTCCCACTGTGTAAAAAGACACTGAAGATGGTGCAATGACTGACTCAAGAGTTTCAAATGTAAACAAAGGTGGCCTCGTTAGGCTTAGCGCCACTTAAACTTTGAAACTTTGATAGTTCTACAATTATTGCTTGCAGATTAACTAAAGGCATAAAAACCTTAACCGGAACATAACAACAACATAATTCAATCACTTTTAAAACAAAAATACCTCGGTTTACCAACATTATAATAATAAAAACACAGAGCTCACTGATACTCTTTATTGAGTTATACGAGATATATAAATACGTATATACAGACGTAACTAAAAAAAATTCTTTCTGAATCCACTTTAAATTCCTTTTATAATCCGTTTCGGAAATAAGAGTCCTTTATTCTGCCCGTACTTACAGATGTCACGCAAAAACATGGTCCAAACGGATTCGAGAGCGGTCAAAAAGGGTATTTTCATGAAATCCGATACCCGAAATTTTTCGTGATTACAATACTTCTTTTACTTCGTACAAGGAAGTAAAAAGGTTATATTTTTTCTCACTTAAAGTAATCTTTAAGATAAACTAAGAAGAAATCATTTTCAATTTTTGATTAGGACGCATATCAAATACAGTTCAATTCCAAAATAATTTTGTAAAATTTAGCTAAGCTACAGAATAAATTTATAATGCTGGAAATTTTTAACATGTTTCAAAAAATATTTCTCTGTGATAAAGCTTTTTTATGAAAACATGTTTCAGCAAAACTTTACTATTTAGTATATACGTATATATGTGTGTGTGTGTGTATTATATGTTCTACAGATAAACAAAGGAGAATCCAGGGTTTAAAAATCTCGGGCAACTGGCAGAAAAATGCTTTAATCTAAAATATTTTTCTTTTCCTTTAATCAAAAGAATTTTTAATTTAAATTTGTTAAAATCGAAAGACACTGAAACATATAAATATGAAATGAAACAAATTTCCCAATCAGGATGTATACAGTGAATAAAAGAATTCTATTTCACACACAAAGTATAACGATGAAGTTTTAAAAAGATCTTGAAAGTGCTCGGAAAATCACAGTAAACAACATTGATTGTACAAGTCTTTTCTTACATGGCATGCAACCGTTTTGTTCCTAAAAACATTCTTAAATTTACTAACTTGTAAGCATTTTACATTTTAATAATTTCATAACATAAAAGATAAGTTTCTTGTATGATCATTTTGAATAATAATACGAATATTATTCAAAGTTATACTCACCTAAATTGCAAGAAAATAGAGCAACAGCGAACATCCACATTTTAATTCCTTTCATTTTTCTTTAAATCTTTAAATGAAGACACTGCAAAATAAATTAAAATTCTATTACCTCAACTCAACACAACATATAAATTTTAAATAGACAGGAAATCATAACATGTTATTTTATACTGAATGGGGCAAAAAGAATAGCAGAGTACAAATTTTGTAATTGACTTAAGCTGAAACAAATTAATTCTGAAACTACAATTATATAACTTTTATGTGGCAACAACGAGAAGTCTTCCGGTTAAGAAATCGCCGCTAGAGACACTGTTAATCGAAATGGCGCAGTCCATGCATGAGAAAACGTACTGCGTTTTGGAATACGCCAAAACATCATTGCTTATAGTCGGTCAAAGACATTTTCGCACGAAATCTGGTAAAGAACCACCGTATGGGCAGAACACCAATCGGTGTGATGAGTCTTAAGGAAACGTGTACAATTCCTGTTATACGCCTTTCAGATGATGCAGGCGCTAAAACCTTTCGACAAACCATTGCTTAAATATTTCTGTGAGATTTGCAAAATAAGCTGAAGGTAGATCGTTTCTTGAACGGACATGTATTTACGGATGAAGCCACTTTTCACGTTTCCGGGAAAGTTAATCGCCGTAATTCACGATTCTGGAGCACGAAAAATCCGTGTGGTGTAACGGAACATAAGCTTGATTCTCCAAAGGTGAACGTTTTCTGAGCCATTTCCGACAGCTGTAGTTTTTGAATTAACGGGTCCATTTACCAACATGGGCTATCGCAGGAGTTGTTCCCTCACTGGAGGAAGTGGTTCCCGGCTTTATTCTGCAACAAAACGATCCCCACCATATTGGCATAAAAACGTACGCCAGTACCTGAACGATAGTCTGCCTCCATCGCTGGATTGGCTCTGCTGGGTTAAACGGTATATCATTGCTTTGTTGGCCCTCGAGATCTCCACATCTAAGCCTTGTAATTTTTTTCTTATAGGGTATTATTAATGGAAAAGTGTTTCTGCCTCGGTTTCCCCAGGACTTACAGCAATAGAAGCAACGGATAACTAAATGTTCGAATCATGAAAAAAAATATTCTATCACTAGTGTGTCAGGAACTGGAATACCACATATATATTTGCCGAGTCACCGCAGGGTCACACATAGAACGCCTTTGGATAACTATAATTTCACTGTAAATATGATTTATCAAAATAGAATAATTAGAGCGTTCACATGTATGTTTTCTTTTCCTCTAATACAATAAGCAACATCCTGTACATTACTCTTATGTTTTTAGGATTGCGTGCATATGGTTTCGTAATAGATTGAATGCACACGGAATCAATGACGACTTCATAAAATTCATTTTAGCAAAGGAAACACTTTTCAGGCTTGTAACTTTCTACAAAAATACTCGTACAACTCTTCTCAGTATCACACAGCACAATCGGTAGTTACCCTCCAAACTATTAAAAACGTTAAACACAATGCAATGCGAAGAGCATCTAAAAAGGCGAAGCTCGTACGGAGATCTCTTCGTACTCCGAACTCACATTAAACAAAATAACTACTACTGAAAAACTAATGCTCTTCCTAGTCATGCTTAGTTTTCCACTGGCCGCCGAGAAATCTTTAGTACCTTTCATTTCTCGAATTTACTGGAACACATTTGAAAGCCGGGTACATGTAGGATAAATTGCAATTATTTAATTAAAATACTCATTACAGTTACACAAAAACCGCACTCGCCAAATTAGTCGCCAAAACCATCGCCAGCTTGGCGATATCTCACTAATTTAGCGAGATAGCCATTTACTCGATGTTAAATAAACTTGTCCTTGTATTCTTATTTTTCCGGCAGAGCATCTTCTCTTTCACGCATTCCATATTACGTTATACGGAAGCACTTCCGCAGAGTACCCGGTAAATGTAAACATCGCCAACTTTGGCGATAATAGTTCAAACCTGGTAACCTATCGGATTCATCCTATTCGCTTTGTTCGAAGGTTGCAACCATTCCTCTTGCGTTCTTTTTGTTGAATTATCACCGTCGTTGTTCGCATTTGGAGATTTATATTATTCTTCTCTTATTTATTATTATTTTTTCTGATTTCCCCGTTATTTTTTTCTGAATTTTTAACAACGAATAGATATAAATATTTTCGTATAATTAAAAAAGTTTTCGTCGATAGATGCCGGTTCTCGGCTCCAATTTTTATGGCGTAAAATTTTAACAAGATACTATATTGTTAATGCTTTTCTAATAATAACCTTTCAGAGGATGGCAGGTGTGGCATAAATAGCTGATTAAATTGAAATAAAAAATATTATTGATTATCTAAGACGACAGAATAGTTTGATGCATCCCCATGGTCATCAAAATTAGCAAACCACTGCTGGTGTAAGGAATACAGTTCAAATGACTCTTGAAAAATAATAAAATGTATAAAGTTCTAGTTTTATTAACAATGCTATTGAAGAAAAGGGTGTACTTCGATCAAATTTGGCGCAGTTCGTACCCTACCGAAGAAACTTTGATTACTGTTGAAGGTGAGTATTGTGAAATACGTATATTATGAAAAAGACAGGTTTATTTTCGTATATCCCGTTTAACCGGTTAGTTTTACGTATACATGCTTATTATCTGTGAATTTTTACTACCATATGCCTAATATATTGTTTTGTCTGCTAACTTAAATTTACATGCACTAAAAAATCACGTTTACGGCCGCGAGCTTGGTGAGTAAAAATTGCAACGGCGCCAACGGGTCCTTTCCCGAAGCGCCAACGGGTTCTCTGCGGATGAAAACCCCATTATACAAAAAATACTATAATTTCATTAAAATTATTTACACTTATACAAAATTCGTAACAGTAGGTAAAAGTTACTGAACAATTACTGCTGTTAATTCCCTAAACTTTCCCGAAGCGATTAATCAGAGGACGAATTCAATTTTTAATGGTTGTTACAACTCCAATGATGTGAAGTAATGTTGCAGAAGGAGCTGGACATCAGCAACAGTGTTCCATGATATTAATCCCATTTATTCTGCTACACTACGAACTGTTGCCGAGTGATAACGTAACGACATTTATTTCAAAGGAAGCTCGCTAGGATTTCAGGTCGAGGTCTCTTCGTACCAAGCAATTAAGCTCTTTTTACTGTATGTCTTTGGACCAAGAAGGTAAAGATCTGATTTTTTGATAAGAAACGCTGTCGTGCAGAATTAAAAACTGTCCAGTTATTAAATATTTCTATGGCTAGGATACCAGAAGCTGTTTGCACATTTTTTGGACGATATTTATTGTATTTACAGAAATAATTTAACTCATTTTTGTATGTTCTATTTGATAACGCTGACCTTTGATGCAGACATCAGAAGAGGTATTTTATCCCATTCCTCTTGAACAGCTTTCCAAAGTCCAAGGAGGATTGCAGGTCAAAGTTCGGACAAGCCACTTGTAGAGACATTAGGTATATATTTTTGGAAGCAGAAAAATGAAAAATAGCAGCCGCCTTCGCCGAGAATCGAACCACGGACCTCTGAAATATTGGCTCAGGGTGCTGACCACTACACCACGAAGGCACGAAGGAGAAGTATCTTATACACTTTTTAAAAGTCTACTATATTGGCATGGAAATTCATGGGTGATAGATACATCAGGAGATAAGTTGGGATATGAGTGAAGGGTATGGCCTTGATACCACTTTTTTGTTCTGTTTTTATCAGGAAATTAACAGTAGATTTTGACGAGTGGCTGCTTGCTTTGCCTTGATGCAGTTCTACTGCTTGGTGGACACTGTGCGTGAAAAGCAGATATTTCATATTTTGATAAAATATATTCATTATTAATTCATAGTTTTCCCCCCAAATTTTTAATTAATATTTACTACCCTTCTGATATGCCTTTTATTATTATCTTTGCAAGCCTAGAATCTAACGGCAGTTTTTTTAAAAATAGCCGGAACGGTTTCGAATTTACTATCTGAACTTACTCATCCATTAATAATGCTGTATTAGTATTGTTGCGTGCGTACGGGTTCGTTACGAAATGAATGCACAAGTCCGATGAAAAATGAACAAAAATTTATTATTATCACAACAAATATGCTTAAATTTCCTAAAATATCCGTGGAGTATAACAATATCTCACAGTAGTTATCTTTTAACTACTCAAACGTTCAAGAGAACCTAATTCAAAACAGCTAAAGAAAGCTAATCCGCGAATTCGCTACAGTCAACAAGAGCAGTTTTCTAAATAACAACAAACTAAGTAACTACCACGAACTGAAATCGAAATCGAAAATCGAGTGAATGGTTAGGCGGCATTTAGTAGCCTTGTATTTACCGTCCTGTTGAAATCCCAGCGTGGAGAATAAAATAAGGATTTCACGACCGAAAGTGAGCATACTTGCCCGTTTGTTAGAGAAGGGGGTTCAACATCTCTCTCTGTGGATTCACTGAAGAAAACAGGTAGCATATGCAGCACAGGATTTGCAACATGTTGAATATTTTTGAAAAAGTTTTCCGAAAGTCGCTGTATAAAGCGATTAATGGGCATAATTTTGAGATCATTATGAATCTCTTCGTTCCTTATATACCACGGAGCTTTGAGTATTTGCCGAAGCAATTTAGATTGAAAAGTTTGGACATGTTTTCTGTTAGTCAGTGCTGATGGGCCCCAAATGGGGCATGCATAAGTCAGAACAGGCCTTATGATAGACTTGTAGAGCAAAATCTTGTTGTCAATTGACAGGTCGCTATTTAAAGCGAAGAAGGGGCGCAGATTGGATTTGACAGCCGTCGCATTCGCAATGATTTTTTGAATGTGAGGTTGCCAAGTTAATTTTGAATCAAGTAATACACCAAGATATTTATATGAAGAAACCCAGGGAATAGGTTCACCGAAGAGAATTAAGTTATCTAAACGGGGGATATTTCTTCGGATGAACAGAGTAGCAGCACATTTTGCGACATTGATTTTGATTTTATACAAACCGAGCCAGAGTTCTAAGGCTGAAAGGTAACTCTGTAAGTGTAGAGATTACCGTGAAGGTGTTGGAATGTTG